TTTTCCTGCTTAAATTGCAAAATGGCTGCTAGCCACATGCAAGAGAGAATTGGAGTCGTATACGCAGCAGAGACTTATAGAGAGTCCGAGTCCGACTATTCATTCTTCATTCAGTCATTCAAAGGTTGATAACTGATAAGTACGAAGCCTTATCAATGTCTGTCGTTATCATTTCCAGCTCACAAATTTCTCTTCTTTTTTTTTGGGTGGTGAACTGCGCACGCATGTTCGCCTCGTTTTATCAAAAATTTCCTTTTCCTATCCTCTCAATGATTTCTTCGTCGTATATATGTGAAGCTTCGTTTCTTTTCATTCATTCTCTTCATTGACATGATGGCTCAACTCTTTCACTAATTTTGGCCTTATTTATTTGATGATGTAACTTTGCCCCTTTCACCTTTTTCACGCCTGTGTTTCCCGGGCTATGGATATTGTAGATTTTTGAGTTCATAACTTCATATTACTAGCTAAGCAATCTACCAAAAACGGTTACAAGAGTTTATGGACTTACTTGTACACCTCACCTAGGCTCCCTTCAGAACGATTATTGATTTATTTGAGTGTGATATGTGGTATTTGTTTAGTACATTTTTAGAGTAATTAAACTTATTATTTCTCTTTTTTTACATCGACTATTGTTGGTACGTGTAGTGTACGCAAACGTCAATTTGCTCAAACGAAATTGAGAATCAAATTTTGATTGGTCCAACTTCTCATTGTTTATAACAGATTATATTTAAGCTTGACCAAATTGACATGAATTACTATTCATTTGAGAGTTGCGTCTTTAACCAAAATACAATGCGTTCTGTTTTATCAAAATCCCTAACCACGTGATCAAAATTAAAGATAATGTAAATATATTAATTATAGGGGCGAACTACATTTTATCCCTGAGTTTTAGCTTAAACTACCATAAACCTCCCGAGTTTTAGTAAGACTACCATATATCCCCTTGACTCATAGTCAACCCACAAAATACACCCTAACCATTCTAACATCATTATCAAATTTGTGTAAACGGTCAAAAGTATCCTTCAATATAATTTTTTAAATTATAGAATTTAAATATTTTTAAAAATTATAATAAATTAAGCTAAAAGATACTCCATATTAATTTTTTATATTAATGTACTTAAATAATAAAATTTTGGATTTAACTATCTCATATCTTTTGGAAAAAAATTGTCTTAATAAACTTTTATTTTTTTTGAAGTATAATAAACTTATATTATTAATCATAAATTGATTTTTATTTATAAACTTATGTTATAATTAAATGTAAAAATTATAAATTATAAGTAATTTTTATTTTTTATAGTGAAAAAAACGAAGCAAAACAAACCGAAAAAAAAAGAGAGAAGAAAGTGAAGTGTATATAAACCATGGTTATTTTTGTCATTTTAGTGTTTAACCCCTGGTCAGGGAGTATATAGTAGTATTACTAAAACTCGGGAGGTTTATGATAGATCGAGGCAAAATTTAGAAGGTAAAATATAGTTCACCCTTAATTATATGTAAGCGAGTAGTATAATCTTAAACTAACTTCTTTTTTTTTCAAGCCTTAGCATCACAGGTGCGGAGCTTTGGGGTTTATTTTAAGCCTTAGTATTAGTATGATTGTTTTTGTCATTTCAATGTTTAAACCCTATTCAGAGAGTATATGGTAGTCTTTTTAAAACTCGGAGGATAAAATGTAATTTGCCCAAGAAAAAAACTTCTTCTTTTTCTTTTTTTGGTATTTCATTTCGTAAGCATGCACCTACACAACGAGAATGACTTCAGATATTCTATAAAGTTTTGCCTAAAAGTTATGTATAAGTATCGTGTCCCATAACAGAGGGTGTTAAAATAACAGAAAAATCAAAACATAGTTTTTTTTTCTCGTGAAATAAAAATACAAATATCGGTAAATTAATAATTGATAAATTAATAAATTTTAAGAATTAATAATTTTCTCTAGTCCCAACTTGGGACCAGTACAAAAAAGTGACAAAAATCAATAAAATAATAAGATAATAATGTTTCAGAAAATTTTCTATATATCTATAAGTCCCAACAAAACTATAAATTAATAAATACCTTAAATTCAAAATAATAATAATAATAATAATAATAACTAGGAAGATTTAGTAAACTATAAACTTATAGATACTTGTTTTTTCTATAGATTCATATCCAACGAAATTTCTCCTTGATTTGTCTTATTGCTCTTGAAAGTTCTGGGGTTGTATTCTCAAATTGTAACAAAAAATTGTAAAAAGTTATTGCTGATTTGAGTACTTCTTTTCGTGTGGCTGGTGCCAAAGGCATTGAATCATCATCACCTTCATTCTCCATTGAACTATCTTCAAGTACACTAGTCACAATATCCTCAAATGATTTGACCTCTGTAAACTTATCGTTTTCACCTGGATAATCCACCAATTGATTGACATTCATCTTAGTGTGATAATCAAAATGATTTATCATGTTTTGAAGCTTATGAAGTCCTTCCTGGGCTGTATCATTTGAGTCCAATGCCGATGCTTCATTTATTGAACGAATTTTGCAATGATTAAAACAATTTGATGTGAACTAGGTTTGAGTTTATTATTAAATAGAGTTACAGTTCTTACATGTTTAGGATTATAGAAAAACGATGAAAAGTTATGTAGTATAATAGGGTTTTTTAAAGAAAATTTTTTATAAATTAATAATTTATTATTTTATTAATAAACTAAATTAATTTATCGATTTTTTAATAATTTAATAATTAATAAATTAATTTATCGATAAAATAATAATTTATTAATTTATAGAAGTTCTACTGTATTGTTTATTATTATTCGCATGAACAATACAATTGGAGGATAAAAATAGAAAAAACACACCACATGGATGGAGAGAAACCAAAGGGCCCAAATGAAAGGAATGGTTGTGGCCCATTTTGGCCTGAATGGTGACCCACGCGCTATGTTCGCATGTTGGGTTTCGATACTGTCGCTATCCGTATAAGCTGGGCAAATTCAGCCGCTATTCGATCTGCTGCGCTCCCCCTCACACCACCATCTTTGCACTCTCAACCAACTCCAATTTTATTCCCAAATGATCTGGCCTAACTGGTTTAACTAAATGCTGGACTTTCAGATCTTTGAGATTTAAATAAACCACGTAACAAGACGGAAGAGATTTATATCTTATCACAATGTGACAGATTCCCACTCGATATATCTTTAATTTCCATTGTACGTTACGAGTTAATTTCATCGTAGATTGTGTACATATGACTAAATTTCATGCATGTTCTCCATTTTCAATCAACCAATATAAGAATTTGCTTTTAAACTTACTCAGTTAACTCAAATACTCCATGATTCTACTTATATAACACAAACTTGAACTAACAAAGAAAATTCGGAAAAACCATAACAAAATTTTTTTGTTACATATCGCGACTGAGCATCCTCATAAACTAGCATTGCTTCGCTCACATGTCAAGATGAATGACCATTCAAGTTTGTCCTTGTTTCTCACATTCGTCCTCTATAAACATCGATAATGTGCAAAACATTATCAATTTACTTTCACTATTATGACCCGCGCGTTAAAAAATACTCCATTAATCCAACAACAAGAATAGTCTACAACAAATTATACTATTTTTCTTATGGATAGAGAAGTCTCGAAGGTTCATATAAACTTATGTGGTTCCACCTTAAAACCAATTAGCGATGAAAAGAGTAACACATAAAGTATATATGTTGATCAAGTTGGGTTCTCAACTCCAATATAGAACAAGTGTTTTTCACTTATTTTCAAGTTTAACGGGATTTTAACACCCCTTCTCAAGTCCAAAGGAGTTGGACAAGGTCCTTTTGAAACATTAAATTTCTTTTTGTTTTTAAAACCAATTTCGGGTTTGGTTTTTGTTTGAAGGCCCATTTTGGGTTTTTTGGTTTGTTTTTTCAAGTTTTTTTTTTTAATTTTTGTCCCGGATAAACCCGTCAGATCAGACAAAGTTCACACACAAAATTCGCGGATTAAAATCCGCTCTGATATTATCTTGAAGGCCCATATAAGTCTATATGTGGTTCTACCTCAAAACCAATTGGCAACAAAAAGAGTAGCACATGGAGTATATATGTTTATCAAATTGGGGTTACCAACTCTAATGTGGGACGTTTGTTTTTCATTTGTTTTCAAATTCAAAGGATTTTAAAAGAAGTATCAAACAAGCAACTATGAGAGTCCTCTTAGAGTCTTAGTTAAATTCACCAGGCCAATGATGATGTGCCCAAATGATGACATGTATATCGATTTATAACAATTTGTAATGGTTGTAATCTTGTAAAAAACACACGTCATTACACCAATTTAGCTATGCTTCGGAGGCCGGATGAATGGTATCCCAAAATAAGTGTCATAATCAATTCTAAATTTTCAACCAACACGCAAAACACATTATGGTAACATATTCTCCAAACTCCACAAATTAAAGAGTTGGACATTTCAATAGTCAACAGTCATTATTGAAGCAAAAGAGAGAAGCACGTATCAGTCTCGATCGTCGTCTTGTTTGGTTTTGGAGTTCTATCAGTACTTGGTTTCTTTCTAGCTAGAAAGCTGGTAACAAGAAAACCAAAAAAGGATGAAATGAGCGCGGAAATGATGAACAAATTAATCCTTGTGCCCATGCAATATTAAAAGCACAAATCATGAATTTCGTGGACATATATATTTTGTGATATTTAGAACAAGTGTAGATTTATGATAAATAGATGACTTAAATTTAAAATTTTTCGAATTTCATAAGAAATTTCATGAATAACACAAATGAAATACGAATTCAAAGTACTTGTGAGCCAATGAGTGATAATTTGGTATCCAAACTAAAAACTAGTTAGTCAAAAAAAGACTACTTTACATTTGTTTAATCTTCTAGATTTTTTTGGGGGTTGATTCTAGTACATTCTAACAACAACATAAGAAACGTACTAAAGCTTATCAAAACGAAGGAAATGACATGGAAGCCATACTTCTTATCTGGAGCTGAACAGATAGATCCATCCAAAAAGAAAGAATCATCATTAAAGATGCCACATTACATGATGGATGGCTTGGATGTATCCAGAGCAAATTTGCACCGAGCCGCACTGGATAATGGCCCAATTGACAGCAGCCAATGGAATATGACGTGGACATGTAGGCAGCGGGGTCCAGTGGGGCGTCAGTACACTCAATGATTGGGGTGGCATTTTTTTGTCTATATTGCCAAACTTCACATAAAAAAATAAAAATAAAAAATGAAAATAAAAATGTAAAATAATTGGAGCTAAACCTAAAAATGTCAGCAGAAAAACCATCCTTATAAAATCCTTAAAGCTCAGCACTTTCTCTGCCATTTCATCATTTCCTTAATCCCCTCAAACTCTCATCCATCCGTTCCTCAAATAAGGACATGAATTCTGATTTGTGAACCAAGCAAACCCTTTTTTCCTTTCTTTCCTTATACCAAAAAAGCTTTCAGAAATCTGCTTCTTTTTTTTTTTGTTGTACAGCAAATAATCAGGCATAAATGTATATGATTTTTAAGCTATTGATCATTGGTGGCGAGATTGTTGAAGAAGAAGGAGAGTGGGAGAAAGAAAGATAAAAAAAAAAAAAAACTTTTCCATTCATTTTTTATACCCAAAATAAAACTCCCTCTTTCAATAGCTATTGAAAAATTGAAGAAATTTATCTTTTTATCCATTTATCCAGGACTGGATTTAAGGGATACGGTGAGATTTCGCTGCTGGATCCATTCTTGTAATTTAATGCTTACATTTGAAATTCGAAAAGGGTTATCTCTAATTTGGTTCACTGGTTATATATATTTGTGATACAGGGGAAGCTAATTATAGCAACAACAAATCAATGGCTGCAATTGAGACTCATTTCAGCCTCCCAAAGATGTCATCATCAGCAAATGCAACAAATGGGAGTGTTAATGTTAACAGCATCCCTGAAGTGGAATTTGCAAATGCAAAATGTGAGTGTTGTGGATTGACTGAGGAATGCACAGAAGCATACATAAGAAAGGTTCGGGAAAGGTTTCAAGGGCGTTGGATTTGTGGTCTCTGTGCAGAGGCTGTGAAAGATGAAGTGGTAAGAAGCCCGGATAACCGAATTGGGAAAGAAGAGGCCTTGAATCTGCACATGAGTTTCTGCAAAAAATTTAGATCTCCTCCAAATCCATCTCATCATGAAGATGAACTCATCTCTGCCATGAAGCAGCTTCTATTTAGGAGCTTGGATTCTCCCACTCCAAGGAAACAACAACCCTTTGTTCGATCCAAAAGTTGTTTCTCTGCTCTGAAACATTAAGGCTGGGGCTGCAAATTGCTATTACAGTTGTAGAAGTAGTTTAGTACTAGCCATAAGATATTGATTGAATAAAGAGATTGATTGAATAAAGAGATGATCCTTAGTGACTTATGTGACTACGGTGATCGTTAAGTTAGTTCTTAGGTTAGTCTAAATGCTAGTAGTAATTAGTAGGTTGAATATTGTTTCATTTGTGAGAAGCTAGTTTTGAATAATGTTGCAGGATGGATTATGATCTTGCTAATAATAGGTATTACTAATGTAATGTTTTGGTGTCCTTTTGTGGCTACTAAGTAATTGAATTGATTCATTGTGTCTTGTCAAGTGCATAATTTCATTTCGCTAGTTTCACTACTAGTCTACTACTACTGTAGGATTGCTGATTTTTTGCTGCAGGGATTCTGTAGGATTGCTGATTTTTTGCTGCAGGGATTCTGTAATGTATTTTTTGTTGCAGAAAATGTGGTGCAGAGTGATAAAAAGTTGTTATTTTGTTTCTTCTCTGTTGATTTGGAGCGAATATGCTTTCCACTTTCCAGGACAGAAGGAAAAGGCTTGAGTAGCCAAATTCCTGTTGGCTTTCATCTGGGCTATTCTGAATGTCAGTTCCTTTTTGTTTGTGACTTGATTTGGAATTTGGTCCATAGAAAAATATATACCACCTGGATTTCTGAGAAATATCTCACAAAATATAAACCTGTTATGAATCTTCTGAATCTCTCCATAGTTTGATTTGATCATTAAGCTGTTCGAAAACTTGAATTTTTTGGCTTTGAGTTAACAGATTATTTATCAAGAAAAGTACTCCTAACTAGCTCTTGGTCTGCCCTTTGCAAGTTGCTGAAAATGACCAGATTGAATCCAAGGGGAAAAATATCTTTCTTCAATTTCATCACATGACCTTTACCAAAGCAATCAAAATGATAATTGACATCCATGATGCTATATTATGTTGTGGTTTGCCTGTCAATTCAAAAGCATGTTGCTCCAGTACCAGTTAGTATTACTTACATTTTGCCTGCAAGTCACACATTTTCATACTGTTTTTTCTTGTTCAAAACTGTGTCCACGTTCATTTAGCTCCAATCATGGACAAGTTGTTGCAGCATTTTTGGAGAAACAAAATGAGTGAATGTGGCTCTTCTTCTAATTGCATGGTTTGACCCTCAATAACGCAAGATTTGTGGTTGAATTTTGGTTTTTAAAAAAAATGTTCTGTTTTCTGGTATGATTGAAATCACAGTCTTCAGTTTGGTAAGTTTGGTTTTTGTTCAGATTTTGTTGAGATGATTAGATTAGGTAGATTTGGTGTCTCTTTTTCAAAGTAACACTTCAGTTTTGATCGCATTGTTCGAAATTAGTTTTGAGTTAGATGTTAAGATTTTTTTTAAAATTTTTTTTTTAAATTTTCATAGAAAAAAGATTTGGAACCGATAAGTAATAATTGAAATAGAAAATCAATCATTGCCTACATCTTAATGATAAACCTAACAAACCTTTCCTCATAAGTCAGTCATACCCACTCAATTATACATCATAAATTAGCCCTCTTTTTTCTTTTTCCATGGTGGAAATGATTTGATTTAACAGCTTATTACTAATGGTACATGAAATTAGCCTTTCCAAGTTGGAAGTGATGCCCTACAACTTTCCAAGTATTAAAATTGGTGAATTGACTCCATGAATCTACCTGGCCAAAATTAAGTCCCAAAAAATTAGCCAAAAGCCGCAGAATTAAATTACTTGGAAAAAAGAAAAACCAATCTCACCATTTGGAGTCAATGATGATTGATACCTACCAATACCTTCCTCACTTTGAATAATGGCAAAAAGAGTGTCAAGGTAGGTTAATCAATCAGATTTATGTGAATTAGAATGTATCTCTTTTCGTCTCGCAATAATTATTTTTGTTGTAGAATACAATAAGTAAGACAATCATTTTTGATAGATAAAGTAATACATGATCAAAATAATAATAACATATATGTGAATTTCTCATGTTAGATTGATGAGCTATTGAGGTATTAACCAAAAAAATAATAATAATAATTAATAATATTTCTGCATTAGTCCTAACTGTCCAAATCATGAGCAATGTCCATGCTAAGGTCCAACCTACAAATAAACCAAATAAAATAGTAATAAAACTGTGCTTTAGTTGGGGAGAAAGAATAAATTTGTCTTGGTGTAGCTGTGAAGAGCATCAAACATTCTGGAAATTAAAAAAATCCAGTATAAAACCGGCAATAACATAAAATGGGCAAAGCCAGTCCAGCAATCATTTACCATGATTGTGTTTTATATAATAGTGCCACTTGCAGTACCAAGCATTTGTTAAATGGGTAAAGGGTTTCTCTAATTTAATTGAGAAACTGGTAGTAGTATGATACATTATTTAACTACTATAATTTTGATATTACTTCAGAAAAATAAAAAAACAATTTTGATATGCTTAGATTGCTCGCTCGTGGTACTCTTTATAAGATGTTTTGTGCATAAGTGAAATGACCAAATTTTTTTCACACTTTTTTAAACACACTTACCAAAAGAATTCTTATATCATAAAATGGTGAATTTTTTTCCCCTTCCACTACGGGTTGTTGTTGCATTCCATTGTGGAATATATGACCTGATGATCGAGGTTCTTTTTCAAGCACAAAATAACAAATTACTCCCTCCGTCCCACAAAAATAATCTATATTGAATTTTGAATTTTGTACTGTTTTTAGTACAAATTTGAGAACTTAATGTGGATTTTTTTTTTTTGGGATGGAGGGAGGTAGTACTTTTCAACTCTTAACTCGTTTAAACCAGTAAGTTGGACATAGGTGGACTAAACAAATTCTATAATATGTATGTCGTCCTAAATGCTCGTATGAAACAATAATAAAGAAAGTACTAAATAATAGTAGAATATAAATTTCTAAAAGTAACCATGATAATTAGATATAGCCACGGGAAAGGTTGGGTGTCAAAGATTCAAGAGGGGTAGTAGCGTAGAAACTTGGAATGAGCCAAAACCAAATTTCAAAGTTTGTAATGGACTGAATCTTACAAGCAACAAGAATCTTGTGTTCTTAACTACTCGCCCATCTTAAATTTGTCTGATTTAAAACCAGACAAAGACGAAGACAGCGGTTAAATTGAATAAAGAGAATTACTATAATTATTAGGGAAAAGGTATACAAAGTTTGAAAAATTAACTGTAAATTAATTACTGTAATAAAGTGATTTATTGAATGTAAACTTGTTAAAAGAATTTTCTTTTTTACCGCTAAAAGCTTGTAAATAAATTAATAAAACACCCATTTGTTTAGTCCATAAAGTAGTTTTCAATTCATTTTTTCATCTCTAATTTTTTTTATGTGAAAAAATTAGTCGTGATACCGGACCGGATCACTATTCCGGAGAAATCTATTTTTTAATTTATTCTTAAGAAATAAAGATGATAAGATTTTTCTAAATATTTTATGATTTATCAAATTTCTCCAATTTTTCTTTTTAATTTTTTTTTTCAATTGAGTCAAGTTTTAACTTTACCCTACTACTTCTTTCAGTTTTATCTTATTTACTTTTATTTATCCGAATTAAATTCAAAAATGTAAAATATACTATATTTTTCTTTAATTTAAATCCTATTTACTGTATAAAAATTTCTTTAAATAATCTATTACAAAAAATTTAATTATTATTTTATACTTTTTTTAATTAGTTACATTGTCATTTAATTAATTTATATTTTGGATAGTAAGATTTAATTGGAATAAAAAAAGCAAATAGGAAAAAAAATAAAAAAAAGTGGTAGGGTGAAGTTAAAATTTGGAGCGAAATTGATAAATCATAAAATATTGGAAAAACATATGTAATTTTTATTTCTTAAAAATAATAAAAAGTCAAATTTTACCGAAATGGCTGGAACCAGCGAATAGGATCAATTTTGAAAAAAAATTATCAAGATCAATTTTTTTCATTTGGAAAACATTATAAATGAAAATTAAACCGAAATTTTTTTTAGGAAAATCAGGCTCCCATAAACCATAACCAATTTTTTTTTAATAATAAAGTAAGTAAGACGTTATACGTAATTTTTTAGACAAATTGTACAACCGTATAAAGAAGGGAGTACAAAGTACGAGCCACAACACTTGTACTATCGTGTAGTACAGTGGCCACAAACCAAATCCAGGCTTCATCTCAGGCTCCATTTTGGAATCGAACAAATTTCAGAAGAAAGAAAAAACTCAATACGACTTATCCTCTTCCCACAGCAAATCAAACCCCACCAACCTCTATTCTTGTAGTTGCAACCAATCAAAATTAGTTTGTCCAATTACCAAACCATAACGATAAAAACAACCAAACATCAATAAACAAATTCCTCCGATCCATTTTTTCCTAGGAAAAAAATTCTGTAATTTTCTGGCTTGAAAAGAGGTTAAAAATCCCATCTTTCATCTTCATCTCCATCTCCATCTTCAGTATCAGCCAGAGGGAAAAAGGAGAATCAAAGATGATGCACATGACTTTTTACTGGGGCAAAAAGGTGACCCTTTTGTTCGATTTCTGGAAGACCGATTCATGGATGAGCTACGCTTTGACCCTTCTGGCCTGTTTCATCTTCTCTGTTTTTTATCAATACATGGAAGATCGCCGGGTTCGGTTCAAGCTTCTCCTGAAAACCAACCCATCTCCTCAACCCGTTGTTGTTTCTTCCACGATGACGGCGCCGCTTCTTTACAGTAAGGTGCAGAAAAGTCTGAGCAATCCGGCGAGATTTGCAGGGGCGATCCTGTTTGGGGTCAACTCTGCAATTGGGTATCTTTTGATGCTGGCAATCATGTCGTTTAACGGTGGGGTTTTTGTTGCTGTTGTAGCTGGGCTTGCTTTGGGATACTTGATCTTCAGGACTGCTGATGATGATGTTCAGATTGTTGTGGATAATCCTTGTGCTTGTGCTTAGACCAAAAACTTAGAACTAAAAAGAAAAAATTCTGCCTTTTTTATTTTTTTTCGTTCATAATATGATGTTGTAATGTCAATGGGTTCTGTGCATAGATGAAGCAAGAAAGATGGATCTTTTATTTTGTTTGTTTTCTCTTTCTGTGATATAGAAGATAGATCTTCGAAATTTTACAGTGGTTTCTTGATTTGTGATTGGGGGAATTCTGCAGTTGTTGTTTCTCTAGCCGACAAAGTTTATTTGCTGGCTGATGTCTGATGATTCATTACCGAATGTTCAAGCTAAAGGTCCCAGAATTGAGGAACATACGTGAAAAGTTAACAAATGCAATTACTGGTCTCGTTGTCACAGCTAGGTAAAACAATCGATCCTAACTTCTTTTTATTTCCTTTTTGCGGCAAAAATCTGTCACCAGTCATGGATCATCATGTTTAAACAGAACCCAGATGGGCTGATTATCGTGGTAGCGATTAACAGTGTTCAACCAAGATAAATACTCGGCCATTGCCGGAAAAAATGCCATGCTTTAACCGTAAGCAAATCCAAACAAGAGAAACAATGAAATCATCATTAGATAAAAACAGATGCTTCTCTCTATTACATCGACCAGTTTCTGCATCAATCGGACAATAATAGTCAGCTCGAACCTTCTTCTCAGCCACACAAAAGAATCTCAAACCATTAACCGCCAAAAATTCACTCTAAATTCTACCTTTACAGTCTGCAGTTAAATGTGTCAGTAATCGGGCACCTCATTGATTAAAAGCATCCCTCAGTTTAATCCAATTCGCATGAAACATATGGAAATTTACAGCAAACGAGACCGTGAGAGGGCTAATCCGAAATATTGAGTAGCCTTCCATATCAGAGAGTTATAGTAATCTTCCTGTGATTCAGAATGCCTCAGATGACGTACAGCAGCTTTCCAAAGACTTTATCCCCTATGAAACTTTGACTTAGCAATTCAGTTTTGCCACAAGACAGCCTCCTGGAGCTCAAATATGTCAAAGAAGACCTCAATGTTGTTCCCCGTCTTGGATTTTTAGTGAGACAAGCTCACTATCCTGCTGTTGGCCTCTGGACCTCAAACTCTTTGGGAACCATCTTCGAAACCTTTCTGGCAACCTGTAAGCATGCAATTCTCTGTCATTACTTGCTGATAATAACATAAATCAATTAACAAGGGTGAAGACAGTGCACAAACTTTTCTAGGGGCTAAGATGGGCTTTCCCTTAATCTAGGATAAAACAGGACCAGCAAGAAATATCGCAGCAAAACTTGCATGAAGTCACAGCAGAACTACAATTATAATCCTTTTTGTTTAATAAAACATCTTCATCAGTTTGGAATTGCGAGTAACAATTCTGTCTCATACCGTTACCACTGTGCACATCCTTTTCTATTTGCATGCATGCATTGAGGCAAGCGAGAGAAATATTAATCACAAAGACTTGGTAACCAAAAAAATCTCCAAAAAAATTACGAGTAGCATACACGATTTTACTTACAGATCCAATCTTTCATAGATGGCCCGTCGTACTGAAGAGTTCAGGCCGTAGGCAATTGAATTGAATAGGCCCTAATAAAATTAAACATAAAAAAACAGGCATTTTAGAATATGAAAGTCAACATCAACAATCAGGCTAAAACTAATAGGTAAAAGATCATATGTTTAACATATGTGCATTCAGGAACATAGCATAGCGAACTCACAAATGAATCACAAACTTTAGAGTGAGTAAAAAAGGAAAAGATAAATGGAATGAATACATGAAGCGTGTCAATGGAACTAGAGATTTACCATGAGGGCAGCCGTTCCCACGTCAAGAACAGAAAGCCAAAAAATTGTGTGCCGAGGTTCAATTAGATCATGGATACGGTTGATTGTGCCGAAAAACCAAGATCCTATAAGAATGAGAGGATAGTAGCCCCACCGGTTAAGTACCTACAGAACAGAAGGGGCAGAACACATCAACACGCGCCATCATTATAACATAAGGAAACGCAATAAACTGAGCTAATTGACTTCAAGATCTACTGTTACATTGTAAATTAAGGGATACTCGTAGTGTTTGATCGTCAAAGCATTGATCTACAAGAGAGGAGCTACCTTAATGTCTGGTCGAGAATCAAACTGGAAAGATCTTTCAGACATGCCAGCTGCCATCTGGAACAGCAAAACTCACATCAGAAAGACATTGACATAAGAGAATGGCCTTGATACTCATATGACTACATCAGTGGGAAACCAAATCAAAGAACAGATGAGGATAATGGTCACATACACGTGTTGCATTGTTCAACATACGTATGACCTGGAAATAAGTGATCCCGTTGAAGAGAATAGCACCCCAAAGAGGCGCATAAAACGTTATAAAGTGAACTGCCTGCATGATCAAGTAGAGTCACTAAGTGCATCAATAAATTAAAACAACAAAAATAGTTTATATCACAACAGACTAACAAATGGAGGTAACAGAATCAACTATTCTAATCAGCTGAAGATCCAAAAAAGAACCCACAATGTTTGCCTGCCACGTAACTATAGAAATTCTTACAGAAACAAATAATCAGGCATAGGATACTTGCCTTCCCAGTACGTCCTGTTTGAGACCAGCACCAAGCACCTAAACGGCTTATATGCCCGTGGTCATTGCTAATAGACCGTAATACAGTCACAACTCCTGATGTTCCTGTAACGATTACCTAGGTTAACACAAAAGTCTAATAATCTTCTCGTTGGACAAAACTCTATTTGAATCTTATAAGTAAGCCAGTATGATGAAAGCATGCACGGGAACCAGATCATTCACAAAATCTAACATACCCCAAACGTACAAATGAAACATGGGCTCCAAGTCCTCCACATCTGTTTTATGTCTAACAACTGTTCGGTGAAGCGTAAAAGCAATTGTTGTAGTCCACAAAAAAGAAGCCACGCAAAAGAAATGAGTTGTGTATCCCTGAGCATAACAGAAAAATCCTTTCGACGGATCCCTGCACGAGACACAGCAAAACAATCAAAAGATACATAAAACAACAAACAAGGAAACGACTTCGTTAAGTTATTGGCAGAACCCCCAATTGCAAATGCCATACCCTATTATGCTGAAGAAACTACACAACATGTCCTGCATTAGAAAGAAAACGAAATTTAGGTCATGATCTTCTCACTTGTAATCTTATATGCTTGATCATCATAAGCACCGGAAATAGACATTCAATAGTTACAACGGGAACGTCATTTCCAATTCCAGAGACAAGTTATAGCTCATAGAAATCGTTAATGATTAAACTCGAGAAAAAAAAAAAAAGGAAGCAAAATATCATACAACTCACACAAATCCAACTCGTGGACAAACAAATCTTTCATGCCAGTAACCATGAACATTAATGCAATTAAGAAAATAAGATTAAGACGTACATAAGACTAAAAAAAGGCTAGTATGGTTACTCAACTTGATATATACTCCAAATCAGAAAAATACTTCATTAACTGTAAATCATCACATAAGTAGCACCGACAGTTTGGTAACAATTCGAAGCAAGGAATTTCAAGATGAAGCTACATTTATTCAAAAATGATTAATAATAACTTCATGAAGTACCAAGTACACAAAACTCGCACTAAAGCGAATGCAATTGAAGCTATAAATGATGACAATTCTAAGAGTGAAAATACTTACAGAGAGAGCAAGGAAGAAGACGAGTTTGAAGGAGAACTTCCGGAGTTCCTTGAAGAGTAAATAGCAGAGGACTATGAACCCTGAACCTATCAGAGATAAACTGGCGGCTCCGGTGTTGACCGCCGTCAGAATCCGCCGATCGCTGGCCGTCAAATTCCCTAACACTGCCTGGACAGTTGCCATTCCACTTCCCTTTTCCGGTGTTTGCCTTCCTTTTGCAAAACAAAATCTACCTGAATTTCTGGAGAAAAAAAAAAAAACACGCTGTTTCGAATATCTACTGCAAATTATCTTTCCAGCATATCAACCAGATCTTGTTCATTTAGAGGGGGGATTTTACTCGTATTATTCCTTCCATTAGTTCGTGCCTTATTTGTGGTTTTAAACAATTTGAATAGATTATATTTTTATGTCTTAATTGTCATCAATGTCGCTTTGGCCGAGTGGTTAAGGCGTGTGCCTGCTAAGTACATGGGGTTTCCCCGCGAGAGTTCGAATCTCTCAGGCGACGCTACTCTTTTACCTTTTTGGCTTCTTCCTCACGGTTACTTTTTTTCCTTCTTTCTTATTTTACCATTTTGGCTTCTTTTTCACGGTTACATTATTTTTATTTTTTTTCCTTTTTTCGTTTTGTTAAACAATTTGGCTTTTCTCAAGTGTTTGTGTGTGTGTGTGTGTTTTAAATTTTTTTTTTAATAAAAGAGATAATTCCATTGATATTTGTGTATTTTGTTTTTCGTTTTTTAAAATTTTCTTTGACAAAATAAATCCAAATTAGAATGTCGGCACACAAAAGTTCAATAATCACAAAGGATTAATTGCACTCGCTATGCTCGAATGGTGCTTAACATGTATATAGACGTAGATATGTTTTTGGGATTAATTAATAACTAATAAAGGGGAGTAATCCTCCTCGACTTGCATGTGATTGTCTCTCTTTATTGTAATTATAAATGTGAAAGAGTCTATATGCTTTAATGAAGCCTCACATACTTTTGGTATTGTTGGTATTATGATTGATCAAATGAATGAATGCAAGTTACTTTATGATCCCTAGTATACTTTATCACTACGGGATAAATGTTATGTGCTTAATGACTGAAAGATTTGTGACATAATTGTATCAATCTGCTTGAGTGATAATGTGATTGTTTGATGTCAATGAGCAACACTGACAATGTGAATGTATACGCCAAATGTGTTTGTCTCAGAAGGTGTTATTGATAGTACTAATGTGTTAAGAGTGAATTGTAATATTGTAGTTAATGTCAAGAGATGTACTTTACCACCCTGATCAAATGTACTGGTGATTTGTTGCATGATAATGTTTTGTGCATGTTGCTCGAGTTAACTAACATTTCTCGAAGGCTGGGCCCATTGCCTTGGTTTGTACGAAGCCATGCGTGTCAGCATTGGGCTTGAACGTTATGGTTAGCCGCCCAACCAGTGTTGGTACTCATGAATATTTAGGGATGGCACTATTGGTTGGCCACGGGAGAAACAAGGTTGGAATGGTGGCGCTATTGTTGGCCACAAATGTAATATAATAATGAAATGAAATGAAATGGTAATGTCAGAGATAGCAATGTCAATGATAGTAAATTGTTGACCTCTGGTTTGGGATTCTCGCTTTAAACGCTACATAGGCGTATAGCGCCCCCTCACTATGTCCCTGTATCCTTTCATTATTTGAATAATGACCCTGGGCGGGTCACTGTATGTTCACTTTAAACTTATGAGATGTAAATGCTTAATTGAGTGTTTATGAAATTTTAAATTGAGCGAAATTGTTAATTGAATGCTACCTTTTAAATGTTTGTGAGCACATGATTATGCATGACTTACATGTGTTTAGATCGATAGGTTAGGTTAGAGAGGACCTCACTAAGCTTTAACTCATCCCTTTATGTGTGTTATTTTCCCGTCCCAGGTTAATCAGCGACCTTAGCAACGAACTGGAGTATGAAGATAGAGAATTGAATTTGCTAGGTGTATAGTTTAAATGTAGACTTTTGCAAATGATGAGCTGATGTATTACAGATTTTGATAGTAGCTCTTTTACAAAGAGTTTAGTTTTAAATTTACTAGTTGATGAAAATGTATTATAGATCGTTACTGTTCCACAGACGGCTTGAGTGAGAGATCGCTCGGCGGGCGGCCCTTAAAGAGCTCAAGCTCGTCTAATTTGAGCTTGAATTTTGGGGTCGTCACAGTTACAATATAGAATCGAGCAATTTTTTTTCTCTTCTCTGTTAGGGAGCTTGTTTTGATGTTTTTTCAAATTATTTATTAATAAATGTCCCGTTCCAATAATTTTTTTACATTTTCAATAAAAAATATAAAAATCTAAACAAATACACTAACGATCCAAACATATAAGTACATGAATCATGATACAATATATTATAGACGAACGCACATCAATGAACAATCACAAAATGACACATTTGATAGAAATAATTAGGGCGAACTACATTTTACTACCGAGTTTTGATTAAATCTATCATAAACCCACCGAGTTTTGGTAATACTACTATATATACCTCCTTGACTTCTAGTCAACCTACCAAATTCCCCCTCATCATACTAACATTATCATCAACTTTGTGTAAACGATCAAAAATACCCTTCAGTTTTATTTTTTAAATTATACTATTTAAATAATTTTGAAAAAATAAAAAATAAATTAAGTTAAAAAAATAATCTACATTAATTCTTTTATGTATGTTAATGCACATAATAATAAATTCTCAAACTTAACTATATCATGTATTCTGAAATAAAATAATATTCATTAATTAATGTTTCATAAAACATAATTAATTTAATATTATTAATCATGAATTAAATTTTATTAATTAACTTGCTGTAATTAGAAGTAAAATATCAAATTTAAATGAATTTTCATTTTTAATGGTCAAAAAATCAAAGAAAAAGCCCCGAAAAAACAAAAAGAAATGGAATGCATGTAAAACCATAGTCATTTTAGTCATTTTCATATTTGGCTCTACTCAAGGGGTAAATGGTAGTATTACCAAAACTCGGGGGGTTTATGGTAAAAGAGACTAAAACTCAGGGGGTAAAATGTAGTTCGCCCAAATAATTATTAGACAAAATGCTCGTGATTAACAAGGACATGTCCGTTTAAAAAAAATAAAATACAAGGACAGGTCAAAGTTAAAGCTATTAGCTATTTTGTAATTCGTATCTATAATTAATATAAGTCGGGATGTTTAATTAGGAAATATCCAAAGCGCACGGACGATTACAACATTTTCTAAGGAAACTAGTTAATGCTTCAATTAGGTCACCTCATATTAGACAAAAGTACTAGATTCATAGTACTTAGAGCAGTTTATGATAACTAATTGCTTGAAGTAGACCAGACTACGTTCACTCTGAAGTGAGCAAGTCCTTTCTTATAGCTAGCCAGCATTAACTATGTTAACCTTAGGAGCCCCAATTGACAATTCGTTATATATGAATTACTATGATAGAGAAACAAATAATAGGTCTGCGAATCGGGTTATGATCGTTTCATATAAGCTCATCATAAATGATCAGTAGTTAAATTTGCATAGCACAACAATGAAATCCATTTTTTTTTCATGTGATTATAAGTGAGTATGATACTATAGGGCTCACACTTGCATATTTAATTTGCATATTGTTGTTTATCGAATTTGATTAAAAAGAACAGGAAAAAAAAACTTTTTTCTTCAATAATCTCTTTGTCTCAAAAAAAAAGTCGACAATAAATTTTAAAATTATATTACAATTAGTACAAATCTCAAGATTTATTGTGAATTTTTTTTTTTTTAGACGGAGGAAATAACTTTATAAAAGTTTAAAACTATGGCCGGAAACAAACAGGTATGCATGCACTAATAACAATTATCGAGTACCTCGAGTGTAGGAAAAAAATATACTGTCGCACAGTTCAAGTTTGATCATTTTAATTACTCCTTTTTTCTCACTTAAAAAGAAAGAGGGAGAGTGAGTGAAAGAGCGCGCGAAAAGAAAAATGTCGACACTGCCAAACGTCTGAAGAAATTTCAGGTTCTTTTTAAGTCTATCGATATTAATTAATAATTAGGGTTTCTTTTGGAATAGATGGCTCTTCTGAGCAGGCTTCTGACTATTTTTTTCCGTTCCAATCGTGCATACCGAAATTATATGTACTTTCTCCTCTTTCTTTTTATGGGATAGTACGTACGCCTGAAAATCCAAAGTTAATAAAAAAAAAATTCCAGTGATTAATGTCGACCCTACCCAACTTGCAACTCTACGAACTCCAAACCCTAATGAGTCATTAGATAAACGAGGGACGATGAATTCAGAGAACATGGTATGTTTGTTTCGTTTTTTTAGTGTATGTTTTTAGGTGTTTTTTGTATTAAAAATATAAAAAATGTGTTAAAAATATAAAAAGATATATTAGGATGAGACAGTTATTATTTTAATATTATGAAAAAACCATCCAAAAAACAAAACAAACAATAAGACATCACAGCATTAGGCCACCTGTTGGTCTTGTGGGGTTTGCTACCTTAATTGATGCTACTATAAACTTCCAAAGTAAAATGATTTAGGAAACCTATTTGAAGAATGGAACAGGAATAGAACCATGAAGAATGATGAATTTCTATTACCCTGTCATCATTGCAATTCATCAAAGATTAATTTATTAATTAATTACTCATCACACCTACGATATTGGAGGAAAAGTGGAAAAGGGGCCAGGAAGCATTTAACCCACAAACCTCTAATCCAAAAACAACAACAAATCATGTGGCAGCACCATGAGTTTGGCACAATTAATGTACCGATTACTCAAATGCTACACTCTTTACTCTTCATTCCATAATAGTAAGAATTTTGTTTTTCGTATTGGATACCATTTTGATTAAACAATATAACTTTATTTTAAGACGAAAAATTAATTTGTAATGCGTTACGACCAATGTATAATGTGGGACCTTTTTTTTTTGGCAAAAAATTATTTCTGAACTGAATGGCGACCATTGACGATCGATCGATCACCATCTTGTCACGAGCCTCATATGTTCCCTTGTGGCCTAACCCTTATAAATTTGTGTTATTTATTGTTGAATTATATAACATCACCATCTATCTTGCGGTGCCATTTATGGTTATACACTTATATTTGGAGTGCTAAGACTGCAGCTGATCTGTTATAGAGTATGATCAACTGCGTTCCTTAAATTCTTTTTCGCTCTTTTTTTTTATGAGGATAGATTGTTGATCACGTTCATCTCCTATACCACAAACGAGAGAATATTGTGTATAATAACATTATTATTCCGACGATCTGGAGTTCTGGACCTCCGAAGTCTGAACTACCAATGCAGGGCAGGCCGATGGTTATTTTGGAGAGTGATTGACAAAAATAAGTTGGTGGCATGTGGTGTGAACACATAGTATAATGTGCACTGCGATCATGGGAGGAAAATGTGTTGAAAAATGATTAAATGAATATGATAGTGGTAATCATATGGAACGCCATAAGACCATTATTGGACTAAAGTAATACTCTAATAACTTAAGGTCTTCTTCATACTGATATTTGGAATGCTGAATTGAAAGATTGGCCAAATAAGATAGCGATTGATGATTATATGAACAAAGAAAGAAAAACTGTAGTGATTGACTGGTTGGTATAACATAATTCTTATAAAATAGGAATTTTTTTTTTTATAATTATAACCCTTATAACCTTCATACAACATATTAATTAATCCGATACCATTGACAGGAATCAATCTTGTATCGCGCGGGTATCAGCTGGTCGCGCCATTTATTAATTTTTTCTAAAGACAAATTTATAAATTTAATATAATTTTGTATTTCTGCACTTAGTATTTATAGTATGGTTTTTTGATGTTATTAAACTCACGTTTCTATATTCTTCAAATTCTGGCTCTGCCACTCCAAACAATAAAGGATTTTAAAGGGACAAAATATTTATTATATATTACACATTTGTGTTATTGTTCGGCTAGTTTTTTGTTAATCGGACCCACGAGAGATATGATTCATGACCCAAGAGTTTTGGTGGATTTATATAAGGTTTAAGGCCCTAAAATAGTCGAAGAGTGGCCAAAATACGTTTGGGGTTAATATGGGCTGGTTGAGTGGGAAAAGACTCAGAATTGAAAAAGGAAAGTATAAGTCAAAGTGAATAGAATTGTTCCAGAATCGGCTACGTGATTAATTGATAATTAAGGAAGATTCCTCCTGATTTTTTGCTCCTTTTTATAAGGAAAATTATCAGTAATTAAGGATATGTTTGGGAGAATTCTATTAACAAAGTAAGAGCAGAGTGTGAGAAAAATCATCAACTGATTGGGAGACTGCTGCGGGAATAGTAACCTATTTTCAAGGAAATTAACTATGTTAAGCTACCTTTTTTCCAAGGAATCATAGAACAGCAAGGGTTTTGTCCAAACACTATAAATAGAGGCAGTCATGAAGAGAAAATCATCACCGATCAACCATAAAACTAATTTTCTTTCTTTCTTGTATCGTTTATCGTGTTTTTACCTTTTTTATGATAGTTCACCACGTTCTATCATGCTTGCTTAGCCCCTAGCTTAGCAATAGAGTTGTTTGCCTTTTTCTCCTACATAAAATTAGGTCGGTGTTCACCGTTTTCTACTCCAACAAATTCGGTTATGCTGTAATAAGTGCTCTAATACTTATGTATGTCGGACTACCCTCTGCACGTCCGTCATGTCTTTTTCTTCTATGTAATAGCGTGTCAATAGCACCGTCTATAGCTTGCCGGCGCTAGGATTTTCCACTTTACGAATCAAACGCCGTCTTTTCGGCGTTTCCCCACTTTCTCTAGTTTCTACCTATCTTTCTCAAACTAAAGCCAATAACCCTAAGTCTTCGATCATGGTCCGATGCTAGTTCAAACTCAACCACAATCGTCTGATTTAATTGTATTTTGGGTGATTCATGTTCCCTTTTTCCACGGTTTATTTTTCCGCAAACAGTTACGGTCTTTGTAACGTTATCGAAATTGACAAGTGTCTAATCATGTACCTAATTTGATTACTTATTATCTAGTTAGAGTGCCATCATTAATTTATAATAATGATACGTGTCAGTTGAATAATTAGTGTCACATCGAACGTAATACAAAAATTTCACTGAAGATCTTAAGTCAGTATATCTATCATATATAAATCGACATCGCATTGGCATATACTCCCTTTATCCCAAAATAAATGTCTACTTTGGATTTTAGTTCCTAGTTGAAATCCTATATATATATATATATATATATATATTAAAGGAGAGTGGTTCGCAGAAGCTAATTCAGCTTAGTTAGACTATTAATAGTTTTTAGGGACACGTGTTGCCTCCATGTTTGAGTTTCATTAAACGGTTAAAGTAATTTAGTAATTCTGTTAATCCGAATTTTACTATCTTAATATTTTACTTTATTTATTTCCAAAAAAATAAATAATATGATCATTATCTTCTTTAATACGTTTTAAAATTTAAAATATTTAAATTTGGAAAATATCTGTCAGAATCAAATCTTCCAAATCTCTAATCTTCTCTAATACGATTCATTTAGTCTTTTCTAATACGCTTCTCTTCCTCTATAAATAAGATGAATGTAAAATCATCCGCCAAAGTAGATCTTTTTCTTCTGCCCCTCAAATTCTCTCCTCTGCCTTTTACGCCACCGCCCTCTGCCACTGCTGTCGCCGCCGCTACTGTCATACCCTCTGTCGTCGCCGCCGCTATCGGAGGTATTAAGCTTGATATCATACTCTTCTTTCTTCTTTTTTGTTTTTTTGATTCCTTTCTGTTTAAATAAAAACTTTCAACTCACGATATATATATATAGGCCAATTTCAACGATCACATTGATTGATTTGGTTTGAACGATTTGGTTTGGCAGTTGCAGCACTGATAATGCTTATAGAAAAGGTTCGATTTTTTCTTTCTCATTTTACATTGCGTGGGACAAGTACTAGTTTTACTAAAAGTAAAAATTCAAATTGAACAATAATTTTGAGATAAGAGAGTGTCGTATTGTTATGTTTCTATTATTATCTCAAGCTTTATGACAGATGATACACGAGTGTACCGAAATTCTTGTTATTTTTGGCAGAATATATTTGCAATGATCTAATGTTTTAAATGTTTATTTTCACTCGCACAATTAGTTAGGTGAGATTAACTTTCTCATTCTGATCCTACTTATTTATAAATAAAACAGATAGAGTGCCATATGATTTTTGGTACAAAGGAAACGCCTCTCTTCTTTTATTTTTTTTTCTCGTCCGAGTAGTATATATATATATACACCACCACATAAGTTATTATCATCTCTCTGTACCAAACACTAACTAAGAAAGAAAACAAAAAAATGGTGGCTTCCTGGTTTAGCATAGCTTCACTCTACGGCAGCTTCCTTCACCGCTGCATTTCCAGCTCCGGTTTATCATCCCAAACCGTAACAATTGTTCACGAAAACGGCAAGAAAACAAGAATGCACTATTGGGGCCCGAACCCGGAATCCGTTTCCCCATCCAAACCATCGCTGGTCCTAATTCACGGGTTCGGACCCGCCGGCGCGTGGCAGTGGCGCCCCCAGATCACCGACTTTTCCCGCCACTTCAACCTCTACGTCCCGGACCTGGTGTTCTTCGGCGACCACTCCTCGACGGAGTCGGAGGAGAGGTCGGAGATTTTTCAGGCGGTCTGCGTCGGGAAACTGATGGAGGAGATCGGGGTGGAGAGGTATTCGGTGGTGGGGACGAGCTACGGCGGGTTCGTTGCGTACCGGCTGGCCGGGATGTGGCCGGAAAGGGTGGAGAAGGTGGTGATCGCCAGCTCCGGTGTTAATCTGACTAAAAAAGATAACGAGCGGTTGATGAAGAGGGCTAACGTTGGAAGAATCGAAGAACTGATGTTGCCGGGAAATCCGGGACAGTTACGGACGCTTTTGAGTTTGTCAGTCCATTACTGGCGTCCGTACTACGTGCCGGATTTCGTCTTGAATGATTTCTTGCAGGTATATTCTTTTTTTTATTATTATTATTTTATATTTTCCCTTTATGAACCGCTTTTTTTTTTTTTTCCTTTCCTCCATTTTATTTTTTGGGTTTAAATGCATTTTTTATTACTTTTTTTTTAATCACCGTAGTATTTATGTTTCGAAATGGACCACATTTTTCGTGTGCTTACATTTGCGCCTTGCAAAGAAGGAAAAAGAAAAGAAAGTTCATTTATGATTCATGTGTGTTTATGCTGTCAGAATTTTGCACGGTATAAATGAGATATTCCTATATTATTTCAAAGTAGTCTGTGTGTTATAATAAAAATTGCTTTATTCCAGTTTTTTTTTTTTTTTTGTTTTTTGAAAAAGTATTAAAGTCTTCGAAGTCATTCGTAATTTGTAGTGATTAATATATTTGGGTTGCTTCTTAAAAATGTGCTCCTACGTTTGATTGGAAATTGACAAGTTAACATAGTTAATAACTTAATACTACTTGAATTTAATTTTTGAGGAATTGACAAGTAATAATACTAGTATTAACAATTCAACTTCCAACCAAATGACAATTAATAGGTCTGATCTCGTCAAACGGTTATAAAATGGGATAACCAATTTTTAATACTAAAATAAAGAAAAAAAAAATAAAAGAAAGCAACAGCTATGAGTGATTGAATATTATAAGTCTAGACCTCTAAATCCTATAGGGTGCAAGTGCCATGAGTTGACTAGAGCTTGAAGAAGTAATCAAACACACCATATTGCAATTGTTCATAAAAAAAAAACAAGCAAGAGGTAGCCCACTGGCTCGCCCAGTGGACCAAAAGTCAAAACCTTATAATGAATGATGTCTTACAAAATTTTTCTCTTTAAGACTTTATATATAGTCCATAGGGTAATTAGGTGAATGACAATCATTTCTAATTTTCTTTATTAAATAAGGAGGGAAGAATAATCTAATGACTTTAACCTGTTTGCACTCTATATGATCTACTTGGTGTTACTCATTGGGATTCTCATGTTGGAAAAATAAACGGTCTCTTTTAAAAAAAGTTTATATTAAATTTATACTGTTTTTAATATTAATCTTAAAATTTAATATAAACTATTTTTTAGGACAGAAGGAGTAATTCAGCTTATTATACAGTAATTCAGAAGGAGTAATATTTTTCTATGTAGTTAGTGTTGTACAAGTACATGGCTTTTTAAAATAACAAAACAAAGGTACATGTAATTATGAAATGGGAAGAATAATGGAAAGGTCAACGTCAATCTGTATCAATGTGGATTGTTCAAGTTTGTGTCCTTTTGGTATTTTGCCTTGGCCAGTAGGGAATTTGGGGGATTAACGTTAAGATTGTACTGGTCCCAGATCAGAAGGGACACAAATACTTGTGACTCACTCAGGTAAAAAGTAAAACTTGATTTGAGGTTAGTCCGGAAGTTTCGATGGGGAATCAAATAATTCATGATGTGAAAATTTAACTAGAAACTCTTTTGGGTTTGGTTTTTTTTAACCTTATATTATCATCATCAAGACATACAAGTAGAGTAGTTTGGAAATGATTCTGGACTTTTTCCATTTTAGGCAAGGCTATCTCTGTCACCTTTTGTTTTCCACGCTATCCCTCTTTTGGGATAAAAATAAACATTTATTGTGACATCTGAGCAACAGAACTTTGTTTTCCTATTATGATGATCAACTGCAATTATGAAGAAAAAATCTGCGATGATAATGATAATTATTTATTTATTTATTTATTATTTTTTTTCGTATAGTGATAGATGTAAATGTGAGGGTTCAATCAGAGTATTTAATTTGATTTCTTAACAAACTTTAATTTGATTTCATAAATTGGACTATTTTTCTGTAATGCAAAGAGTAATTAGGTTTTTTTTTTTTTTTCTTAAAGGTTTTCTCGAAATCAGCCACGCTATACATTTGATTTATTTATGGATTAAATTTGGATGGATGCAGAAATTGTATGGAAAAAATAGGAAGGAGAAACTGGAACTGTTGAAGGGATTGACTCTTGGACGTGATGATTCTCCCCAGATTACCCCTCTCAAGCAGGTAATTTCTCCTTAATTACTTGGAATAATTGTATTTGATTTATCTGATTTAATCACTTATTTATCAAATTAAATTAAATTGCAGGAAGTTCTAATTGTGTGGGGCCAGAATGACCAAATTTTCCCACTGGAAAAAGCAAAACAACTCAAGGAGTATGCCACTCTTCCCCAACCATTTCCATTCTTTATTTTGCTTTAATTAATTCCAACTTAGATTTTGTATCCCATGTTTTCTACTTTCCTTACACCTTTTCCATGAATCGTTTTATTAATCCCCTTTAATATAATGTTTGAGTTTCACAAATTAGACTATTAACATGAGAAATAGATAAGTCTCATATTCTCAAAAGAATTGACATAAACTTGTTTTTTTTTTTTTTTGGTAATAGCTTTATCATAGCTTCTTAATTGAACTAATTTAGCGTAACGTGACAGGTGTTTGGGAGAGAAGGCCAAATTAGAAGTTCTGAAAAATGCATCGCATTTGCCTCAGCTTGAACAATCCGGGAAGTTCAACAAAGTTGTCAAAGCCTTCTTGTTTGCTTCATGATCTTCCTTCATTCTGTTGAGATTTACGTTTGTTTAGGGTTTAAGGTTTAGACTTCGAGGTCTAATCCCTTTTGCATCCGGGAGTGCTTTGCTAATGCATTGTAAATATGTACCAACGCATTTGTAATTGAGCCTATTTTCGTTATTGTCTAGGATTTGCAAGTGTATTTGCAAACTTTTAATAAAATGGTGTTTCTAGTTCAAAATAATTTTCTTATCCCTTTTATCCTATTAAAGCAGAAGACATGAAGCTTATGTGGCAATTACGTACGCATCTATTTTGGCTCTAATGCACCATATTTTAAATTTCAGGAGTCTTTTTGCCACGTGTAAGTCTCTTTTAATTAGAAGTTACATAATTCTTTTTTTTTTAAAAAAAATATGTTTTAGATGCGACACTTATCCAATGGAAAAATTCTACAAATAAGAATCAGTTATATTTCAAACGAATGGATATATTAATTCAAATTCAAATGTCCAATCGTACAGTTTTGTAAGCTTAATATAAACAAAAAATAAAAAAAAACTTAAATTCAGTAATTAAGAATAATACATTATAAACTAATTATTTATTATTCCCTTATAACCTCAAATTTATAGGTATATTTTTTTAAACCCCCATAACATAAATGATATATACGCCAAATTAATTCCTCAAAAAATAGTAATTCAATTAGATTTTAATAAAATAGTAATTTAGAATGGGCACCCGGACATCTGCCTGGGTCAAACATCTAGTTTATTATATTATATTACTATAAACTCTTTCTGTAGTCTTGTCCGATAAATATTTCAATCATTTTGGCACGCAAAGATTAAGAGATAACTTTTCGTTTATAGTACAACAGATAAGGAAAAAGATTTAAATTAAAATATATTTCATGAATAAAATACACAGACAAAATCGTATTCGAACGACCCTAAAATGGAAAGTAAAAGTATGAGCATCAGAAAATAGATAAGTAGCCGCACCCTTATAATAACGGGCCATTTTGTAACTGTCCAATTTGATACAAGACCCAGTTACAAAGCAGCAATTCATTTCCACTGGTACTGGGCTCTATCTGTATGGGATGGAACTTTCATCTTTCAGTTATTGGTGGATCCTTTTCATTTCCTGATACTAAATGGGCTAAGGCAATTACAGCTTTACTACAAGATTGATTTGAGTTTGTTTCTTTGCCATGCCAGCTAGCTCTTCGTCCTGTTAAATACTCTCTCCGTTTTAAAATTATTGTTCAGTTTTGATTTTCATTCATAATATAAAATAAACTAAAAATAAAAACTCAAACTCGACAGATAATACTCCCCTGGTTAGTTTAAGAAACTACTTGATTACAAAAATAGAAATTATTCTGATTTTACTTAACCCGCCTGGTTAAAACAATCAGTTGACATTAATGCTAATTTTTTTTTAGGATATTTGTCAAAAATTTGAACATATTTTACATTGAAAATAAAAAAAATACTTATTTTGAACATTTTCTATTTTACCTTAACATAACAGTATTTATTTCAAAATGGAAATAATACGTTCAAAAGCTCGGTGTCCAAATCTAACTTTTACTAATATACGTAAAATCTACAATTAACATGAGAAACGACATCATTTGCTCGCAAATCTATTGAAAAAGAACAAAAAAGAAAAAGAATTTGATGATGACAAAAAAGAAAAGAAGTAAAAAAGGGAAAAAATAGAAGAAAAAAGTACAGTCAAATTACAGTTGGAGTACACTGAATAGTAAATGGGAAAAATGTTTGACCAGAGCAGTAAACCAAAAAGACAAAAGAGATGGTAAAAAAAATAATCTAACCTAACCATAGTTGGTTCAAAAGGGGCTAAAAAAGAGAGAGAGAGAAAAAAAAAAAAAACAGTAACCAAATTACACACAGTCACACAGTGTGACAGTGGACACACAGCAAACACTGACCACTGTGTTGTTTGTTTTTGCCTGGTGCACTGTGAAATTGGTAGCAAGCAAGCAGCACTGCTGCATTTCACACTAAAAAAAAAAAAACACCTACTTCAAGGTGGGGACTGTGTGTGTCTTGTACTTTCCTGTGAGTTGTACACTGCCATTTCTTCTTCCTCTGTTTTCTCTTTTGTTGTTCTTTTGGTGGGTTTTTTTTTTTTTTATTCCCTACTATTATTATTATTTTTTTCTGGGGAAGCTTTTTTCTTTACACTCTCACTTGCCCAGATCAGTGCTTTTTTTCGCCGGTCTTTTTGGCTCAGATCCGCTTCAAAGTTCCTCTGCTCTTAAGGTTAGCCTGCCTTCTTCTTTTCAAGCGTTTATTTTGCCTTATTTTCCTATTATTATGTTTACGGTCTGCCATTTACTATAATTATCTTTTGATCATGTAGTTTTAGTTTTGAGAAATGAATGATAAATAAACTGCTGGGTTGTCCGTATGCAGGAAGAGGAGGAAAATTTTGCTAGGCTTTTGATACATAAGAATATAAAATTTTCTATGGGCAAATGCTTACTGTGTTAAAGACTTGATTTTTAGCCGACCCCTTTGTTGGGGCGGTTTGTTATTAATTGATGGGTAGTTTCATACTTGAGCTTCCTCATGTAATGTGTGGATGATCACTCAGTTTTATTAAGTAGGAATTGTTTAAAATGCTTAGTGGTGTGATTTTTGGGGAAGTATCTCTAATGGGTTATGGGATGTGGCCCTCTGCCTACTGTCACATTGAAACCTCCCCTTAGACTCCTTTCAAACATGGTGCCAAATAGTCTAGAAAAGGAATGCTGGCCAAGGAATGGTCTGCAATGTGATATATTGGTGAAAGGTTTGTCCTTAAAAGAAGATAGTACAATGTGAGATCCAACTTCATTACGCTACAAATATTTTGCTCTGAATTTGCTGTAATTATATCTGAAGTATGTTGCCTGAGATTTGCTTCATTCTTAGGTGTTGGTAGACTTTATGTAAAGGGTACTCATGGGAGGGAATTGAAGTTTCTCAATCCTGGTACTGCTTTAGGAGTACAAAATCTCTATGCTTACTACTGTAATCGGAAACATGGGCTTACTCTGCAGCAGACACCAAGACCACAATCAAGCTGATGCTGAAGAGAATGCACAGGTTGTTTCTGTTGCTGACATCTTATTACTTTAAATGGAACCGTTTTGCAGTGTTACCTTTTTACTTTTGTTCACGAGCCTGTCCCCATTTCATTCTGTCTGACACTAGTATTCTTCAGACTGCAGAAATAGAAAGAAGAATAGAGCGAGAAACAAAAGCTGAGAAGCATATTCAGAAACTTCTTTTACTCGGTACATGAGTTGTGATCTTATCTACCTCTATTATGTCATCCTTGTAATCATGCATCTTACTTATTGTGAAGAACTGTTTATTACTTAGGATTACTTAAATAATCTCAAAAGCTGTTTGGGGGAGGTCCAGGTCTCCATTAGTTCGCGTGGAATCTCGTAAATGTTCTTTTTTTTTTTTTTCCGCTTGTAATCTTAGTTTTAGGTCAAAACCTGATTTAGGTTTGTTATGATCAATTACTTTATCAAACAGGCAACTGCTACTTAATTTATTCAAATGATTGTCTATCCCTTAAAGTAACCCATTAGGTTGCTGAAAGTATTACCTAGAGACTAAACCTGAAAAGATATGTAATGCATTATCAGAAAGCTTCCACCTGGCCAGCCAAATTTCTTCTTATCCTTTTTCCAAAATCATTTATGGGAAAAGTAGTGCAATATATTTCACTATCCACCGGGGCTTATATGTGGAACGCTCTCATTGAATAATTTAGTTAGTTATTGGAGATCCTTGCAGATCAGTTATATCTGCATTTTCTTTGGCCTAAGAGTAGTATTTGGTTGAGACACAACCCTCCTGACTTTTAATCCCTTGTCTTTCTGCCTCATAAAAGGATAATTTTTGACAACTTTCTGTATTCACCTTTATTTTCTTCTCATGTCGATTAGGTACTGGAGAATCTGGCAAGTCCACAATTTTTAAGCAGGCAAGTGTTCTCGGCATAAAGTATCATAAGGCAAAAGAAATCAGTTTATCTAAGTGGTCAGAGTCAGTTAATATGATCCATTTGATTCACTTGCAGATAAAACTACTGTTCCAGACTGGATTTGATGATGCTGAGTTGAAGAGCTACATACCAGTCATTCATGCCAATATATATCAGACAATAAAAGTACGGATTCCTGGAAACGGTGTGTTGGTTATTTCTTTTTGGCATTATGAACACGGTGGTGTCATGATAGAGATATGCACACATTTTCCTCGTAAAGTTTTCTGCTGTTCAGTTAGATTAAAGATAACAAGGTGGTAACTGGTACTAATTCACTTTATGGTTGAATTCATCTTATGTACAGATATTGCATGATGGGTCCAAGGAGTTGGCTCAAAGTGAAGGAGAATCGGGAAAGTATGTTTTATCTCCTCCAAACAAGGTTTGAGTTATTGTACTTTCTTTGGCAATTTTTGGTGGATAACTACCAGTCTTCTCCTTGTGTATAATTCTATTAAGAATTTATTGTAAAAACAATCAAATGCCTGTTTCGGGCATCTTTATTTTTAGATCTAACATTTCGCATGCAAACAATTTATGAAGCCTTCTTGAAGTTTTTGCATGGTTGTCTACAACATTTAGTTAGAGATCCATCAATCTAAATCTCATTTTTTAATGTGTTAGGAAACTGGGGAGAAGCTTTCTTCAATTGGGGGCCGGTTAGATTATCCTCATCTCAATAAGGAACTGGCTCAGGAGATTGAAACTCTCTGGAAAGATGCTGCTATACAGGTGATTTCCCATAATGACCGAATAGTACTATTTTTTTGGAGTCCACTGTTGTTGGTTTTTGTGCTTCTCTTTGATTTTGTTTTACTAGAGATTAATGCCAGTAATAAAGTTTAGCTTTTTGTACTCGTTGCTAGGTATAGTCTTTTTTTTTTAAAAAAAAATTATTTTTTGTGTTTGTTTGGAGATTACTGTTTTTTCTGTACTCTTTGCTAGGTTGTAGTTTTCTTAAGTAAGTTGATGACTGACATGCAGGAAACATATGCACGCGGTAATGAATTTCAAGTTCCAGATTGTGCCCATTATTTCATGGAAAATTTGCATAGATTTTCTGATGCACACTACATTCCAACAAAGGTACAGTGACTGCTAACTTGTTGCCTACTAAATCTTTTTCCGGTTTCCTTTTCCTAAGAAACATTTGTGGACTCTTTAAACAGTTAAGAAAACTGTGGTGATTGGTTGTGCTATTTAAGAAATCCCGTGCAGTACTCTCTTACTAAATATCTCTGTAATTTGAGCTTAGGGAAGTGTGTATGTTTTTATATATGTAATTATGTATGTGTGTGTGTGTGTGTGTTTTCTACCACCAGGTTGCCTTCACCATCTCTACTGCAGTGAAATTGCTTCATGTTGATGGGCCCATTTTGTGTAACTTTACTTTTAGTCATCCCTCAGAAAAAGCAAATTAGAGACAAAAAAGTCAAAATCAGGTGTATGGATTTCAATATTAAGTTTCAATATCTCCACCTCTAGCGGGCAATGTGGCTGAGAAAGATGCATTAAAGTTGATCTTAATGACCCGAAAAAGAAAAGGTTGATCTCTCCAATGGCTAGTATATTCGTCTCCAACTGCAACCTAATAAAACCATGAAGAACACATTGAATGTGTATGCAGCTTATATCTTATGCCATCTATTTTTGGATTGTTGGTAAATACAGTATTGACTCTGAATAACTTGTAACCGAAAATTAGTTCTTATTTACTGCAAAAAAATAAAAATTTAGTTCGTATATTGAATTGTCTGTATTTTGTTTGCCATAATGTTGCCAATGAAAAGGTTCGTTGGATTAGCGTTGCTGTTTTCCATTTCATGTTTTCTTTGCCATTGATACTGCCTTTTGTTCTTATATTAGTCACCTTTTTTTAACAGGAGGATGTGCTGTATGCAAGAGTTCGTACTAGTGGTGTTGTAGAAATTCAGTTCAGGTTAGTTTCACTTTGTGTCAAACTGGTCAAAATGAACTGAAGGAAGAGTTTATCTCTTCCATGATCATCTAAAACTGTTGTTTGGCATGTGACATTTGTCTACTCTGCCTTCACTTACCACACACTGTTCTGACCTTTATATATTACTTGTACAATTAATAGGTTCCTTCTCTATCCTCTGTTCCTTTAATTTTTTAATTGATGCACAGCTAACAATTAAGGTGTTTGCAGCCCAGTGGGAGAGAACAAAAAAAGTGGCGAAGTATATCGACTTTTTGATGTTGGAGGCCAGAGAAATGAGAGAAGGAAGTGGATTCATTTATTTGAGGGTGTTTCTGCGGTGATCTTCTGCGCAGCCCTTAGCGAGTAAGCTTGATTACATACTCTTTTTACTTGTGCATCATGCTTGTGCTGCCTAGTCTTTCAGCCTCCCTAATTTTCAATCAAAAGAAATGGCACTGACTTGGACTGGTGCCTCAGTGCTGGCTAATTTTGCATTACTTGCTTACTGACCCTAAGATCACTGTGGCTACATATTTTCAGGTACGATCAAACCCTTTACGAGGATGAGAGCAAGAATAGAATGATGGAAACTAGGGAACTCTTCGATTGGGTCCTAAAGCAACCATGTTTTGAGGTGAGTGAATTTTTGCTATAAACATATCCTTTCCTGTTCTTTTCCCATCCAAGAGAAAAAGGATAATATGTTTTTGACTGAGCTTGAATAAGAATTGTAAACAATGCTAAAATATGTTAGTAATTTTAAAAAGCTTGGTTGTTATTGGAAAATTCCCTCTATAGAAGTTTCGAATGATCGACTTACCTTCCGTTTCTAATGTCCTTATTCTGCAGAAAACATCATTTATGCTATTCCTCAACAAGTATGATATATTCGAGAAGAAGGTCCTCAATGTAAGGAGGCACAGTTGCTTGTTTATCTTTTGAAAAGTACCTTTTTAGCAACATACTGATCGAGATATTCTTCCGGTGCAGGTTCCTCTAAATGTCTGCGAGTGGTTTAAAGATTACCAGCCAGTTTCGACTGGGAAGCAAGAAATTGAGCACGCATATGAGTAAGTAATCATCAAAGCCATTATCTGCAAGACTCCCTCAAATCTTTACTTGTAAAGTGAATCTTCTTTAGAGTAAATGTCAGAAATCATCATTTACATTGTACATGTGACCAAAAGATCCTTCTTATTATTGGTATTTGACTCTTGAAATTGTTGGTTGTCATCCACGCATCCATAAATTTGGGAAACTGTGAGTTTCCAGGTATAGAAACTATCGATAGGCCTTCTTCACGTAGAATGCATGCGAATGGTTTACCATTTGGAAGGTACAAAACAGACTCAGCCACATATACTAAATTTTGCCACCCTTTCTTCGTCTAGGTTCGTTAAGAAGAAATTTGAAGAGTTGTATTTCCAGTGCACTGCTCCTGACCGAGTGGATCGTGTGTTCAAGATTTACAGAACCACCGCGCTTGATCAGAAGCTTGTAAAGAAGACATTCAAACTAGTTGATGAAACGTTGAGGAGGAGAAACCTTTTCGAAGCAGGTTTGTTGTGACCCACCCAAGGCCCCCCACCCCCACACCAAAAAAAAGAAGAAAAAAGAAGAAACAAATTTGTCAATAGTTTCCGATAATGAGGATGACGGAATTGTATGAGAGTGAGTTCTGGACGGCAAATTTGTACAATTATTAGGCAGGAAAAAAAAAAAAACTGGCACAGCAGCTTAAGGATCGTAGTCCTTGAAGATTCATTCCACAGGTGTAAACAAGTTTTTTTTTGTATTTCCCATTCTTTTAAGCAAAATCTAAATCACGCCATTTGATCTTGTGTCATTGTGATAAAGGACCCAGCCAAAAGAAACAAATTGTCATCAATTTACTTATTTTCTGATCATGAGGATGACATATTTGTACCGGAGTTCTGGTCGGCAAATTATAACCACGTGCTTCTTTATTATACTATTAAAAATAGTACTATAGAAAACGTTGACCGGTCTAAATGTAACATGTGTTACTCCTTCCGTCTCATAATTATTATTTAATTTGGGTTTTCACTTTTAGTACAATTTGAACTGAAAATGAAAACTCAAACAAAACAATAATTATGAGACAGACGAAGTATAAGATATTATTGTGTTCACATTTCATAATCGGTTTGAAATTCGGCGTGAGTAGAACTTTTGATATATAATACTCTTTCTGTCCCAAAATTATTGTCCAGTTTGAGATTTCACTTGTAGTATAATTTGAACTATAGATGAAAATCTAAACTGGACAATAATTACGGGAGGAAGGAAGTACCCCTTTTGTCAGTTTTGTGAAGACGCAGATAATAGTATTGAGCTATTGAATGAATGAATAATGGCACGTTTCAGTCCTTGAAAAATGCCTCTTTTCCATGTATGATTTCCAGTATACACACACCCCATCATCAATTCCAACATCAAAACCATTAGTTAGTAAATTGAACTTTTTCTACAACTATTTTAAGACACTGAATTTTTTTTTTTAAATAATGAATTGAAATTACAAGCAAAATTTCTTAAAAAAAAGTTATCAATATTACGTTCACTTGATGGTCGACTTTTATAAGTCAACGACAAAGTCAATAAAAGAAACTCACAAAAATGCAATTTACTAAAGAATGTCGATTGGAGATGTCGACACGATATATATATATATATATTTTTAAAAAATATAAACTAAAGTTATATATACGTCATATATATCTTTAGATTTATGAGGACTCTAGTCTATACATCTTTTTTTTTAGTACTAATAATGTCGAAAATATTCAATTACAACATCACCAAAACAATATTATTATGTAGCTTAAGAAGAAGAGAAAACGGCAACAAAACAAATTCAATGTATCTGCAACACTTAAACAATGAATCAGAAAAAGCAGACCAACGGATGCTCTACCCAGATCTGGATAATAACATTGGAGGTTTAATTCGCCAACTTTGATTCTCATATACATACATGACTTGAAGCTCTTCCACTGGCCACGGTGATGACAAGGACACCGAATATGTATGTGTCTCAAATTTGTAGTATTTTCATTATAAATCTCAAAATACAATAGGGACTATTTTATGGAGACATAGGGATTACATCATCAACATATAATTAGAGAATGTGAGATTGTTTTTGGTAGTCCTTTCACATGATTCTCACATGTATTTTTATATTTTGCTTTAGATTAGTTTTTTTTTCTTCTTAAACTAAAAATGTTGTATCTTTTCGTTTTCTTTTTCATATTTTCTTTTTTATTATTTTTCAACATTTATTGTGATCTTTTATTACAATTATTAAATTTTTCATCTTTTATTGTGTACTATGTGTGTTATACGTTTTATCTCCTTTCATCTTCTGTTCTTTACTATCGGTATTAAATTTCATATATATTTCTCTTCCATTATTTAAGAATGTTATACTTTTCATCTCCCCTTATCTCTTGTAACAACTTGTTCATGTGTCCTTTTGTTTACTTTTAGCATTCAATACAATAGTTTTTATAAAACTATTTAAGCACCACAATTCTAATTCATCTTTTATGTTGGTTTTCTCTCTTCTCCATTTATCTCTTATCTTGATTTTCTTTCTTTTTTCTCTTCTTTTGCAAGTTCTTTAAATATGTTTTAGCAATTTGATTGAAAGTTTAAGTTGAATTCAAATAGAAGTAGGGATGCTGATGTTTGGCTATTCAGATAACATAAAATTAAGTTGCAAAATTCAAAAGCAGTGAATGAAGGTTGTAATAAAAAAATTTAAATTGTTCTTGAATCATAGGCATGTTCTTGATTTCAGGTAAAATTTAATGCGGTTAATACTTTACAATTCATAAGCAATAGTTATTTATTTATTTTTTCACCAAACATTTTGAAACCATGACTCTCTTTCACATGTTCAAGTTATTGAATTTATTGTTGTAAATGTCAAATTAAATTTATGTGAGAAAAATTATACACAGTTCCATTTTGATCATCTATATTATTGTAACAAAATGGATTATGAAAATAAGATAATGTATCATTCTTTTGTTGTTTCTCTCTTCAAATTTAAGCATGTCATAATTACACATTTAGAGTTAACATATATTATTATACTCATGTTGTTTTATATTGCAGCACGAACACGTTCGATCCATCTAATAATAATAAATCCCGCATCCATATTTCTTGATTGGTTTGAAATTCACCGCACAACAAATATGATATAATATTATCTACAATTTTTTTTCAATAATCTTCGGTTTTTATTATTCGACTAATAACAATTAAATGTGGCTTGAAAATACATTGGACAATAATTATTAAGTTTCCTTACTAGTACTGCTTTCATTCCATAATTATTGTCTAGTTTGAGTTTTTATTTCTAATTCAAATTGTATTAAAAGTGAAATTTCAAAGTGGACAACAATTTTAGGACAGAGGAGAACTTTCGGAAAAATTTGTTCGCATGTAAAAATGGTTAAACACCGCACATGGAATAATTCCAAATTTCCAATGATCCAAGAGAATTTGAATTATGCACAGTATAAATACACGCCAAATTCATCTGAATTTCTCTCAGTGCAAAAGACAGGAAACAAACTTCTAAGAAACAGCAGAAAAATGATTGATCAATAAATAAATTCACTAAAATAACCGATGCACATGTACGCAAAACAGGGTAGGTAAGGAAGGAAACGAATCCAAAAATTTTCTTCAAAACACAACCGAAAAAAAAAAAAAAAAAAGGAGAGGAAACACCAAATCTGGGACTTTCCTGAGGGGACCAGCAACAACAGCAAGCAATTTATGCAAAAAAACAGAAGAAAATTGGTTTACCAAACTGGGTCGCTTTCTTGAAGAATCCTCGTTGAATTTTTCTCTATCAGTGAAATTTTGCAAATCAAATTCGGTAATTGTCAGCACCCCTCCAAAAAAGGGATCCCAGTATTAAATTCGCCTTTCCTATTAATTAAAAAAGCCCACTTTTTATTACTTTTCAAATTAATGTGAGAAACGAAAGCATATTCTTTTCCTCCTCCATTGTTGTGCTGTTTTTTTTTTTTTTCTTTCCTTCTCCTTCTTTTCTTTCTTATTCTGGCAGGACCCAAAAACCCTTTTTGTATCTGATCAGAAAGTTTAAGCCTTTATGATAGTTTATTGTTGTTATTGCCGTCTCTGTTTGATCTAATTCCCATTGAGGGTGCCCAGAGTATCCCTTTTTTGGGTTTGTTAGTTCTTCATTCAGGTTTGTTCTGCCGCCCCTCTTTCGTTTTGCACTTAAATTTCTGTCTTGTGTGTTGTTATCTGTTTGCATGCACTGGGTGATTGAATTGTAATTTTCTCATTTCTATCTAATTCTTTGTTATTGGCATGATTTCCTCACTCCATTGTTGTTTGAAAGCTTTGATTACAATGCATGCCCATATTGTCTTTGGAAAATTCCTGGATTCGTTTTATTTCCGTTGTTTCTGTTTTTTAGATGGGGAAGGGATTCTTAATTTTGTGTAATTTGGGTTTCAGGAGTTAAAGTTTCTTGCGTTATTTATTTTTTTGGGTATATATAAATTTTGAGCTGTGATTATTGAATGGATGCTAGAAAAATAATTAGTTTGATCACGTCCCTGCATAAGCTTAGGGCCTTTTCATCCAGCAGTTTTGTATCTGCTACACTCTGCTGCAAATAGTAGTTGTAGTCTTCAGAAAATGGATTACCAGTAGTTTATTGCAATGCTTTCTGATGTAGATTGAGTACCCTTGTTATAGTTTTGATCTTGAATTATAGCAGCAAAATTACAGTTTTATACCAATGAAAAAAGATTTATCATCTCATTTCTTGACATGCTTTTTCTTGTTGGTCAGTCAGCCGTTGTAATGGTGAAACTAAGATTTCACCGAGGTGTGGTTATTGAGATTTGACGAGCATAGTGGTTCTGAACTGTGATATCAGACTTTGTGGCAACCCATTGAGCACATTACGAATTGAATATACCAGAGGTTTGGAGTAGTAGGGTTTTCTCAAACCCATGGATCCTGATGGGGGGTCATCAAACATATTTCCTATGGATCCATTGGTGCCGCATGGTATGGGAGCCCATTTTTTGTCGCACGTTACCTCTTTTATTGACTGTTCCAAACACTTGTACGTGTCTGGAAGTACAGCACTTGATGAAGCTGTCAGTTGCGTTTCAAAGGTCGCCGGCGGTTTGCTGATTTGGTTTGCCAGAGGTTCGAATTTGAATAATACTATTCACAGAACTCGTCGTTTGACTTCTAGGAATCCAAGAAGCATTACCCAGTTAAAGCCTGTTTTTTCTGGCGGATCAAAATCAATTGGAGTTTTTGGGAATTGTAGAAGTGATGGGATGTTTGGAGTCCCTTTTGCATGGTTTTCTATGAAACAACTGTGTAAAGAAGCACATCAGATATTTTCCTTTTCACCTCTTCTATTAGCTGCCGCCCTGATACCTCCGCTTAACAATGTGTATGTGTTATGTTTTTCCTCATTGAGCTACATATTGTTTTTTTGTGTACAAGATATTAATTTGATATGGATTATAATTTTGTTTTTTCTTTGAGATCTTGAGTCTAGAAACCTCCTGTTTTAAGGCTAAGTTTCTGTCTTCATTGTTGTGGGTGATAATCAGATGTCCAGTCGTTATGGCTGTTCCCGTGGAGACCGCCGAACTTGAAACTCAGAGCTGCCTCTGCCAAAGACCTAGTGAGATTGAACATCAGCGGAGCAGTTGTATCAATCTTCGTAGTTTGAGTTGGGCTGGTCATGCTGTGGAGCCAAGAACTGGCGTCGTGTTTCCTACTGTCTTGGAAAACATAGCTGGAGAAAATGATAACTCTAATTTTTCATCAGAGGTAGATCTTAAAGCCTAAATGCTGCCTGCTCAGTTATCTGGACTAATTTTCACAGGAACTTTTAGACTGCACTTGCCGCCAATGTTTCTGTGTATTTAGCCTTCTGGTGTTTTTGCCAGCCTGCATTTCCCTTTATGTCAGATGGGTTTCTTCAAGATGTTGATTATCATAGATACTCAGTTCTTATGCTCTTATTCTCTTCAGATATTAGCTTTGGAGTTCTCTTTTCCTTAAACTATTTTTATGTTTTTATATATCTGGGCCCAAACAAGTTAGAATGAAAATAGGCCTCGGATGTTGTCCTTCATCAAATAGTACCATGGAATATATTATTGATTTTTTTGTGCAATTATTTTGTTATGTATTTATTTTTTCCCCTGTTCACTATGAAAAATTGAAGATCGTCTTTTTCTCTTTGATGTTATTAAGAACTTTTCATCTGTATTAGATCCTTGTTGGGACTGGATCAAGAATAATGAAGATCATCAGAATAAAATCTCTGAAAGTCTATGCATTTGGTTTTTGTAAGTTTCTGGTTAACTCAAGTCTATATTTATAATATTTCAAATTCCTACATAACTTTTAAATTACTCTTGTTGTGCATAGATATTCATCCTGAGGATGTCTGTGAGAAACTTGGTCCAAAATATGCGTCTCTTCCCTTCTCCGAGTTGAACAAATCTGGTAACTTTTATGAAGACCTCCTCAGGTATTTTAGCACTTATTTAATGATTTCATCTACCTCATGCGATCTCACTTCTGTCGGTGTTGTTGTTGTTCTGTCTCCTCCTTTGTTACTATTATTATGGTTTTTGAAGTAAGTTTATCAATTTAGAGGTTGTTTTCTCTGTTTGTTCACTATAGTTTGTTGAACAATCTGTCTTTTCGTCTTTGATGCTGTAGCATATTTTAAAGCGACCCTTTATTTGTGTACATAATAGCTCTGCATATAAGGATGTTAGTGCTTCAGGGAATTTTTTTATTATAAATTTTATGTGCTGAGGAACATTTAAAGCTTTTGTAACTTGAAAGAAATCTGCAAACATCTGTCATCAACGTGATGTCTCATTGGGGGTTGTTTATGTGTAATTTGTAATAAGATTTATATCTCAACTTCAGTGGCTTTTTCTTCTAATATTTACATATGTACTTGCAGGGAAGACATCAATATGACTGTCAGGCTTGTGGTTAGTTGCAACGGGATTAAATTTAACACTGTCAAAGAGTAAGTTTAAACTAGTTCTGTTGTTAGAGCAAATGTTGTTTACATCATTTTTTGTCTGTGCTTATCATCTCCTTGCTCTACACTAGAAAAGGATTAGGTATCCTGTACTTGTTTTTACGCCTTTGATTCCTACTGGAAGGTTGAGTGATAAATGCTGATGCATGCCTTGAATGCAAAAAAAATGATACGTATTCATGTTTCTGGAGTCCAAATGGACAATGCTGCACTAAGTGATGCTAGATTTCACGCTTTATTTAATCTAGTTTGACTTGGTTTGCAGTTCCTGTTTTGTGGTGAAATTTGCTGATTATTTTATTTGCGTTCTTTTTCTTCAGGGCTTTCGAGAAATCTCTTCGAGCTCGATTACAGAAGGTGAGTCACATGTGAAGCATACCCTATCTCTAGTTGAATATGAGTCAAATCAAGCATGCTGACCCTTTTAATTTTTTTTTTTATTATTATTTTTTGGTTCTAGACAAGTCCAGGCACTGACTACAGCTGCCTACAAAGTTTTCGTTCTATTTTTCAAGATGACATTCCTTTGCAAGTGGTAAGTGATTTTTTGAGCTGAAGTGTGTTCTCAAGCTTTAGCAAAAATATTTCTGACCTAGAACTGAATTTCTCCAGGGAACTACAATCAGTTTCCGCCGCACGGCTGATGGATGTTTCATTACTGAAAGTAAGTATATGATTCTGTTTGTCGTTTTAGCTCTTGTAGCTTAGAGCGAGTACATTGTCAATTCACAAGCTAATTTGTCCAAATTGTTATCAACAAATAATGAAATCTATAGGAAAATCAAAGAAGGTAAAGTAAATCACAACATTGATTTACTATACCCACTTCAGTCACTAGTCATTTTCTTATGCGAGTTGCATCATCTATTGCGTTCTGAATCTTTGCATCTTTGATTTTTTATTTTATTGCAAAAGAATTTACATTCGATAATGTTCAGGATGCCAAAGAGACCTTGTTTAGATTCTTACTATATTTCTCATTTTTCAAATGATCATTCTTATGTGCAGTTGGGAACAACAAGCTCGGAGCAGTCCACAGCAAGGAGTTATGCAGTAAGTGTTATGCCACTTGTTTGCTTTTCTCGCTTAAATTTGAGTAGTCTTGTTGGAATACCATCCAACAAGCACACACGGATGCCAATGATGAGAACGAAATGCTTTGACATGTGTTTTTGAACTTTATCTTTCTAGGGGCTTTTTTTGACATGTATATTGGTGATGTTCCTGTTTGCGAACAAACAAAAGAACAAATTGGGAAGAATGTTGCGAGTTTAATGAAGAGCTGCTGAGTTGAGTTGCCTGAATTCTCGGCTCTGTTAAAATGGGTCAAATTTTTGGCACCCTTTCTTCCATTGTTGCCGAGCAGGCTGTTTGATGCACTGGACCATTCTGTGGTGGCACTGGACCATTCTGCGAGTTTAAGATGCATCTGGATAAGTGAAGCATCACCGGTCTTTGATTGATATACACCTCAAAATTTAGGGTTAGGCAGATAGGTTTGTAAACTTAGTAGCAGGATTGTGTCACAATGGATTAGAACTTGATAAGAATTAAGTACAGGTAGGAACGATTCATTTCCTTCTGTTGTGTAATTTAGTTATAGTCAATGCTTATATCCCGAGTTACTTCATAGTTCATACTTTATTTCTGGGTCCAATTTGCAAGCTAGCAGTATTGACTATTGAGTTTGCATGAGTTCAGAATAAAAAAAATTCAACAAGGTTCATTCTTGAAAATATAGGGATTTTTTTTTTTTTTTTTTGAATACGAAGGAAGCCAGTGGCTTAATTACAAAACATTGGAACCATTGTGAAATAATTTGGAATGAGCAGTTTTCAATGGCCTGAAAGTTTAATCTAATTGTGTCATTGTGAATTCTTTCACATTCTGGATTTTGTATGTCAAGACTTCGTTTGCACGAGACAAATATGAAACACTAATATCTTAGAAAGAATTGTGAATGCGAAGTCTGAGTTAAAAGAACGAAAAAAAAATTAAAAAAAAAATAAATTGTGTAAAATTAATTTTAAACATGGTTAATATTTGCCAATTATTTTAGTTTTTATTTTTTGTCAAATCCGGGAGAGATAAAAAGTGGTGATATGAACGTACAACCATGTACCCCAAAGTGTACATTAAAATGCTCAATCAATGATGAATGATTTGTGAGAATAGATTTGTTACTTCATTGCTTAATCTGATCAAATTATTGCCAAACACATTTATGCTTTCTCCTTACCCTACATTTTCAATTTGTATTATGAGCCATTGAAGTGTGTAAAATATGGGTGTATTACATTTTCCTTTCTTTTCTTTTCTTTTCACTGGATGAGATCCCCTCTTAAACTATCTCCTCAGTTACTACAAACAGAAAACACTCCCCTCCATCTAAAAAAAAAAAAAGAAAAAATTAAACAAAAACCCATTTCCCTTTTTCTTTATTTTTTTAATAGATAAACAATTTGTTCTTCTTCTATTTTGTTAAATTTTGGGGAGAAAAAGGATTCTAGCTGAGTTGATGGAAAATTTACAGAGACAATATATCTTAATTTGGGTTGGTTTCTTGAATGGTGTTTTATTGTTAATGTTATGTGGTGGTGTGAATGGAGAATTCAATTACCAAGATGCACTTAGCAAGTCAATCATATTCTTAGAAGCACAAAGATCAGGGAAGCTCCCTCCCAACCACAGGCCTTCTTGGAGAGGTGATTCTGGCCTTCAAGATGGCAAGCTTGCCGGTGTAAGTGCTTTAAAAACATACATGGATCCCACCATTTTCCAAATCTCCCATTCATTAGATATGTAAGATAGTATGAAAATCAATCGACACATGTTACGTCCCAAAATCATAGTCCTATTTTTAATACAATAAACACTCACCACGTCATGTAAATGAACAACACGTAAATTTGGTTCATTATCATAGTTTTTGTATTCGTAATTATTTATGAAAGGCCCAAATACTGTAATTAACCATGTTACTCATGTAAAAACTAAAAATATAGAAATTACAAGATGTGACATTTTTTAGTAAATTTATATTTCAGGTGGACCTGGTGGGAGGATACTATGATGCAGGGGACAACGTCAAATATGGACTACCCATGGCATTCACCGTTACCACATTATCATGGGCCGCAATTTTCTATCAGTCAGAGCTTCAATCAACAGGCGAATTGAAGAATGTTCATTCTGCTATTCGATGGGGCACTGATTATTTACTCAAAGCTAGTTTCAAAAGAAATATATTGTATGTTCAGGTTAGTACATTTATTACTCTTAGAGCAACCGAACATCATTCTTCCGTCTTAAAATAAGTATCTGATTGGAATCATTCAATAAACGAAATTTCTTATTTTAGGATGGAAGTAGTGCATACAATATTTACTGGCTCGCGTACATGATTTATTCTAGTGATCAACATTAATGCTTATTTGTGGGTTCCATTTTGCATCAAGGTAGGAGATCCAAATAAAGATCATGAATGTTGGATGAGGCCAGAAAACATGAACACTCCAAGAACCGTGTTGCAAATTGACCAAAATAGGCCTGGAACTGAAATCGCAGCTGAGACTTCTGCAGCATTAGCAGCTTCTAGTATCGTATTTAGACATGTAGATAATGCCTATTCTCGTCAACTCGTCAAAAGGGCTAAAAACGTAACTTTACTGCCTCCATCTCTTTGTTCTTCAAACTAAAATGGTAACCATTTTAGGGTTTTCTTTTAATAGTAATTTCCACCTTTTTTTAATTCATGTATTTGCAGATATTCCAATTCGCCAAGACTTACAAAGGGACCTATGATGGAGAGTGCCCCTTCTATTGCTCATTCTCAGGCTATAATGTAATAATCTCAAGTAACTATTTCTTATAATTAATGACCAAGTGATGCAAATGATTTTACTTTCAAAATACTCCCACCACCGTCTCAAAACAATTATCTTGTTTGTTGTACTAAAATAATTTGACAAACACGACATTCATTTTGGGATTAGAGAGTAATAAAAAACAATGATTTGGTGAAAATTTTTGGCGGAAAAATATTGCAGGATGAGTTATTATGGGCAGCAACGTGGCTATTCTTTGCCACTAAAAGCTCCGTATATTTGGATTACATCAAAGAAGAGGCCATTACTGCCACTGTTTCTGAATTCAGTTGGGATATCAAATATGCAGGAGCCCAAGTTCTACTTTCAGAGGTACAATAAAGTTAAGCATTTATGATCATGTTAGGGTTTTGTAGTTTTAGTCTTCAAAGTTCTCAGTAGAGTCGCAATTTGCAACATTTTTTTTTTTTTGGCACATTGAATAACAGTTTTTAATAAACGTTGGCATTGTTTTTTGAACCTAAAATGCAGTTATATTGGAAAGGGGATAAAGAACTAAGTAACTACAAGCAGCAGGCTGATAATTTTGTTTGCTCCATACTTCCTGATAGCCCTTCTCACCAGGTCTACATCACTCCAGGTACTATTTCTATTTCAACTAGTTCCAGTACAACACTCACATGTAATTCTTTGATTCCTGTTAGTAAGAGCGATCTTGAACTAAGAAATACTGAAATAGACTTGTAAAATTTTAGCTTAACATTAAAAAAGAAAAAAAAAAAGAGACGGAAGAGTACATCATTCTTTTTTGGTCACTTTACACATTTTATTAAGTTGTTACAAATATTGCAAAGTGTAGGGGGAATGATTCACTTGAGAGATGGAGCAAACACACAATATGTCACTAGCACTGCTTTCCTCTTCAGTGCCTATAGTGATCTCTTAGCCAAACACAACCAACAAGTCAATTGTGGCAACAAAGCATTCACCTCTTCCCAACTTATGGCTTTTGCCAAACAACAGGTAATAATCCATCTTTTTTGCTGTAAAATTGTACATTTCATACAATCCATTTAACTTAAAATGTGGCACCATTTCTTACCCCAAAAAAATAAAAAATAAAATTATGGAGGTTACAATTAAAATGTCTAATACGGCAAATCAACATATACATACATACATATATCATAATACCTTCAAGGAAAAACATATAAACATAGCACACGGAGGGTATTGTTGTCAAAAATGGCCAAAAGTTGTTTTGGCCCCTAATTTTTGTTTTGGTATTAAGGATTTTCATGTATATTTATCATACCATTATATCATCCGTTTGTTTCAACCACGTTATTCATTATATCATATCATTTCAATAAAACATACAATTATCCTTTATGCAAATTAAGCAATCCAGAGTATAAATGCTGAACACTATGCGAATTTAATTAAATTTGTCACATAATATATATGTATATATATATATATATTGTCTTATTAATTTTTTCAACCTTAAATTTTCAGATGGATTATCTATTGGGTAAAAATCCACTGGGAAGATCATACATGGTTGGATTTGGTCAAAACCCACCAAGACAAGCCCACCACAGGGGAGCTTCTGTACCCAAAACACTTCCCAACAAAGAGGTTAGCTGCCCAATGACGTTCACTTATTGGTTTAACAAGAATGTACCCAATCCAAATGAGTTAACTGGAGCCATAGTTGGTGGGCCGGACCGTAACGACAAGTTTGTTGATCAGAGGTCTAATTCTGTCATGACTGAGCCCACAACATATACCAATTCATTGGCCATTGGTGTGCTTGCTAAGCTTGCTAAACATCATTCTTCTTCCTAATTTTGAAAGAATAACAATAGACAAAGTGAATAATTGTAACACAATGGAGGGTAAATCGCACCGGCCTCACAAATTATAGCAACCAATTAATGAAATATAGTCTCATTTTTGAAAAAATCGTATGAATTTTTTTGTTTTCCTAGTTGATTAGGTAGAAACTAGAGAGTGTTACACTTAGAAAATTATGTTTTGTTATGCCAGTCAAAGTATATGAAGGGGTATGGAGTATCTATTTTTATGTAATGTCGCTTTGTTTTATTTATTTATTTATTTTTTTTTGTAAACATTATGAATAAATAGTGAATTCAGCGGTTTAATCTAAAATTTTATATTTTTTTTCCGGTATCATCAAAATATTGAATTTTACTAATCGGCTCGCTCAACTTTGACGGGTGTTTTTTTTTGGTCCTATTTTTGTTCATTGAGGCAAAATGTCCAGCATATACACATTCATTTATAATAAAAAAAAAACTATAAGCTGTAATCTGCCAATGTTAACTCATACATGTACCTAACGAAATCATCATCACTGTATACATATCACATCATCTGAGTATGAGTGATTGGGCAAAGACTAATTGGAGCGAGAGGGATAGATATAATAATTGCAATTTAGCAACTATAAGATTTATTATGGGACCAAAAGTGATTAAAGCCTTTAACTTTTTGATCATTATAATATAATCTTTTGTGACTCTACTATTATTCAATATTTCTGTAGTCTCTGACCAGCTATAAGTAAATTGCGATAGTAGTACTAAAAGTTGGATCATCATTATTTTAATTAATCTTTACCATGAATCTAGAGGCTTAATTTGTATCTTAAATCGTAGGGACTATATACATAACAGCTAGAGTATGTAAAAGTTGTTCTATTATTATGATATATAATTGGTAGTATATATATGCTTCATTATTCATAGTGTTTTTTTTTTCTTGGTCGGTTCATCTCAATTGGGAATAAATGTTTCAAACTCGGTCTTATGCAACTTTCAACCAACAGGATTATCCAGAGGTAATTAGAGGCATTTAGGGTAATAATAAAGTTTGATTTGGTGGTCAAATTATGGATAAGCACCGAGGAGACCTACCCACGTCAAATCATTGTCTCCATTTCCTCGTCCGTTCCTTTTCAATTCTCATTCTTTTCTCCCCTAATTCCATCCCACATTAAGACAACAATAAACCCACAATTTTCAACAATCCAATTGATCATTTCATTTCTACCTAAACATCTACTACATTTGTTACGTAATTAACACACATTAAATCCCATCAAATAATTCGGTATAAACCCAACTTTTTAACATGACCTGCTTCTTTTTGAAGTGTGTTGGGACTCTTAACTTGATGATTAAAATTTTAAAATAATCAGTTTATCCTCTATTCGACCCAACCCTTTCACCCCTTGCACGACTACTATGATCTTTAATTTAATAATAACCCACAAAAAAAAAAAATAGAAATAGAGATTGATCCGATAAGGTTTGTTGCTGAATCATCATGAATTGTTCAAGTTTTGACCAACAAAAGCAAGGTAAAAGGATAAGACTTGGTTAATAATTGCAATAGTAACTTAATAAACGCTAATCAACCACAGGATAAAGCCCTTCTGGCGCATTTAGAGTACTTATTTAATTCTCCTTTTAGTTGCTTTGTTTAATTATAGTTCGTACATTAATTTTTTTTGCACACTAACAATATTTAATGTCAGCCAATGAAACTGAGGATTCTGAGGATAAGACCTAACCCATTTCTCTTTCCTTCTGGATTTATGATTTCTTTTTTTTTTTTTTCAAAAAAAATAAAAATAAAAATAAAATATCTATTCTATCCTCTCTGACACTTTTTCTTCATTACAAATATTTAATACCAATTATCCATTTTTTTTTCCATCTCAAGAAATATAAATTAGGATAAAACGAAAGCATTATATTTATTTATTTTATTATTTTTTTGTCTTAATGATTAAACATATAGTAATAATACCACCAAATTAAGATGTCTTCTACTCTTGTTCTTGTGCATCATTCACTGCTTCTAGTTCTTCTTCATCTTCATCTTCTTCTTAAAGATCTAACATAACATCCATTTCCTTCTTCCTATGATCCTATCCATTCCAGCTTCATCATCATTTTCGCCTTCAATCATCTTTTATAAACCCTACTTTTTGTAAAAAGCCACAAAGATCCATTTATTTATTTATTTTTGTGGGGTTCAATATCTATGATAAGTTTTTCTGGGTTGTCTTCATTATTTTCTCTAAGTTAATAACCCCATTCTCTTTTTGTTGATAAAAAAAAAGGGACCAATTTGATGGTTCTTGCAAAAGGAACATCCACAACAAAAAAGGGTTCTGATCAATACGTGCATGGAATGTCATGCATATCCATGATCGATCCAGTTCAGCCAGAGATTGGCAATGGAAATGATCAAAGTGATGGGAGATTTATGGCTTGGAGATCAGTGGCTGCAGAAAAGGAAAAAAAGGAAGAAGACGAAGAAGATCAGTCATCATATTCAAAGGTGGAGGCAGCTGTGGCATTATTGAAGAATAATAACAACATTAATAATACTTGCAGTTCTTCATCAACATCTTCTATTGGGAAGGATAGTGACATTAATTCAGGCTGCTTGTCAAGGGGTAATAATGATTGTGGGGATGCTGATGAGGTTCAAAGCTCTTACAAAGGCCCCTTGGACGCCATGGAAGGTTTGGAGGAAGTTTTGCCTATGAGGTAGCTCGCTTTGATTTCTTCTTCTAATTTCTTTATTCTTATTCCTTTTTTTTTAATTATTTTTTTTATAAGAAGTTGTTAATCGGCAATTACAAGCAATGTGTTCCGTTATTGAGTTTTTTTTTTTTTTGATAATTTTTTGGTTAAATTTCATCCATTTGATGTCGAATTCTTATCTTGAGTCTAGCGTTTGTAGGTCTTTGTTTTCTCACTTCTATATTTTTTCGATTTTAGGCTGCAGTTTAAGGAAGATCATGGACACTAGTAATTATATTTGAACCTCACTAAATATTTAGTACTAATCTATGGTTGTTGGATCTAATCCAATAATTGTCCTTTATATTTTAAAAAAGGGTCTTGTTGCAAGTAACCACAAGATGTGTCTAGGAATATTCATTGCATATGTAAACAAGATTGGAGACTTTTGAGTGGCTTGACATCTAAAAGAGATAAAACATTAAATAAATGATAGCATGTGGCTTGTGGCAATGTTGTGGAATGAGCTAAGTGGTATTTTGGATTTGATAGTTTTGCCCTAGTCGGAGATTTTTAATCATATATTGGCAAAGTGCCATTGCCAGCATCTCCCTGCCTTGTTATCTTTGTCTATGTGCCGATATGAACAATGAATAAAACAAGATCCAGAAAAACCAGTTAAGGAATCCCTAGAACTTTCTTTGTCTCAAGATAAGATGTTTGTAATTTTAGTACATTAAAAAAATATTTTATTTGGAATGAATGGAATAGTTCAGTTCAAATGGAATTTTCTAATGGCCTCGTCCAAATAGGAAGATAGTCTGTTTATATATTCCACTTAAGAAAGGATTAACAAGAGAAGTAAAAAAAAAAAAAAAAAAAAAAGTAAGGGAGAACGTATGAAATTACATTTTCATGTCACTATCTAATGCTCTGTTCATCTCTAAACAGGGTTACTCTACATATACGTGATGCAAAATTAAGAACTAAGATTATGGACAGAAGTTACCTCTTCCCCGTCCTAATATAATAGCCAACTCCCGAAAAGATTATTATTACGAGTTAAAAGGGGAGTGAGTAAAATAAACTAATTGATAAATTTTCAAACTTTTTGTCTCGAAAAATAGTTATTTTCTCTGATATTTTAATTCAAGAAAGGATACTTTTAGGAGAAAGAATGACGAATGACATTGGCGTCTTCTGATTGTCTTTATCTGGATTATTGCTGTGCAGAAGGGGTATCTCAAACTTCTACAACGGCAAATCAAAGTCATTTGCATGTCTAACAGATGCTTCACCAAATATTTCATCCATCAAAGAACTTGCAAAGCCAGAAAATGCCTACATCAGAAGGAGAAGAAACCTGCTTGCTTCTTCCAATCTCGTTTGGGACAGCAAGAACAAAAATTCCCTTCTGAAAAGTAATAGCGCCGGAATCTCCAAGAGGGTTACCAACACAAACCGTTCAACTCTGGCTCTTGCTGTCACCATGGCAAACAATCAGTACCATAATAACTTCTTCAGTCATCCCTACTCGACTTCTGCCATTTCAGATTTATCCCCAGCTTTGCTGCTAAGAGCCCGACTCCATTCTCAATTCAAAGACAATCATCAATTCAATGGATCATCACCATCCTTGTCTCCAAGATTGAATTTCCAACCATGTAGATCACTCTCCCTGGCAGATTTACAACATTGTGTTACACTATCGGCCATTGCTTGTACAGCTCCGCAGACTGATAAACCCAGTCAGACAGATACAGATCCATCTCAAACATAGTTTTAACTGACATATATATGTAAATTTTAAAATCAATAGCAGCAGGAAAAGAAAAGAAAAGAAAAAGAAAAAGAAACCTTTTGCTCAAGGGACACTTGACCACCTGGTTATGTTGCCATACCCTTTCCTTGAGCACCAGTCATTTAACAGAGGCTGCTTAATACCTTTGTAGCTGTTTATGGCAATTGTGGACTCTGCCCCTGGATGCATATCAATAAACATAAGCAGTGCTAATCTAATTTCTGCAAAATATGAATCTGTATAACTAGAATCTAAATTTCGACAGAATCAGAAGCCCCGAAGAAATGTTGGATTCCTGCAGCTTCCAGATATCTCAAGTATACAACAATCTGTTTCCTACTTGGGAATTTCATCTGAGTAGAAGAAAAAACTGCATTACCGGATAGTCCTAAAAAAAGAGTACACTGTACAAAGCTCAAAAGACTATCTTTTGAGGAAAAAAAATGGAGTAATATAAGTGGATGCTAAATATATTATATACAACCATCCACCTTCCTAACATCAACTGTGACCTACTTTGCAACTAAGGGACTGATTAAAATAATCCTAATAACAAATAAAATTAATCTTTGTTCTGCAAATAAATATAGCAGAATCGCGATCTAAGTCGACTGGTTCACAGCACCTGAGCCATGAGTGTATTCCGATAAAGAATACATGGCCGGGAAACTCCTTTAACTAAGCTGCACTATCATAATTGTAAAATCATGCGAGGCCATTTGCTTTATTCTTGACAAGAAACTGCGCAGAAGGATACTCTGCCAAAAATTTTGGCAGATCAACATCTGCAGGATCCACAGGTGGAAGTGCCATGTAGATATCATCTGTTGAGAATGGAATGCTGCAAAAATGGGGAAAGCAAAAGTTAACAAGGGAAATTTGATCAAGACGTAACAAACATAATACTCCCTCCGGTCCTTATTATAAGGCATTTTGATTTTGTCATAGGTTTCATCTAGGATACCTTTTTAATTGGAGAAAAAACCTTAAACATATATTTTCACATTTGTTGTAATCTCCTAATCATTAGGAAATGTTTTTAAGGTTTTTATTTCAATTAAAAAGACATCCTAGGTGAAACTTTGGACAAAATCAAAATGCCTTACAATAAGAACCGGAGGGAATAGTAATAAATTTGGATCAAAATGGCCATACATTTGAACTACCTGTGGCTAATATCTAAACAGTTGATATTGCGAAAAACTTCTATCAATAAACGTAGGCTCACCCACATAAGGTAACTAACCTAGAGCAGATTTACTGCAATTAAATATGTCGAAAAGGGAGAATGCAGTTGCTAGACCACTACTTGAAGCAATTATTACATTTTTGATGATCAAGATACTGTTATAAATTAACACCACCCAAAACAAAAAAACACTTCTTTTTGTAACCGAATTCACCACCTGGCCCATCTGCAATTATCAAAGAATGGAGGGTAGAAAACTACCTAAGATCATCATCCAACAAGAATGAGTTTGAGGTCAAGTTTTGTGAATCTTTACTTAGTATCTCCCTCATCTCAGAAACAACCTGCAAAACAAGCATATTTCACATAATGTTCTCACATCAAGAGAGTCTACTTAGATAAAGCAACAAAAATAAAAAACTTACCTCATTTGACACACTTTGAGTCCCATACTTGTCATCCCAGTACATTGTACTGATCCGGTAGATTTGCCTAATAGTAAGAGCCTAACCACATAAACCAGTCAAACGTCACGAATAAGGCATGGCTGCCAGAGCAGATATAAACATGAAATTGGGTAATACCACAGGTGGTCTCACCGGGCAAAGATCCTGCCTTATCTCTTCTAATGACTTTTTCCTCTTCTGATGTATTACCTGATGATGCAAGTAAAGGTAAGCAAGATAAATATCCCTAGGAAGATTCACAAATACAGAGTTGTTGACATTCGTACCAGAAACCCAACAGCTTGTCTAATGTAATTTAACTCATGCCAAGATGTCCCTGCAAACTGAATTTGAAAATAGTGGTTGAGGACTGAATCTGAAGATAAATTTTCTGGAAAAAGGGTCTAAGACACAGGAAGAATTAAGCACCTCCTCAGTTGCCGTTCCTATCCACTTCTCCAGTTCAGCCAGACCAGATTTAACATATTCTCCATTTGTAAAAGTACAGCATTCTCGTCGAAGCAATAAACTGCACCGTCGTTTTGGTCAGTTCATTAAGTGATTGAAAAAATTGGAGAAGAGGAAATTTCATCATTAGATCATTACCTGTTAAAAAGTGATATGTTGATGAAGGAGAATACTTGAGTAATGAGCTTTCGGATGAAAAATGAAGGCACCTACAGAAAGAGACAGTAGGAATGTAAGAAGTAAGAACTATATCCTTCAGCAAGGAAAGGATATTTTACACCCAATGATATATAAAGAAACCCACTTATGCATTACGGCTGCCAATCAAATGACAACAAAACAAACCTAAACTTGCTTTCTAGACAATACAGTTGACACAATTCTGGCGTCCACTTTTGCAGCGAGATCAGGTGATTTGTAGGTTTCATTTTACTCAAGAAGCATATCAGAAACACATAGAAGAAACATCCCTTTACTTCTGTTTAGATTCTCTATACGGTATGCATGTACGAATGTGAAAAAGAAAGGTATCATTTCACCACATGCCAAAAGAAGATCTTTACTATGTAAAAGAAAATATATAAGGTTATAAAAATGGAATTGGAAAGCATCAGGCCACATTCAAGAAACTATTACCATAATGCACGAAAGCTATTAAGTACAGAAACAAAAGAATAGAATCCAGGAAGTCTCCACACATACATGATTTCCTTGAAGACGGCTCATAAGGGAATCCAAGAACTTGATGATGCTATCCCACTGACTTGAAGACTGTTGAGTAACCGGTGATCGTGATGATTTTCCCGCACGAGTTTTTGGTGCCTTGATGAACCACAAATTCAACCCAGAAGTTATGTAATCAGTAAGACAAAAGTGAGTGATAAAATAAAAATAAAAAAGGTGCTAGTTTCAAAACGTGATAAAATATTAGGGGCAAAATAAACAGTATAGTCAAAAACTTGATTTGTATTTGGAGTGTTCTTATCAAATATAGCCAGGCAAGGACCATTTGAATGAAAATCGAAGTGGCAATTTTACAACAAATGAATTTCCCAGAAATAATTAACCCTTGGATGGATTAACAGAGCAAATAAATTCATTTCCATGCATTAGAGAGAGAGAGAGAGAGAGAGAGAGAGAGAGAGCCCAAACCTGAATGCATTGACCCAAAAGTGGAGATATTTCTTTCTTCAGATTATCACGTATCAAGCCAAAAATCTTCTCGACGCAGGCAGTTAATTGTTGTTTGAATAAAATGGAAGGATATTTTGCCTCAATATATGATATACCATCATCCAATCCAATATATTTGTAAGGTGATTTTACAGCCTGAGAAGACAACATTCAGATGTTTTACATTCAGTCCCTCTAGACAAAAAATGGATATGCAATGCAAAAGCAGAAAAGGGGCCATGTAAACTAGATCATGAGATGCAGACTCCAATCAACACTAATACACTTGAAAGATAATGCAAGAGAACCAAGAACTTAATTACTAAGAGATTGAAACTGAAACTAAAAGAAATTATACAAAAATGTGTACCAGTTTAAAACAAAACAAAAAGCTATAGAAGTATCCAATTATTAATTCCCTTCTTTTTAAACCCAATATTTTAACAACCTTCGCAACATTTAGCAGAGCAAATATGCTACACAGAGCTCATGAGTAAAAAACAGATTAAGGGTTCAAAATTCTAATACTAGCATGAATGGTCATTGTGTTTCAACGCATACAAGTAACAAGCTTAACCATTAACCGAAATGAAAATGCATTCTTCCCCGGATAATGTAACTTATAAGAAAACAAAAACGGAGTAATTGTCTTCAATTGATCACTTACGTGCCCAACACTACCATTGGGCCCAGCGATACCAGGTGAACGATGAGAAGTTGCATTCAAGTATCCATTAGACCGCAAATTTTTTTGCAGAAGGCAGAGAAGAGCAGAAGCATTAGATAACCAGTAAGGCAGGGTGGTATCCTCATCACCAACCTGCCAACAATGAAGACAAATTCTGCAAATTAATTCAAACTTGTCTTGTACTTCAACTAGTCGATAAAACTTCTTAAGAGCTGCATTTAGTCACATTATATGTTCAATAAAATCAGTACCACGAAGTTCTAATCAGAACAGCAAACTTGCTTCTAATTTTTTTTTTTCAAATGTGAAACCAACCTTCAAAACCTCATTAATTCCCTCAATGATAGAGTCAAAAATGGAAGTTCTTTCTGACTCAAAGGCATGCCAATGAAGAAGGCATCTGTAGATGACACAGGCAGCCACAGGCTTTCCATCTTTAAACCCAAGGTTTTCTTTAATGCACCGTGAGAGTATCTCGTAGGTTTCCTGTAGAATACATTTTGTCTCAAGAGTTGTAATCACAAACCAATGCATTCACATCATCAGAGTTCAAGGGAATGTTAAATAATTAATCAACTTCAGTGACACATTTATGCAAATATATGACATCACTAGGTTTACGGGCAGGAAAGAAAAAAATACCTGTTGCCTCTCAACAGTTAATCTTGGGTGACGAGAATCGGATAAACCTTGCACAAGTGGAGCTATGATTTTTGATGGAGTTGGCGACTCCTAATTTGAACAACATACAGTGTAAGCAATCTGGAAAATAACATTCAATTGACAATTCAGTAGAGAAAGTGTCACAGATCTTACAAATGCAGACTTCCGATCTGCTGACTGAAGAGCAAGTGCTCCACTAAACTTCTGCAAAGAAGAGATCATGCTAATCAGGAACATCAGCATAAGAAATCAGTTGTTCAATGGGTTCATACTAAGAGTGTGAAGCCGTTTCCATACAGAAGAGCAAAGAAAAGAGTAACAAAAACTACAGCGATTTATTGTTTCTCCTCCATCACACAATTTGACAAGCTTATATTCTCAGTAAACATAAAAACTAGAAAACTTAAGACTTGCTCTTACATCTAATAAAGGTTTAGCAAAACCAGCACGGATGCTCCTAGGAGTTGCACTGATTGCTTTTTGTCGAAGAACATGGTTCTCATCCTCTACATTTGAAAGCTTTTCTTCCAACCTAATCCCAAAACCAGGAGATAAAAAATGAAAAGAAGTTCCTGATCCTCAAAAATGATCACACGCAATAGTTAAGTCTTACAGAAAGCGTATAGGAATGACACAAGAAAACACTCAAATGGAGACATGCACCTTTTGATGTTCTGCTGGAGTTCTGAACACATAAGCTCAACTTCCTTCAGCTTTTCAATAGTATCACTTGAATCTTGTTTAGCACATGCAAGTTCACGCTCGAGGGCTGAGTTCTTCTCTTCCAAAGAGTTCAAAGAATTCTGGAAAAGAAGAGAGTACAAGATACAAATGCAATTAGTTGCCTGCTTTTTAAATAAAGCTATGAAAAGATCATTACTAATCATAACTCATTGCATCCCAACTATTATTCCAAGAAAACCCTGGTAACTCTGATGTGCATATCAAAAACCCCAGACAGGTGAATGTACACAGCCAAAAAGTAAACTTCCTGTGGAAAAAGAAAAACTCTCAACTACTGCGTTCTTTTTCCTCATGCAACCAAAACGCGATAGAAGAACTGGCATGGCCACTAATTGACAAGTTTCAACTAATTAGTTAGAGTAAGATCACCATCTAAAGGAATAAAACATGTGATTGCACATAATATAGATTCATGTTTAGTAGGACTCTGAAAAATATATGCACTGCGAACTCCATACAAACAAAATATTCAGAGGAAGATGAGGATTACACTCTTCAGTCAAGCTAAAAAGGCTAAGACACCATCCATTCCTTAGTTTGAGGGGTAGAAATTATACCCACTAGAACGTAGTATTTCACCACTAATCTGTAAGATTCAATGCAATAAACACAGGTTGATGATTCGGAGATTACCTTCAAAAGGACATTTTCATCCCTTAATTCAGACAATGCAACAACTTCTCTTTCCAATCCGGATTTCTCCTTCAGCGACAATTCTAGTTGCCTTTGGAGCACAGAATTCTTGTTAAGCTCATTGACTCTAGCAAGTTTGGCAGCATCCAGTTCAAGGCTTAAAGATTCAACGGTCTTATGCAGTTTTGTAATTTCCGCAATCTTAGACTCTTCATTGGACACCTGAAACCGACGGATGCATCTTTAAAGCCAGAGTTAAATTTTTACCAGATAATTTACACAATCCAAATACGGTGGTTCAACAATTTTCTGGTTTGTGTGTGAGCCTTTAGACTATCCCCCAAATAGATACACCAGTGAAATGGATTTTCCTCATTCAACCACTATACTCAGCATTTGGCTGTGCGGGATGTTAATGTAACTGAGATCCCAGGTTGGAACCTCCTAGAACCGCTTAACACCAACCACGACAGCACTAAAGAAACAAATTTAACATTTTTTTCCCTCAAACACTAGTAAATATAAACTGACTGAAACTCACAGTACAAATTCAATTATCTTACACGCAATTTCTTTTCCAAATGCAACCGCCATGTAAGATCTTCTAATTGCTTCTCAAGCTTACTCTTTGCCACACGCAAGGCACCAGCTTCGTTAGCCTCCTATACAAGGAAAGCAATGGAAAGCCATTAAAAGGATGATAATTTGCACAAGATAGCCATAAAAGGGAAAATTCATTCCTAACATAACCCAGGTCAAGCGAATGGCAATTAACATAAAGCCTGATCCTCATTCTCTCCCTCTTCCCGAAAACAGAACCATCACAGCATTCCAAAGGACTATTTTAAAAGCAAAAACAAACACTTCACAACAGCACAGCCTTTGCAGATGTATATAACAAGGATAACATGATTAAGATGTGATTATAGTACCACACGAAGTACCCAGTAAAGTTGGAATTCACTAAGTGCTGCATACTTCATTTGATCACTAAACAGAAATTTTAGCAAATCAAAAACTATAAAACAAGAGACAAGACCTACTGTATGAATATCTACTGCCTGAATGAAGTGCGTCTCAAATCAAAAGAGAAAGGAGGGGCAGGTGCAGCATCAGGGCACTACCATACCTGTTTAAGCCTCCTGAGTTCTCTCTTAGCCAGCTTTCGGCGCCAAAGGCATTGGATAGCAATTATATTAGATTGACGATTGCGGTAAGCTTTCCGGACCTTATACATCCTCCAATGAGCCTAAAATTGTCACAAAAGAAGTTACAAAGATAGTATTATAAGAATACAGTCATTAAATGGCCTGATTCCAGCAAAAAGGAAAATTTCATTTTGTCAGGAAGCACTATCAGTTTCTAACTAGAAACAGAAAACATTCTATGATGGGTACCAAGTAACAGACAATCACAAAACTAAAGAAACAAGTCTTTTCCCTCTATACCTGTAATAAACTCAAAGTACCTTAATTCACAAGATGAATCATGAAAGTTAAGCAACAGTGGAACATTCATCAAATGTCATTCATGTATCTGCCATGCATGATGTAGTTTCATTCTATTTTAGCCACCAAGTTAAGTATTCACCAATTGTAGCATAGTTACAAAATTTTCATCTCTAAGTCGATAATAAAAAATAAAAAAGCCTAGTAGTTAGGGTGTTGTTTATCCAGGGAGTCAAATGTCATTCATGTATCTGCCATGCATGAAGTAGTTTCATTCTATTTTAGCCACCAAGTTAAGTATTCACCAATTGTAGCATAGTTACAAAATTTTCATCTCGAAGTCGATAATAAAAAATAAAAAAGCCTAGTGGTTAGGGTGTTGTTTATCCAGGGAGTAGACCCAAGTTCAATTCCCACCAAGGGGTTTGTAAAGGGGGTTCTTCCCACACTCGGGTGAATTTAAAAAATAAATCAAAAAAATAACAACAAATATAAAACATGTAAAGAGGAAAGTTCTCGGCCAACAGGAAACTGCTACAGCTTCGATGCTAATTCTCGACATTTTCATTATGCAAATCCTGCAGTATTCTCCTCCCCCTCCAAGTTGGGTAATTTATTTCCTTCTTGTAGTTTATGAAAAACATAGTAATCTCTAGCAAAAGTTTTAAAAGCAATTTGGTGTCTACTTTAACACTACACACTAGCAAATGGTCCATATGTTGAGTGCTTGCTTCATTTACCCTATGCTATAAGTTTCTGTCTCAGACTGTTCAGTAACAATATCATCATTATCATCATTAGTTCTTAAAACAGAAGGTAAAATATTTCAAAATAAAACTTATCAATATTAATATCACACGTGGAAATTATTATAAGAGCTATATAAATTCAAATCAATATGACCAGCTGATGCAAAAGAAAGGACTAAAATTGCAAGCAAAGCATCCAAGTTAAACATATTTCGAACCTTTGAAAAACATTAGGAATTCTGAAATGCTCACCTGAATTAAAGTGGCAGCTCTGTGTTCCTTCCAGTACAAAAACTTTTGCCGCGCAGAGAATCCACGGGTGCAGGATTGAATGAGCACAATCGACATATACAGCTGCACATACGCATGCCTAGACTGCCATCTTCGCACATATTTTTGAATAAGAATAGCAGCTGATTCTTCTCTGATTGAAGCATATAGTTTGCGAGCAAGGTATCCTGGAAAATATGGAAACAACATAAACAACTGCTTCTTTTTTTTTTTTTACAGATAGAAAGAGAGAGGTCATACATGACACAGGCAACTTTCATCAGCCATAAATAGGAACACGAACGTCACTTTAGCCCTTATATTTCTAGCCATTTTAGCCCTAATATTTCTTTCTACCTTCATGTCTTAATCTTCACTCGGCCTTTTATCGGCTTCTCTTCCGATTGTTTACTGAATCACAGGCTAGTATTTTGTTAAACAATGAACTAAAACTTACGGAAGGTAACTCCATATTTGGATTGCCAAGAAGTTGGCAGTGGATGGCGTCTATCTTTTTAAGAATTGACACGTATAGAAAATCTTATCGCAATTATGAAAAGCAGCATTCGACTGTGCAGCATACACAACCTTATAATCAGAAAACCCTAGTGACAAAAAAGCAAAGCAAATGTATATCGGCTTTTACCACAATTATAGAAAACTGAAATCAACCTTTGAGTAGACACACCCACAAAATCATCCGTGACATAAAAGTGTAAGAAATGTATATCAGCTTTTGATCTCTGAGGAGATAAAAGAAATAACCTCTACAGCAAGCTTGTAAGGAAATTGCAACGGCCTTGCTTGAGACAAAGTCCCTTCGTGCAATGAATGTACGCAGTCTACCCTGAATACGCTTCGCCGCAGAATCTAGAACCTCAGCACGACGCGAATCCAAGACAGCAATCTGACCAGCTCGAAGAAAAACTTTTGTTTTCCCCAGCTGCAACAAGATACAAATTTTCAATTAAATATACAGCAATCACCACAAAGAACGCCCTAAATCATAATATCTGCACCAGTTAATAAAGGAAACCACTGAATCACACAGAAGTCAATTGGGCAAATCAAAACAAACCTGGAAATTCCCCAGATTTAGCTTCTGCAATATTTTCTCGGTCATAGTTTTGTCATCATAACTGAAAGAACAAATGAAAGGCGAACATAAATTCAGCACAGGCTTTCCTAAAAGTTTGAGAAAATCAATCCAGCAAGGCAACACATATACTTTGGAAAAGAAACAAAAAAACACTGGGAAAGTTACATCGAAAATCTTTTATTATTTAACTGGTCAACAACAATAAGAAAAAAAGAGCCATTATGTGATCAAGCACCTACTTGCTTTCGACAAGGTATAAAGAAGTGCATACTATTCCTACTTGTTTAGGTAAATTACTCCTTGACCTTGTAAAAACTTAGGGACTTTTACTAACTTCTATATATTTACTTAACCAAGACAGCTGGGAAGAAATGGGGAGATCTAACTATTCTAGAGAGAATAATAAATGAAAGAAAGAAAGAAATGCATATTGAAGACAAGAACTGGATAGACTAGTGATAGGCATTTAACTTGACAATAAAGCATAAGATAAACACGCTGACTAAGAGTTCCAGTGTTTGGGCCATGCTGAAAACTTAATTACTCACCGTCCATCCATAATGTCCAATGCAATAATACCAAATCGATCTACAAACTCGGGATAGGTCTTGCGAGTGGGATAACCAGCCAAACTTATGCGAACAGCTTCCAAAACACCCTGAAACAGCAATACACATATAAGAACTCTATAATTCATGATAATCCTATGACAACTCTTCCTAAGCAGAAGCAAAAAAGAGGAATCAGCTCCCCATCCCTCCACCCCTTTCCAAACAACAGTGAAATCAAAAGAAAGAAGATACTTTATACACAGGCACAATAGAAATTTCCTTCCGTAACACTCAAAATTAACTACAAACCACCAAAAAGGTAAATGTTGTGTAGCTTTCCCAGTAAGAGTGTATCATTTGCACTTCTCTATCAGGTTCAGGACAAATGTCCCAGTTTAAGATATCAGTAGCAATCCTTTAAGTGTTATCCTACAAGCTATAAATCCGATTAACCGGGAATGTTATGGAGACAATAATAAAAGAAAGGAACCGCCTCACCAAAAAAAGGAACACAACACAAATTTCTAAGAATTATTAACAATCGGCAGCTAAAAAAAACTTGGTCAGTGACAAGGCATGAATTTAAAATTTTAAAAACCTAAAAACCAGAAGTTAAACTTTCAGATTTGACAGACCCCACAGCGCAATTGGTGTAAGATGCTTTGATTCTCAAACTTCTGGGGCCGGTTTATTGAGTTTGGCTTCACACAACGAACATAATGAGGTTCTGTTGAGCTGAGAGTCTCCATAAGAGCTTGAAGTTGTTGCTACAAGAAATAGGTAAAATGAAAAGATTATAATTCACAAAAATCGGAAAATTAAGTCGAAAATATGGTCATTCTTAAATGCAAATGTAGCTAATGCCCAACCACAAGCATAGAGTTGCACACCGAGAACACTGCAAAGGATGGAGGGGTAAACACAAAAACCCACAAGAAGCCCTACAGAGCAATTCCTAGTTATTTCAGCAATTCCAAAGGACCAGAATGAAGATCGAAAATGCAGTTATATTGATTAAACAGAGCCATAAAGTGTACCAACTAGTTTCCAGTCACGAAACTTCTCACATTCAACTTCCGCAACTGAATGTTTAACTGATGCTCTAAACAACAGAACATTCAGATCAAAATATTAACAAAATTAAATCACCAATAATACCAATATCATCAAAATATCCGTACATGTGCATGGCCAAACCAAAATCTGTCCTGATAACTTGAATAACGCAGTTTTCAGTCTACCAAAAATGGGGAAACAATCATACCTTAAACCGAGAAGCCACTGAAGAGAACTTATATGATGATCTGGAAAATTCCTCTGGAAGTGCGGGGAAGAGACCAGAGATAAAGGGACATTTCGAAGAGGACAAAAGATTGCAGTGCTCAACCACAACATAATCACGATTCTTATCTAAGAATGTTTGTGTCTGATATGTAACCTGAGAAAACATTTACCTAACTGTCAGTTAAATAAATAACTTGAGAATTGTAAGCAGTCTCTGGAGTTTGGACATGCCTTTCCAGCATAGTGGGAAATGGTGAAATCTGTTTCAGAAAACTTGGCCTTCTCTAACCGTGGATGACTACGGAAATTCTGGAATAATTTGTTTGAAAATGTCCCATGGGTTGATTTCGGAAACATGCTGAAAACACAAGAAAATCAGAATGAGAATTCACAGCAGATAGAAGTTTCCAGAAGAGCAATAATCAAAAAATGAGAAGATTTACTATACCAAGCTTCATCCAGAAGTGCAATTATCCCAATGGGTTTCTGCAAAGCAAGTTGAAATGCATAAACAAAAAGGAAAGCATTGGGAGAAGAAATATGTTTTAAGAAAACACTGAAACAAACTGATGTACAACTGCTAAACCATTTTACATCACCACAGAAGAAACGTTATTTTGAGATTGAAATACATCTGTCATCCATATGAGTCTCAAAATAGCGTATTAAATTAAATAAATCACTAAAGTAGCATTTAGAGTTCATCACATGTAATACACATATCACATCTTCAAGCATTTATCACACAATATGGTTGAAACATCAACTGGTCCACAGATTGAAATCAGAACCAGATTGACAAAAAGCTTTTGGAAACACAGCATACCCGGGTTAACGGTCAGACGAAATTACAAATTGATACTTCCATCGAAATACATATTCTCTCAGCTATGTAAGATTAGAAGTTTCTTTCCAGGTCTTTTAGGTTTTTCCCTCCCCTAGAGCTTCCACTTTATAAGGAAACATCTCCACACATATAAAGATAATTCGTTCCATACAGGACATGATTTTACAATTTACACACATGATTTTATTTCATCAATTTCCCCATTTTCTCAATGGACGAATCAGAAATTTTCTATAGCTTTAGATGCATCTCTTTCATGCCAAATTTATTTCACATTGACATGGAACTAAAAGAAAAATCCAAAAAAAAAGTTAGATATAGTGTAAACACTCCAAGCCTTACTAAACAAGAAAATTACACCACGCCATCTGCTCATTAACTAATCATGGAAGTAGAAGAATCAAAGAGGAACCTTCTCAATCAAATCCAAGACATCCTGGTTGTCAATAAATTCAATGTAGCTCCAATTTATCTCTTCCTTATGGTACTCTTCCTGTTCCATCTTGAACACATGCTGAAAAGATCCAATACATGCGGAAAGAATATTAAACAAGAGAATATAAAGCATGTTGATAACTAGAAACAATCATTAGCTTAAAATTTTCGGTGGAACAAACTTATTTCACACCTCATTAAAATGTTGCTGAAGCTTTTCATTTGCAAAATTGATGCAAAATTGCTCGAAACTGCATAACGAAATTCAGAGCCACACCATTAGTCCTTCACACTACCGCCATATAATGTAATCATAGTTTTTCTCATTCAAATAAACAACAAAAACATTCATAGCAAACAAACTATGCTCTCTTATTCTGTTTTGAAAAATGTAAATATTTAAATTGTCTGATGTAATCACTTTGCAGAAAGGCAGGAACTGCACCGTAGGAACCTAGAGGAAGAATAGCTAAGAAAACTTTATGGCTCTGAACACTATTATTTGAGCATGACGCTTCTCCGCCAAAGTCATTAGACGAGAATCCTAAAAAAGATAACTAGGTCTAGATGGATCAGCCTAATCAGACTTGAGGCAACACGAAAGTGGATTCTGAACTAATATAGCTGGAAACTGAACGCTATATTCTCAAATTTCTACCACATTATTACCAAGAATAATCTCCACCATAAGAAAAGGTATTTAAACCTGGAAACATATGCCTTAACATAAGCACATGTATACAATGTTATGGACCTACTATTATTTTATTGCTGTAGTATCGATCTTTCCATACAACAATAACATGACGAGTTCTGTCACTAGAGCCAAGTACTGTTTATCTGCCTTCTTAACCGGGTCAAGGAAATATAAGGATGTTAGACCACAACAGTTAACCTGTTATACTTAAAGCATTCAAAGCCATATATGTCCAGAACTCCTATCTTTATCCTTGAATCCTGATCTTGTCCAACAGATCGATTGATTTTCTCAACAAGCCTGAAAAGAGGGGGGAGAGAGAGAGAGAGAGAGAGAGAGAGAACCTTTCAGAATTTGATGGCAAACAATACAGAAAAACACAAGAAAAATAATATGTAGAAAAGATAAAGCAGCAAAGTCAGCAGACCAATCAAACAGCCGAGCGTAGATAGTCTTCGCCAAGGCATCTCGACCAGCTAAAGCACCATTGCAATCAAGAGCTTTGATGATAGTCCCTTCAAGCGTCTGGATTGATCGTGTGCAAAGGGTTGCCAACAAAAGACTAACATCACACCTAAACACAAAAAATCGGTCACAAAAATCAGCTACCGAAAAAACTAAGGTATCAATATAGGATCGTGTAACGTCCAAGAAAATTCTTTACTGGCAGGACAAGAGAAAAAAGGAAAGCTCTGAAGTCCAAAGAATGCATAAGCAGCAGTACATCAATTACAAAGTATAGACGAACTTTTCTTCTTTTTTACCTTTAACCTGCCTGAATGCTAAGCACGACATATTTGTTCAAGCAAGGATCATCAATAATTAAAGCTTTAGCTAATGCCCACCATTTTGAACTCACAGATGTGCATCCAAATCGAAATTTGAGCTGTTTACCTAAAAGGAGAAACTCCAGGATTTGAAAGAACAACTTCTTTTCTTGAAGTAAATGACCATATATCTCTGGCCAGATAAATCAAGCATTTTAAGTGACAATTATTTTGCATTCGGCAATGAGTGTGTGTGTGTGTGTGAGAGAGAGAGAGAGAGCGAGAGAGCGAGAGAGAGAGAGAGAGAGAGAGAGAAGAGATGCAAATCAATCAAGCACACAAACAAAACTATAGCTTGCAATACACCCACAAAACGTAGATATCGCCAGGAAACTACAAAGCCACAAATTGAAATCAACTCTTGAAATAAGGAGTTGATTGCAAAAGGTAAACGAAAAGTAATTTGCCTACAATAACACAATACATAATGGAACAGGGTTCCTTACATTAAAAGATTTGAAGCCATCTGTAAATGAAAGTTAGACTTTTGATCCTTTACAACCGATGAATCATGCTCTTTTCCAGGAGAGAAGTCCACATTACCCAGATGAAGTATTGCAGCCAATGTCCGGAATATTGCTTCCTGATAGCAAAATACACAATTCAAACAACAGTACAAGATATGTTTCATGACCAAAGATAGGAGTCCTGAAAAGCCCAGAATCAATTACAATACCTGGTCCTCTGAGCTAATGCCAACAATTTCCATAGCCCTTCTTGTTTTTAAGTATTCCTCTGCATTGCTCATCCCATCTAACTCATAAATTTTACTTTGGTTCAGGTAGTGAAAGGTACTAGGATGGCCAAGATTGTATTTCTCGGCATCCTGCAAATAATTACAAAAAAGAAAAGTAAAAAAATGAACTCAAAACCGAAATAAAAGGAAGAAGAGGAAAAAGAACCAGAAAACCTTAACAACCACCCAGATCAAAATGTAAAGAAAGTCACTTTGGGATATGTATGTAAATAAGAAATAGAATCATAAGCATAAACAAAAAGGATGGAAGTCATTAATTGGTTATATGGATGACATCCAACTCTCACCAAATCATGTGAAGACACTGTTTCAATAGCACTAGAGCCGATACAACAATATTCAGGGTGATATCAAATTAGTTGCATCAATGATAAAGCTGTACAGAAAGAGATCTCAACATTGCGCAAAATTTGTGACGAGGCCAAAGAAAATTTAAGCTGTCCTCAGATATGACACAAGAAAAAATAGGTCAGAAACAACTCCCAGCTGTCATTTACAATTAAATACGTGCAAGACTAGTGCAATAAGTTGCCTACGAAAAAGACATCACCATTTTTAATGAAACAAGGTGAAAGAAACGACTATTTGCAGTTCCAAACTAAGCATAACTTATTTAGGAAAATAATCAGCAGTCTCAAATGAGTGTTCTACATGACAAAGTGAAAAGAACCATATTAATGGAATATATTTGAATCCAGAGGTAGATGGATAAAAAGAGTACCAATCCAGAAGCGCATAACTGGTAGAAGATGTGGTAATTCCTTTCTGGATCTGTTATTTGAACAACACGAGACCGTTCCAAAAGGTAAGTTCTAATTGCAGCACCTGATATTCTCCCACTAGCATCAAATTGAATCTCAACAAACTTCCCAAAGCGGCTGCAGTGAACAAGCAGAATAAATATTGAGCAAGATTCCCCTGACAGAAATGATAGAAAGGAAAGAGCAGTGGTTCAAAACCAGAGGACAGGATAGAATGATAAGTCTATCTCCATTCCCTAAATGATTTAAAACTAGAGCGTAGAAACAGCCCGCTAATGAAATAACAGTAGCATTGTGCTTCTCCCAAGAACAGACATGCAGAATTTTCATAAACGAGCCAACCGAAAGAAAAGAAGACAAACGTAATCCCACAGCGCAAGAACATTTATTCAGCTCCCAGAAACAAGAGAAATGGCTTTAGTTCTATGCAAAACTGAAGAAGGCATTACGCATCATCCAGAAGCAATCATCTAAAGTTTCAATTACTTAAAGAAGAAAAATCAATGTCAGTTCAATGCTCTGCATAAGGAAAAATCCCTCAGGCTCTTAGCCATGCTCTGGAAATTCCATACAACTAGAATCAATCACAACAAAGGAAAAAGGGAGCTCAAATAGACCTCGAATTATCATTTCTGACTGTTCTGGCGTTACCAAATGCCTCCAGCAACGGATTAGACTGCATATGTGACCAGAGAGTAACTACATGTCAGTTCAAGCAGAATGCCACTAAATAGCCATATCCAAAGCTACGACCACAGATAGATCAAACAGGAAAGAAAATCGCTTACAGAATGATAATATCTTTGCACTGATTTTTAAATTCTATTTTCCCTGGCTTTTCTTAGCTACTTAGAAATTTGACTTCAGACTATATCCTAACAAGAATAAGACTCTTTCCGCTTTCCACACAAACTTACCTCAAGAACTTGCTGTTCAACTGTTCTGTCATCACTAGCAGCACGACCACCAACATATGTAAGATACTGCATAATTAGCTTTGTTGTTTCTGTTTTCCCAGCACCACTTTCACCACTAACTAAAATAGACTGGCTTCTACCCTCGCTCATCATTGCTCTAAGCAACAGGAACCAAAAAAAGGAATCACACCAATTGGTTAACAAGCACACTAGATGCGAACAATCATTAGAGACACAGTCAAGGCTACCAACCTGTAAGATGCATCGGCGACAGCAAATACATGAGGACTTAGCTCCCCAAATGGGGCCCCTTTATACTGCTCCATCATGTGAAGGTTGTAAAGATGAGGAAGCTTTGTGAATGGATTGACAGCAATGAGGATGCTTCCGGTGTACGTCTACATAACAAACATTAACTTAGGACAACAGCGAGAAGCCATTCGATAAGATAAATCAGAAACATCAGAATCAAAGGTAGAACAGAGAATGCCCAATCTAGGTGAAAAGGATAACAATAGTTAGTTGTTCACAAACTGCCAGCTGCACGAGGAATTACAGTAAACCGAATATCTATAAACCAAAGTTCTCACCCAATAAACTTCTATCAGTAGCTATATTAATCAGGATACTAAAAAGATCTACCTATCATCCATCTAGGATAAGAACATCCAATCTACAATAGTTCTGTTCCACACTTGAAACCATTTTCAAGGTAAACTCAGCTTTGTTGTCCGTCAGTTATATATGAACTTATATGTTATACAGACAAAGCACGTGAAAGGTAAAAAGAATAAAGTGGGATTCATTATTGTCATATCTGAAGAAGAGACTATGTCGACTTTCATGAGAATCCAATAAGTTCCCAGGCCTGCTTGTCTGCCTTTTGTTCTCAAAGTAACTCTTCAGCTCTAGAAATTCTTTTTTCGAAATTATGTTAATTGCCCTCTTCATTTTTGGGCATGTTACATCTTTCAGACTGACATAGCCTTTTCTGGGAAATCAAGAATTTGCAGGCATAGGTGTTCAAATGCAAAAAAAAGTAGGTCCATTTAATTTAGTTCATCCATGATTTGTTTCTTTGAGACAGAACGAGTGAAGTCATTCAGAAACGAAAAATCCAGCAAAACACCTATCACACTTCAATTCAAGATTTTACCCTTTTTTCCTGAAATGGTAAGATTCATTATTGCTATACTCCATGTGGAGAGGTTCTCTTACAATAGGCCGCCACATACTGTTGCTTTCTCATGATACCATTGGTAAGTTTTCAAACCTGAGAACCTAGTTTTGAACTGTCTAACTAATCAACTAATCATCTGACACAAGCTGTATGACGCCAGGGGTGACTAAACTTGAATAATCCTCTTATTCTTCAAAATGTTAGGCAACATTGCACTCATCATCAAATGATAAATGTTAAGTTCATTATTTGACTAAGACTAAAACCTTTCTCTAATCCTTAAAAGGTTAATGTTCATTCCTGGTTCTCTAATCATTTGGATATGTTTAACAAAACTAACTATAAATGTTAACAGAAGGGATCCAGTAGCCAATAGCAACGAACAAGAAAATCTGGCTCATAATCCCAAATCAATCAACTTCCAGTGAAGAACTTGCCTAAATAACGGCCCCAACCAACTGTCGACTATAATTTTCAACATTAAAAACCTTACCAAAAAAAAAAAATACTAATTTGAGCTCATTTTAAACAGTGCCATAAATTTTACAGAACTATTGGACAGCTGTGTGCATTTCGAGAAAACCACAAAATAAATGCCTGTCTTCGGAATGCCGTATCTATTAACTCATGTATTTCATCTAAAAATTCCTATTTTAGAAGTAAGAGGAAAGCAAAAAGTTCAATAACAGAAAAAGCAAACTACCAAAGTGAGCCCCTAAACCAACAGTTAAAACAAATTACACCTAATAAACGTCTATCGGTTCCTAAATCGAAAATGTAAACAGCATAATGACAAATCCAGAAACGAAAATCTGCATATCCACCCCGAAGGGAAAAATTCCAAGACTGAACTACCTCCAAGCCTCATAGCTTATGGCTTTTACATGGAAACAAGCTCAACAAATACACCAGGTAAACAGCATTCCCGTAGAACAACACACAAAAGCATCAGAAACTCACATAAATTTCATTAAGTGCATAACGCCTCTGGAGATTATCAAGCACGCCAGGCTCATTCAAGTAGGTCAGCTTCGTCATGTCATCCACCCCTCCATGGTCCTCTTCCGCGTCTCTGGGATGCAGTTTCTCCGGCAATGCCAAAACCTAACATTAAATTAGTCACAAAATGAAAACCGAGTACTCAAATTCCAACCAAAAATTCATCCAAAAAAAAAAAAAACAGAAGATAGCAGAAACGAATAGAGAAATTAACCTTTTTCCCATGGTGAGTGACGACTTGAACATTTTTGCCGATAAAATCGCAAACTTCAGCTCCCACCCAAGCTAACTCCTTATCTTCCACCCAGACCTTAGAACCTTTTCGAAGAGTCATCGTGAAGAATACTAAAAAAAAAAAACAAAAACCGATTTCCGGTATCCACTTCGCTAAGGCATCATCGAACAATCAATAAGGTTCCAAAAAGGAGGAGCAAGAGAACAAGAAACTGAGAAATTTCCGAGAAATTGAATAATATTTTCTTATTTGGATTTTTGAATTTTGAACTGACAAACACAAAACAAAGCCCTAGAAGAGAGAGAAATCTTCCACTTCCCGCCCTAACCAAAAGTCAGTCCTTCCGGTGGAGAGAAAATTTTTTTTGTGAAACCCGAAAAAAAAAATCAAAAAATATTAAAGAAAAAAACATTTATTCATTCATTTTATTTTATTTTTTTTTGAATTCTACTAATAATAGTAAATTAATTCTTTGAATTTACGTAGGTGACACGTCAAATGAAATGTGGCGTCTGAATTGGATTTACTGAAAGCTCATGGGGAAGAGGAAAAGAAAAGAAAGCTGCATTCTGTCTTGTTGTAGGATCACACAATCAATCAGTGGGTAATTATTATGAGTTTAATTTTTTATTACTATATCAATATCAAAGTTTTTACTATTTGCTTCGTGTTCCGACTTCCCTTGTTAAGTCCAATTGGGTCTAAATATGTTGGGTTACAGACAACAGAGCCCACAAAGTATTTCAAGAAAATTGCGTTTAGAAAACGATTTCAGACAAATTGCAAGGTCTCGAAAAGGAACAACGGGCGATACAGTCAAATTTCAAACACCACCTAATCGTCACGTAGATTTGGACTGAAAATGTTTTAATTCTTATGTTTGTTTCGTTTTTTTAATATGTGTTTTAGGTATTTTTTTTTGTATTTAGGAATGTGAAGAAGTATGTTGGGATGCGACACGTAATATTTAATTATTTTGAAATTATAATTAACAAAAAAAACCAAACCAAACAAGTTTAGCAACAAAAGAGTATTGTTTCATTCAACAATTATATACTATACACGTGCTGTTTAAACTAAGAATACTATTATAAAAATTATAATCCAGACCTTCAGCTTTAATCTAATTTAGATTGACCCCTGAAGCATGCCATTATAACGTAGTGATACATTGGGCCGGAAGAGGGGGCGTGGCACGAGGCTCGAAGCAAGAGGTTACTTTAAAATTGGGCGTCGGTGGCATGTGATTTGGGCTTTAATTTGCCACTTCGACAGCTGTGATGCTGTACGGAGAGGTGCGCTTCCCAAATTTGGAAGGAACAGCTGCCATTGGCTATATTAATTTGGGCTTGTTTCAACAAAAATTAGCCCAAATTCTCAGCCCCCAGCAAACCTCTATTTCCAAGTTAGACCTCAGGTTTACAACTTTGGAGTCTTTTTTCTTCTCAACTGTCTATATGGAGACTCTTGAGCAATTGTGTTTTCTCATATCCTTTCATGTTTTCCATCATCAATAAGACAATGGTCGTAGTTGGTTCAGAGAATTGAGCTTAGATGGTAATTACATGCCATTAAGTAGGATAATGATTATTATGATAATGAATTCAGAGTGTGAAAATGTTAACATTAGAATCATTTACAATTAAATCACAGACCACAACGACCGAATTGATTATCTTGGTGCATAAAGATACTAAATTACCTAATAGAAAAGATTGAAAAATCATCACAAACTCCCCCTTATTTCTTTTCTATTGCAATTTCTGGATAACAATTGCTTTTTATTTATTTTTTTTTCAATTCACTTATTTACTCTCTTTGTTGTCAATCTTATCCACCGCCATTAATCAACTTACCCTAAAAATTCAAGCATATAAGGTAGATTCTGCTATTTTCATTTCATGCTATCATTATTGTGTCAAGGAGGTGGGGCAAATAATTGAGTTGGTGCTGTGACTGGTAAAGTTTGAAAGCTTGAGAGAAACTACCTTTACCTTTAACCACTTCTGCACAAACTTGCATGGCCCAAAATTGATAAATCGACACCACCAAACAGAACCAATAATATTGATTCAGCCAAAAACAGCCTACAAAGGTCCACACAATTGCATTATTACTTCTGAGTTCTGTGGCACACACAACAAAACCTCTTAACTAGTACCTGCCAGCCATAACAATGACTCTGCAATTTGGCAATGCAGTCAGTGGTCCCAAAACAAAATCATCAAAACACAATGCAGCAACCAATTTTACCATATACCCCCAACATTCAGTAACAACTTACCAACTTCAGTTTGGAATGTAACAGTAACAGACAAGGAAACTTTGAGTCTATTTCACAAGTAACACAAACTCGATGACGGCCACAGTTGAACACCAAACACGACCAGGTACCACCCAAGAAACACCAAAAAGAAGAGAGAAAGATGGAAGGAAGAAGATTATACTTCTATACATAACATGGGGGGACTGTCTTGATTTTTAACTGCTGGCACAAAGCCCTTCTCCTAGCTACATTTCTTCATGTACTACTTACTACTTTACTACCAAGTACAATCATTGATATGTGACAACGCTACATATTTATACAAAATTTTAGGATGTTAACCATTTCCAAATTGAAGTGTCCCATAACCAAACTTAACAAGGCTGATTTTTACTTAACTTCCCTGGCTATTTTGGGATATCACCTCTCCAAATTTCAGGAACAGTTGAGCATCTGAAGTGCTCATCTGGGAACAATTTACCAAGTGGGGTGTCTTCAGATTCACGTATTCGTCCACATAGCACATCTTGGCAGATGAAGGCAATGGGGCGGCAGCAAGGCCAGTGGAGGATGTCAATGTTTTCTGGGCAGAGCATGGTGGCATTAAGCTATTGAGAACTCGTGCCACTTCATGCATTGTAGGCCTTTCTGACGGCTGTCGCTTGGTGCAGAGGAGAGCAAGCTGGAAAACTTTCTTCACGTCGCCAAGATCCTTACAAGTGGCAGTAATCTCAGGATCAACAGTTTCCATCACAGCATTGTTCGCTGCCTTGGTTAAGATCTATTCAATTTAAAGGATCATAACAATTTAGACCAGATAATAGATGAAATAGGGAGACTTCATAAGTATTTCAAGAGAGTACTATAAGGCCAAACCAATTTGAAGGTATACGTTTCACTATATGGTGGTATAAACTCAGTTTGCAAAAGAGCAAATTAGAAATGAACTTTCAGGATCATAGAAGTTATAAAGTAAATTTGGAATAACTTACCATATAGTGGAGGTTGGATTCATTATCTACAGCTTTCCTTCCTGTCAGTAACTCCAACAGAACAATCCCATAGCTGTAGACATCTGACTTCTCAGTGAGACGAGACGTGCGAGCATACTCGGGGTCAATGTAACCAATGGTGCCCATGATATAGGTGGAAGTATAAGTCTTCGACGCACACAAGCTCTTTGCAATCCCGAAATCAGTGAGGTGAGGTTCAAAGTCTTTATCAAGTAAGATATTGGATGACTTCACATCCCGGTGGATAATGCGAGGACTACAATCATGATGGAGGTAGGCAAGTCCTTCGGCTGAACCTAATGCTATTCTTAGACGTGTATTCCAGTCCAGTTTTTTCTTTTTAGTTGGCCCTGTATGTAGGTAAAATTTCATGTATTATCAATTAACAGAAAAAAGGAACCAAAAAGAATAAAAGGAACTAGCCACCAAAGAGGCAATAGGCATAGTGACATTGAAATAATCAATTTAATTTACATGACTCACCATGTAGTAGATCCCAGAGACTGCCATTTTCCATGTAATCATAAAAGAGAAGATTCCCAGATGGCGAAAGTGAATATCCCTGCAGGCTGACCAGGTTACGATGCTTGATACTTCCCACTGTCTCGAGTTCAGTCTCAAATTCCTTCAAGCTTTGCGGGTAATTAGAATAGAGCTTCTTGATAGCCACGGGCTTACAATTTTTAAGCACACACTTATAAACAGTGCTTGATGCACCATAACCGATTATGTACTTCTCACTTAGGTTTTCTGTCATCCTCATTATGTCTTCGTACACGTGAAGCGCCATGTTCATGTGGAGGATTACAAGTTTTGGCATCGAGTAAGTAACTGTCACAGCACAACAATGAGTGAAATCAGTAATCTTGGATAACCACAATCATGAAGATCAGACTCTAAAAGTTGAAGAACGACAGCCATAAGCATGCATTTGACCAAAAAAACGATGCTAACTTACAATATTCAATTGGACATATTAAAAAGCAAGGCAGCTTAAGGCAAAATACCTGGTTTGTCCAGTGATCCTTCCATGAAGTGTGTAGTACGGTGTGGCCGGCAAGCTGCCACTAGAATCATAAGAAGAATTACCAAAGCTCCAAGAGCAATTCCTAGTATAGCTGCTTTGGAGATTGATACTGCAAGGGAAAATAGAAAACAAGGAACAGTAAGGACATCTTAGGTTGCCTACTAATCAGTTACTGGCACAATCTCAACACAATATGTCACAAGGTAGACAAGTTCCAACTATCATGCAAATTACAGCACAATCATCAATACATTAAAAAAGTTTTATTTTAGACTATCTTCTGCTGCTCCAATGGAGTAGAACTAAGATAATTATGCATAAGGAAATGTGTTTGTACCTCTTTCTGTTTGATGAGATGCATGGCAGGGAGAACTGAGCCAGTAGCCACAGAGACCTGGATTTCCAATGAAACTGACAGAACAGAGTATTGTTAAAAATCAGCCATAATTAAAATGAGCCTGAAAACAGATAAACAGAGCTACTTTCAACAGGTAACAAATTCATTTCAACTAACCTATCCGGCGAAAATCTTGAGAAATTATTGCCCGTGGGAATATTTCCAGCCAGGTTATTATATGACACATTTCTGAAGCGATAACAAAGATAACTCTCAACAACGCATTATTTACAACACCATGTAAGAGACATGAGGTTACTTAATGTACTTACAGGACCGTGAGGCTCAGGCAGTTGGTGAGAGATGCCACATCACCAGATAAATTGTTGTTCACTAATTTCCTGCAGTTAATTCGGGAATAACATGATTACATTTTAATCGTACCCGCCCGCGATTTTGGAATGAAAAACAGTTTTAGATAACCAGGGCTTCAAAATTCTCCCCCAAAACAAACAAAAAAGGAAAAAGAAAAAGAAAGTTGCTAAAATAACTTACAACAAAAATATATTTTGCAGCTGACCAAGTTCTTGAGGTATTATGCCAGAAAGGTGGTTATTCGAAAGATCTCTGCAAGGAAAAGAAAAAGAAGCCATAAACTTAGTCATTCATATCTGACCAAGAAAAGAAAAAAAGGTATCAGATGACTTAAATCCTTGCCAGTTTTATCTTACATTTCCATTATGCTTCTTAAGTTGCCAAATTCAGCTGGTATAATCCCCGATATACCATTGTTGCTCAAGTTCCTGCATCCCAAAAACTTAAAATTTGAGAATTGAGATTAAAAATAAATAAAAAATAAAAAAGCAAAGAAGTAATCACTGTCCACTTAAGATATACTTACAGTTTCAACAGATGTTCCAAGTCACCAAGGGTAGAGGGTATAGAACCCGTGAATTGATTATTCGATAGGTCCCTAAAACATACCAGAAAAAATGCAATTGAGATTTTGCTACTGACAGAACAACAAAATACATTAGTCAAACATATACTTACAGAGTATCCAAATTGCCAATGCGAGATAGCTCAATCGGGATAGGTCCTCTAAGATTGTTGGAGGATAAGTTACTACAGGAAAAAAAAAAAGCAGAAAAAGATGTATGAATGCCTTGGTTCAACATTTAGCTTATACATCAAAACAATAGAGCTAATAATGCTAATAACTTTTAGTCAGATGGAAGGTTCAATTTCAACCCGTTAAGCCAGATCGACAATTGTATCAATATATCTAGAAATGCGAGAAGATAATAAGTGAGACTCACAGATATGTCATACTTTCCAGCTTCTGAAATGCACGGGGTATTGTTCCATTTAATTTGTTTCCATGAACATTGCTGCATAAAATATAAGTTTGCTTATTTCCATCAAAAATTGAAATCGAGCAAGGATAACATAGCAATACTTTATCCTTACAGGCTATTTAGATTTGTACAAGAACTGAGATTTTCAGGTATGGGGCCTTCGAGGTGGTTATTGGCAACATTCCTGCAATACAATGACATAAGTAACTTATAAAGTTATTAGATTGTTCAGAAAGAGCCAAATAAAAGATATGCACGACATACAGATCAAACAACTCTGTTAGCTGTCCAAGTTCTGATGGAATATGTCCACTAAGGTCATTGTCATTCAATTCTCTGCATTACAAAACAGAAAGTTGGAGGATTAAGTAACCTACTTCATAGAATTGATTCAATTGAAGATTGTACATTGCCAAAGAAATGAAAAAATATGGGACTCCAAAAGGAACAATCAAGTAAGGATGTAAAAACAACAGAAAAAGAAAAGGTACATACAAGTAATGGAGCTTTGACATATTTCCCAACTCCGGGGGGATGGAACCAGTGAGTTTGTTCCCATGCAAATACCTATATCAACAGATAGATGTAAGTATTGTTTTATCTAGAGTACGCGATACAAAACTAAAGATAATACAACTAGTTAGGAACTATATATCAACAATGAAGTGTGAGATTGAGATTCATACAATTTCTCTGTGAAAGTTAAGTTCCCCAGAATTGAAGGTATGGGTCCACTTAAATTATTGCAGCTTAGATCCCTGATTATCATAAAACAGAATGCCAATGAGTTTATCTAAATCAAAAGTACTGAAAAGTAGAGTTATGGGAGAAATTATGGCAACAAATGTAAATTGTCCTTACAACACTGCAAGAGCCTGCATCAAGCCTATAACTGATGGAATTGGGCCCGAGAGTTGGTTTCCTTGCAAAGATCTGGCACATACAGGAGGAGAACACCAGATAACTCAATTGGAATATAGTTGTGCCATACAATACAGAGAAATGTTGATAAGCACTTACAAGGTAGCAACTTGCAGGAACCCAATATTGAATGGAATTTCACCAGTAAACTCATTGTATGACAAATCCCTACATGCATAAGATACGAGCAATTAGAAATCTATGATGCCAATTACTATCGACAGAACAATCCTAATATTTATAATTGATAAGAAGATACATACAGAACCTGGAACGCAGTACAATTGCCAATGCTCTGAGGGATAGAACCTGTCAAGCTGTTGTTTCGAACATCACTGCAGAGACAACTCAAATGTTTCAATACAAAAGCACACTTGAGAGGAGCATATATAAAAATCTAAAAATCTGTATGTACAGTCATCCATTTCTCATTTAGAAACAAACTTTTATCTTTCCTTTGAAAAATTTTGTATCAACCAATATAGCAGCAAAATGCAAAATGAGAAGCTAAACCCAAACTAAAAAGCCGTCCATATACAGGTTGACGCAATTGATAAGGGTAACAAGCAACTCACAAGTACCACAACCCAGTGAGCTGGCACATGTCGGGTGAGAGACTACCGACCAGTTTGTTCCCGCGTAAACCCCTTTCAACAGAAGGGCAAGATTCAGTAAACGTATAAATTTAAATTTAAGGATAAAGAAGGTAACGAATGCGACCAAACTTACAGATATTGTAGCACTTCATTCCAATAAATAAGTCTTGGAATTTCCCCGCTCAAACTATTTTGTGCAAGATCACTGCAAATCAAGTTAAACAAGTTGACAAACATTCCCAAAGATAAAAAGAAAGAATTTCGAGGCTTTGAAAATATCCAAAAAAACATTCAGAACTTACAGAACTTTCAAGTTAGGAATCTGAGATAAAGTGGAAGGAATTGGGCCAATCAGTTGATTACTTTTCAGAACCCTGGCAGTGTATATTCATGGATAGGAAAAGTTATGTCAAAAACAATAGTCAAACCATAAAGGCAAAATGTGAAGAGATAAATGGCAGAATTAGTTTACACTTAAAAGACTTACAGGAACTCTAACTCTTTCAGCTTTGAAATTGAAAACGGAATATCTCCATACAGGGAATTGGAAGAAAAATCCCTAGAACACAAAAGTAAATAGTCAGTTTTATAACAAAGCAAACACTGGATTCTAAGTGAGAGTTCATTTAACTTCTAGTTGCTGCAGTTCAGCCAAATAAGGTAGGGGGAGGGAGAAAGAAACACGCCCGAAAATCAGAAATGTAATCAAATCAACCACTTACAAACTTATCAAAGCAGAACAATCTCCAATCTCGTCTGGGATTTGTCCAGAAAGGCGATTTTCCTTTAGATCACTATCAACAGTTTTACCATTGAAATACAAACCTTTAGGTTTTCTAATAGCTATTCAAGAATCAAAAAATTGCAACTATAACAAGAAATGTCTAGAAAAGGGGGTGAGTGACAATACATTGACTGCAGGGCTTTGAGCTGTCCTATTGCAGGTGAAAGTTCACCATCGAGATTCAAGCGAGAGAGGTTACTACCAGCAGAAAAAAAAATAAAGAGTCGAATCATTGTTCAAAACCTTGCACATAAACATGATTAATGGAACGAAGTATAAAACTTTCACAAAATTTAATAATGACAGGGAAGCATTTTACAATTAAAACAAAAAGAGAAGAGAAGAAACTCACAGTGCAACAACACTGAAGGTGACATTGTCACACGTTACCCCTCTCCATGCACAGTAATCAGAAGATGGAGAGTCCGTCCAGTCATACAACACATTGTCTACGTCCCTAAATGACTTCTTTATCTCCAACAAGGCCGCTCCTTTTTTAATTCGATTCAAACAAACAGAGGAAAATAATCAAACCCCAAATCAAAAACAGCAACAACAAAAATGATGGCCTGAAGTGAAAGCACATAAAACCCAGCCAAAAAAGACAAAACAGTTTTAAGTCAAAAGGAAACACCATTAGTACAAAATAAAGGCATATATAATAATCAAAGATGAGTTCTTTAAACTTGGTTAAAACGTTTGACATTAAACAAATGGTCTGAAATTAAAATAATAGTGCCCTCCCAAGTCCCAACATAATGTCTTTCGATTATTCAAAACTCAGAACCAAAAAATCCAAAACAGGCCCAACATAAAAAGAAAAAAAAAAAATTACATACCATCATCTGAATCCACAGAACCGAAGCTCAAGCTGAGAAAAATGCTCACAAGTAAAACAAGGTCAAGAAATGATATTTTCTTCTGTCTACTATAGCCACCCTCAAAACCACCCAACTGAAATGCCTTCATCGTCACAATCCTTGTTACCAGGAAAAAACCCACCAAAAAACTTCAATAACTGACACCAAGCAACGAAGTCAAGAACTGTGTGGAAAAATGGCCTTGGGCATTGAAGGGTGTGGTGCTATGAGCTCAATCAACCGACATAGATGGTGGTAAAACAAGGGATAAAAGAATGACAGAATTCCTGAAAAAATGTGAAGCCTTTTTTTTAAGAGGAGTAAATAAAAGAAGAGCTGGGGGAAGGTACTGGTTTTTTTCTTGCAGTTGCTCAGGTCTCTGAGGCTTTGTTCAATCACATCGTTCTGTTTTTGTTGGCAGGGAGAGAGAGGACTACTACACTACTACTCCCCCTAGTAGTACTTACACAGTGGCCTCATTCACACACACACTACACACTAGAGTGAGTGGGGGAAAAAATGGGATTTTTAAACACTTATTAAGGAATTGAGAGAGAGGAAAAAGAGTGAAATATAGGGAGAATTATTTGAGGTAGGATGAGGAGGAGATAAAGTTAAAAGACCTTCTGCCAAAACTCTGAAACAATGGCAGAGAGCTATATTAGCTATAAACCAGTACTACCACCTTTCTCTTTCTTTTCTGTACATTTTTTCCTTTAATTTCTTTTTTTGGTTTTCATTTTTCCCTTCTTTAATTACTTAGTTCTAATTACTAGAACTAGCCCACATAGACCCAGCCAGTCATCCCATAAACTAGCCAAGCCAAAAGAGAAAGAACCCTTTTACCATTAGTACATTTCACATACACCAATACACACCATCTCTTGATTCGAGTAGGTGTTTCAGAGTGTTGTATGTGTTATGTTCCATGCATCCAGCATGGATATCTGAGTTCCCTTTTCTTTTATCTCTTTCCATTCCTTCCCCCCTTTTCAGTTAATAGTACTACTACTAACATCCCCATATGGTTACCATCAGAAAAGAAATTAACCCTTTTATCATTGTTACATCATACACACATCTTGAAGGTTTTTTTCTATGACTTTCTGTAGAACAAATTAAGCAGCTAATGTGATGTACTTGGATCATGATTTATAAACTTTTAAGTGGAGTTTCAATTGATATACCCTTTTGTCATCATTATCACATATTGATTCTTGAAGATGCTCAAATGTGCTGTGTGTGACTGTGTGTGTATAAATTCTTTCATGAAATCCATCATAGATTTGAGAGTAACTGAGTGTGAATTTGGGAAACAAAAAAATTGAAGCTTTATGCTATTAATTGATGGGTTGGCCTTTCTGAATGAGTCCATCATCACAAGTCGCTCTCTTTGGCAGAGAGATAGATAGGGGAAAACGGGAAAGCTGAAATGGAGTCATCTTTCTTTTAATATCTTGTGTGTTGACGATGACTCCTTTCTTCCTCACCTTTCTTCTATATCTGGTACTCCCTCCGTACCATAATTATTATCCAGTTTGAGTTTTCATTTCTAGTTCAACTGAACAATGAGGGAGTTTTTTTTTTCCTTTTCTGTTTCTACATACATTTATTAATTCTTTTGTTTTATTTTTTCTCATCGAATGATCTCTTCCTTCATTTGGAATTTTACAACAAAAAAAATCATCCAGCTGAGCTAATAGATATTTTTTTAGAAGAAAACTGGCATTCGGGTTGCATGTGATCAAGAATGTACCACTTGAATCTTGATATCCCAACGTATATATATGAAAGATTCATGCTTTTCACAGTACTAGTAATCATGCATGATTCCAAAAGAGTTATTATAAATGCAAAATATATATATAAGGGGGATGATTCAATGATGAAGAAAAATGAAGAATCAGGACAAATTGGGAAAAGATCATATCATAAAACTCAATTCCTTAACTCTTGTCAGTTTAGTTTTCATCTGTAATCAAGTGAATATAGGATGACAAATTAATTAGTTGATTAATTGAAAATGAATTGGACCTAGTACTAGTAGTATTATTTTATTTGATTGATTATATTTGGAATTATAATGGGACAGAAATGTGGAAGCACAATTGAATGCGTTTCAACAACTTCACATTTGATGGATTGGTGTCCCTGTCATTCAGTTTGGAATGTAGTATTAAATTAACTATATATATACTTAAATATATTCTAGCTACTTTGTTTAACCAGGAAAATGACATGTCAGTGAAATACAATTTATTTCATTAATACACAATTTATTGAGTAGATAAAGAGACACCCAAATTATTTGCATTTGTTATTCTAATTCACCCAACATTCTGCTACCAAATAAAAGAAATGAATAAGATTTGAAGAGATTGTGTAAAACAAAATCATTTTTAATCACCACACATGCTTGATTTAAAACAAATGGAATTTAATATCTCTAAACAATATATAAATGGAATTAACAAGTGAAAAACAAAAATGAGGAAACAAGAAGGGCCCACGAGATCAGAATGTAGGGGCCACATAAGAAAAGGGACCATTGTACTTATCGAGTTATTTTTTCCCCCGCTTTTTTCATTAACCACACTGTAGTCAATGAAAGTTACTTTAGCTCAAAAAGGAAAAATTACAATAACTAGAACAGTTATTTGTTTATAATTTTAAAAAATACGAAAAAAAGATTATATATAAAGAAAATAGGGTTTTTTTTTACTGCCTCGGGAAGGTCATCTGGCGTAGGTCAGTCCGTCAGAACTAATACAGCCCCATCATCACATTTCCTTCTGACAATTTTTTTTTTTTCATTTTTGTATCAAAAGCGGGTCCGTTTGGGGTCCGCTTTCTTTTTCCCTTCACCCTACCCAATGCCCGCTTATAGGTGAACTTTTGTTTTTGACGCCGTTAATGTTACCGTCATATTCTGCTCTTATTAATTTTTCCAACTTTTTATTGTGTAGGTAAAAATAAAATACTAATAAATTACTGAACTAACGTAATAATACATTTGATCCCAATGGGATGGAGCTATCTAGTGAGAATCATCAGCAGTAGTAATTATTTCTTTTCTTTTTTTGTTAACTTTTTTTATTTTCTGAATGTTTACAGTTTAATGAGAATTATAAATAACCATTATCGATAGTGAACAGTTTGTAAATAAATATATAGAAGAAATACCTAAATTTTAATTTTGATATAACAATTTCAGATTAATTATTTTCTAGTGAATTCGAAAACACTTTACTTGTAATAAATAATTAGCGTGGGCAGTGACGGATTCAAGAGGGGGTTAGGGTGGTCGATCGACCCCCCAGCCGGTTGGATTTGGCCAAATTTTTTCTTAGTAAGATGTCCGTTATTTGAAATTTTTTCAGTTCGACATTTCAGTGACGGTTGAATAATTTTATTTTCAATCCTGCAATTTGAAAATTCTCGTTCCGTCAGTAAGCGTGGGATGGATAAACAAACGAACGTTCTAAAGCTTATTTTAATTGGAGTATTCTTGGGTACTTAACAGACTGGTACTTCTAATTTTTAATAGACTTTTCTTAAAGTTAATGTGACAGATTTCACTTAATAGGTTTCTGTGCAGATAATTGTTATTAGTTTGGGATTTGGGAAAAGACTTAAAAAAAATAAAATAAAAAATAAAAATTGTGTCCTAATCTAGAAGAATGTTTCCTCCAGGTGAAAGTGAAACCGTTATCTTATCAAACATTATAATCAGTTCCCTCCCTTTTTATGTCGTTCTAAACTTTTGACGCACCGTTTTAAAAAACTTGAATAATGGAGAATGCAGATGCCAAAAATGTTCCAAACAAAATATGTTTGCCAAAAAATTTGATTCAAATTTTTAGTTATTATGGTGAAATGACTTCCACGTATTAAGTGTCTACCAATCATTTTACAAAAAAAATAAAAGGAAAATGCACACTCAAATATTATTATACTACTTCTGTCATGAGAAAATAGTTTTCAAATTTTCAGATTTGTACTAATTTTTATGTAAATTTTAAAATTTAATGTATAATTTCTTTCTTTCTTTCTTTTTTTGACACAGATGATATTTAAGTTTAAAGTATTTCTTACCCTATCTTAGTCTTCATTAAACAGTGAAATGATTTTTTTTTAATTGTAATGGAAGGGACTTAATGAAGGTATTAAAACATTGTAATGGATATTTGAATATGTGAAATAATACATGTTTTATTATGTTATTATGTTCTTAATACAGCAATTAAAAATGGAGGTAGAATGTTTTGTTTTTCCTCCAAAATGTATGCACGTGCTCGCTCTTCAAGTTCTTTTTATACTTCATTCCCCTTAGTTACTTCTTTGTTTATTTTTTTGTGTTTTAGTCTAAAAAAACACATACTTTTACTCAAATATAGATTGAATGACCGAAAAAGGGTCAAATTGTGTCATGTACTCGAAATTTTTTGTTCATTATAGTACCTGCCAATGGTTTGATTAAAAGGTAATCAAATTTATAGTCGTTTATTTCAGTCTTTAAACACGTTCACTGAGACTAATAACGTTCAAATCAACTCAATTTGTATATTAAAAATCACTTACCAACGCATATCCAAATCTATATACTTATCTAAAATTATTGTCCAGTTTGATATTTTATTTTTAGTACAATCTAAACTAAAAATAAAAACTCAAACTGGACAATAATTATAAGACGAAGGGAGTAATAATCTCATGGATCATATGGAAACTCCCATAAATTGAAAACTTATATTGGCGATATCATCATATATATATATATATATTATGTAATACAAATATATTGATAGTTGATCCATTACTACAATGATCGACGCTATTTTTAACTTTTTTTCGGGGAAAAAAAGAGATAATGAATGATTACAAAAATTTACCAACATAATTTGAAATGGATCGTTAATTACAGAAAATGCAAGGTGGATCTGCAGGAGTCTCTTTCAAACATTTTCCTCATCAGATTTAGGCCTACATACCTGGCAAAGAGACAAATTACAATAATAATCAGATCAAAATTTGTGACGTGACAAATTCCACAACATCATACTTCCATCAATATTAATACCCCCTTTAGAGAATATGCGAGCACACAATTTTATTTTATTTAAAAAAAAAAGGAAGAAAAACCCTCCACAAATGAGCTGTTTTCTACGTATTATTGTTGTCCTTTCTTCTTTCTCAAGTGCTAATTCTAGATTTCATTATAAACAGTACGCAACGCATAACTGCATTTCTGCTCAAAATTGGAAACTTGAATGGGGGACCAAAAATTCCCAAATTTAGTGAAGAATTAGTTGTAAAGCCAATTCATTCATCAATTGAGGTGTTAACAACTCAGTTTAGTAACGCTTACAAAATGTTATATACATATATATATGATTAACTTAGGACTATTTTTTTTTTTTGAATAAAGATAAACAGTACTATAAGAAAATAAAAGAAAAGGAGAGATGGATATGGGAAATTTGGAAATAATTAGGGGGGGGAGGTGGAAATGGGCAGAGAGGGGACCCTAGGAATCACATGCAATGCGTTTTTGGCATAGAATTGCACCCAACAACATTTGTTCCTCGTCACGTGTCTATTCAATGATCCCTATTTAAGGTTTCCCTTTTCCTCTTCTTCTTTTGTTTATTTTTTTTTCCTTGGTTCAATCAATTATTAGTAGTATATGATAAATATTAATTAAAGGAAAATCTTATAAAATTATTATATTAGAAAAGTACATTCTTAATCACCTGTATACATATTATAAGCACAACAAGGTACCTAAAAAAAATTATGAATTATATTATATCATTCTTCTTCTTCTTTTTTGTTTTTGCAGCAATTAATACTGTTTAGTTTGTTTTTGGGTGCGAATTTCTTATGGGTAGATTTGGGCAGAATCCAACATTTTGGTGGCAGGATTGTCATGCTATATTCACAAATCAATCACCACCTGAATATAGAGATCCTGGCAACTCTTGAATCTTGAATATGGGCGTGCATTTTAGGTTTGTTAGTGAATGTGTTTAGTTACATCCTCATTGTTCTTTCAACGAACAAGATTTTTTTGTTGTTTTGGATGGAGAAGTATAGTTTTAATCTCAGTCATCACAAAATAAGAGTAAAGTGTTTAGAATGTTGCACCCAATTCTTTTATGAACCACGAGTATATATCATTTTGATGGGCAAATAATTCCCGATTAAAAAGCTTTTCAGGTCACACAACTAAGTTAAAAATATATTAAAAATAAACCAAGAGTGAAATGGTAAAAGAACTTTACAGAATGTGAAAATGCTATTTCATTGAGCCCAAAACAAAAGCCCTTTCAACTTCCACATTTGGAAGGGTTCCTTAATGGCATTTTCCAAGTCTTTATCAGTAAAACAAGTAAGCCACGTCGTTATGTCTCAATATCACTTTCGAGAAAAAAAAAAAAAAAAGAAAAGAAAGAGAGATATCCTTAAAATGTTCCATAATGCTTGTAGATGTTATTTTCTGGTCTGCAGAAATATTCAGTTCGAAAGACTTTTGTCTTGTTGATGTTACGTTTTGTACATAGGCTAATCTTTCTGACTCAAAATTATCGTCATTATTGTTATATACTCCTTCCGGTCCTTATCATAAGACATTTTGATTTTGTCCTATGTTTCACATAAAATATCTTTTTAATTGAAATAAAAATCTTAAAAACATTTCATAATAATTAAGATGAAATCAAAATACCTTATAATAAGTACCGGAGGGAGTAATAAACAAAACAATCATTTTGGTTCGTAAACTTTTTCTTTACACTTTTATGTTTTTCTTCAAAAGCCTTGGAATGTAACCAGAGTTGCACAAAGACTGACAAGCAGGCTTCAGTCTTCCATTAATCTCAATCGGAACAATGAAGGAAGGATAAAATCTTCCCACTTTCTTTTGTTAATTAACTACCTAAAAGAATTGTTATTCCAGTCTGTCCATCCACATACATTATCAGAGGTTCTCAGTTCTCACTATACAATTATGAAAAATGACTGTCAGGGCAAAGCCTTAAGGGCTTTTCCAAAACCTGTAAATTACATCATAAACTTCCCGATTGAATGAAACTCTTAAGAGGAAGATAAGAAAGGGCCATCATAGGTTTAAGGGGGTCTCTATTTCGGTTTTACTTTGAGGCCCATGAAATTGAAGAAGCAATGAGTTCGACACAACAAATATAGAGCTTAAAGCCATTAGCCCACCTGAAACAACAAACCAAAATCCAAAATCACAGCACAATATAGGGCCTGTATTACCAACATCTTAGTTTTAAAGTTTGAGACAGCAAGACTTTCATTCAAGGAGATCCATTCTCACCTGAAAGTGAAGGAGTCATGGCGAAATCAAAATTGGGAAGTAATAAACCAGCTGCGATGGGGATCGCAAAAATGTTATATGCTACTGCCCACGACAAATTTTGATGAACCTTTGCCATAGTTGCTCGAGCAAGATCAAGAGCTTCTGTCACCTGCAATTAAAGTTCAGGTCTTAAATTTTTAATGTGCACCATATTGACATCAAAACAGTTGAATAGGATATTGTCATTGCGACTTGAAAAATGACAAGCTACAGGAGTTGTTAAAACAACTTTTCACAGAAAAAATGATGCCTGAATTATAGTTATCAAAAGCTCGTGTTCCAATATTTTCATCACAGGATAATTTTCAAGGAAGTCATAAGTTTATCCTTCTTTGCTTCCGACAAAAAAAATTTGAATATATATTATCACAGTATTCAATATTCATATAGCATTCAGGAAACTAATAAAACTGGGGCTTGTTCACTTGCTTTAAGTGTCTGATCAGAAACATATGAAACAAGAATGAGGAGATGTCCTACGAAAATATGATTTTTGACATTTACTAGATTGATGGGGGATACTATTGATACATGAAATATAACTAAATCCATACTTGAGAATGGCACAATTTTTAGGATCAGTCATTTTCTTCATATAATTCATCAATTCCTTTCCAAAACAAAAAAAGCAATAAGTAGATCAACATGCTTTCCCCTTCGCTTTTAAACAGGAACCATAATGTCAAGCAGAACTTCATTGACAAAATTAATGGGGCTAACCTAAAGGAAACAATACTCCAGATAAACAGATACTAAAGTTACAAATGCATACCTGCGAAAGTCTGTTCCCTAGAAGTATAATGGATGCTGCATTTGAAGCAGCATTTTCTTGCTTCTCAATTTGCAAAGCAATCCCAACATCAGCAAGCGCCAGAGATGGTGCATCATTAATGCCATCACCAACCTTCACAATTTACAAAGCCAAATCAGATTTTGACACTACAATCCAGAGCATCACAATAGGATCATTAATAATAATGATTACATTAGGGAACTCCAACCTTTTGCCCAGTCTAGAAGAGGGAAAACTTGACAAGTATGCACAAATTAAATTCAATGTTCAGTAGAAGTTCTCAAAAAGTCAATGTAAAGATAATTACATTACCATTGCAACAGAATGTCCAGAAGCTTGAAGACTTGCAACAAATTCAGATTTTTGCTTTGGAGTCAAGGATGCATTGACAAATTCATTTTCTACGCCAACGGTCTGGGCCACAGTTGCAACTGCCTCTTCCCTGTCCCCTGATAGGAGGACTGTTCTGATTCCCCGCTGCTTAAGCCTGTAAAGTTCGAAAATAAGTTACAAAGCTTCCAAAAAATTAACAAATATCAAAAGGAAATGAATGAAAATTGCACAAGAAAACAAGTGGCGTAGGCATGAGAAAAGGCTTCTAGATCATTGATACTGATGAAGAGTGCAATTCTAAGTAAGAAGGAATTCATGTGAAAAGAGAGCAAAAGCAGCTACAAGGAATATAATTAATGAATCAATCAATGCTCAAGGACATATATTACGCTCCCAACTAAGAAGCGTATCTATTAGTCAGTAATAATCTGCAGAATGATTATGCTAAACAATCTGAAAAAAAGTCCTTGCCCTAAAAGACATGTAAAGAGCTTTTTGTTCAAATGATCAAGAAAAGGAAATACCCCATTATGGTGAATTTCGCATCAGCACGCAGATTGTCACATAAAGCTATAGCACCAATAATACCCTCTCCTTCTCGTCCAACATAAACAGTGGTTATTGAATGAATTGATGACGAACTATTTATAGTTTGGCCCATTATTGACTCTTCCAGACTCTCAAGATCAAGAATGTCGGTTTTCTGCTGGAAGCGTTCATGAACCCACGCAAACGTTCCGACCGCAACTAGAAGCCCATCCACTTCTGCTAAGGTCCCAAAACCTGGTTCAGCTATTTGTCCATGTGTGGCTGGGATGTCTAAGTTCAGTGACTCTGCTTTTTCTAAAATAGCTTTGGCAATAGGATGAGATGCTGTTTTCTCCACGGCAGCAGCCATCCGAATAACTTCTGATTCTCCATAACTAAGCGATGAAACAGCAGACACAGCAGGTTTACCTTCTGTCAGAGTACCCGTCTGAGAAATGAAAACACATATCCTTGTCAACTACGAATCCATGACATAAAGCAGTAAGGGAGGAGATGACCTTTTGTTTCCCTTCTTTCCTCAGTACTAGTCAACCACACATTGCCCAATAAAGGAATACTTATTTTCCACAGTAGCACGAAAGAATATTACAAACATATACAAAAGGAAAAATTTGAGCATACTCAGACAAGAAAAGATGCATTACCTTGTCCAAGGTGACATGGTCAATGCTTGCCAGGCGCTCCAATACATCTCCTCCTCTGATAAGGAGTCCCTGTTTGGCACCTATTAGATTTTTTATGCAACAGTATTATCAAGCCAACCGGTTGGTACAAGGAACATTCAACAAATCAATAAGATAGGTGGAGCATTAGATGAACATAGCAGATGACGTCACCAACAAAACAATAACATTTCTGATCAATAATGCTTACAGCTATTTATCTAAATGTCCTTTTTCCTAATTTTCTCTTGGTTCAAGACTCTAATTTGTTCATTTTTCACTGTTCTCTTTTTCCTGATACAAATGTAATATATCTCCCAATTATGTAGTAATAATTGTAATCTGAGAGAGTAAGCTCAAGTTCTGTACCTAGTGATGTTCCGACTAAGATTGCAGTGGGAGTAGCCAGACCAAGAGCACATGGGCAGGAGACAACCTGGGAAGTGAAAACATATAACAGGTCAAGCTTATCCAGTTGAATAGTCGACCATAACCATAAAGAAGGAAACATCCAAGATTTGGTGAAACCATATGAGTCAGTAGAAAATGGTCAGATTATCTATGCGATTCTGGAGAGAATAACTGAAACCAAGTCAAGAACAGAAGACTCTGGTAAAAAACAAAGTGTTTAAGCTGGAAAAGGCATTAACCTCAAAAGCATATCATTTAAGCATTACTTACCAGGACATCAACAGAAAGCTTCAAGCTGAGAAGTAAAGGATTTCCATCAGGCCCGGCAATATCATTTAGTAACACATCAGGGAAAGCGTGCGTACCAATATAATACCTTATAATATACAAGAAATACACATTAAGAGAAGTGGAAAGCACAATCACTCTCAGTGCCTCTTTTTTTCAATGTATGCTCTCAGCTTTCAACACCAATACCTAAAGAACTAGCACCTTACCAAAAAGCAAATGTTGCTGCCGACAAGGTCATTACACTGTACACAAATGGGCCAGCAATCGAATCTGCAAGTCTTTGAATAGGAGCTTCTCGTCCCTGTGCATCCTCAACCTAAAAAAAACAACAATACGGTAATTGGTTTAAAATTGGAAAAGCTTTTGGGGTGCCACAAACCATGTTTCCTCAGATATTATTATCATTTTTCTATGTGAAACCCAGTTAATACTCAGAAACCAAAGCGAGGATGAGAGAGGACTATAAGCAGCCACAAGACCAATAACCGGATCTCAACAGGTCATTGAACTATACGTATTTGCCAACAATGCTCCAAAGTTAGTGAATCTTTATTGTTTCAGAAGAACTCCACCATTCCAGGGGTAGGGAAAAGGGAATTTCAAATTGCCTGTTCCTTCCCCTCCACTTAACCCAAATTCCGATTTGATAAACTAAACATGCAAGAAGATTCAAGTAAAAGGTTCTTCGAAGTGTTATCAACTGTGATACAAAGACAGCTATTTTGGAAGCAAGACAAAGAAGTTAAAACATGGAAAGGACTATTATTTAATGAGACAAACTACTCACCATGTTAACAATCTTGGAAATTGTAGAATTCGATCCAGTAGTAGCTGCCTCTATCCTTAATGGACCATCCTAAACTCCAAGAAGGCAAAAATCTCGATCAGAGACAGAATGATTAGAAAGTTTTTATTTGATCTCACAGCTGTCATTGCATTTTGAAAGTATTATAAGCCACTCTCACGAATAGAAGAAGTTCTGAGAAAAAGACCAAATGCTTAGTTGTAACATAAAAAGCTTATTTTACAGCCTAAAAAAATTCAACACCATTGGAGATACTTTCTTGCTGGAACATCTCAGTTACTAAATAATCCATCAGGTTTGACTGAACACTTATTGAAGTTTTCAAGATACTATTTCTTTCAGCCACAGACAGAGTGAAAATTTATTTAGATGTTTCAGATTGATAAAGACACTTTTCTTTTTCAAAGCAAAACTACTATTATTTCTATTTACAAAGATGAGATATTTTAAACCCTCAAATCGACAGGAGATTCATGTAAATTTGCGAAAGAGGAATCACATTCAACACCATAAATTTGTAATGTAACATACCCAATTTATAGTTCCAGCAGATACCGGAAGGCCTTTCTCCTTAAATACTGGACGGGATTCACCAGTAAGCATAGACTCGTCCACAACACTTCGCCCGGCGAGTACTTTCCCCTGCTTGTAACAAGACATATTTGAAATCAGCATGTAAGCAATGCTAATGAATTCATTTGACAGGGAAGAAGTACTCATCCTGACACTGCAAGTCCGCAAATCCGTGTCAGGGTGAGGTTTGATTATTATTCAAAACCTCAGTTAATGTAGGGTCTACAGCCTTGCAAGGGTACATATCTGTTCAGTTGAATGGCAGAACAATTGTTTCAAGTTCCAAAAGCCAGTAAACATTTGTATGATAATAGATATACTCATCTCATACTCAGTCCACTGTCCAAAATTTAGAGGAGCTATTGACATACGGTTGTAGAAATTTAACAACACGCTGCTGAAATGATCACAGGACAGAATATACCAAGGACCAATTTGACACGTTAAAGAATACACAAAATCACTTACATCTACTGGAATTGTTTCTCCTGGCAAAACCAGCACCGAATCTCCAACTCGAATATCATCAGTGGGAACTTCAATACACATAGCATCCGAACAAAGTACACTGTCATCAGCAAAATCGCCTCCGGAAGGAGCAATGACAAGCCGTGATTGAGTGGATATAAGTGACTACAGAGAGACCATATGGAAAGATTACAATTAGGTTACGTAAGAATTTGAATATTCAAAATCATAGAAGTCATCAGTACTTTTTAGGAATTATGGTTAACAATGAAGATGGCTTTCTCAAACTTGACATTGCCGTAATTTTAACTCCATCAAAATTAAATCCGATTCTCCAATGTTTCGCATAATTTGTATTTCATATTGGATTGAACCCTTCATTGTCTTGCTTCAGTATCTACTGAACTCTGTTTTGTGCATCTAATCCAACAATGCTTTCTCATTACAATGGAAAACTCACCAGTAGCTCATTCATGTCACTGGATGCTCTGATCCTTGCTCTTTCTTCCAGAGAGCGTCCCAGTAGTACAAATCCAAGAAGCATGACCTGATTGCTAAAAGATAAAAATGCTCACTGAGAGACTTTAACAATTAGCGGACTAGAAATCAGACCTAGTTAAGTGAAATAAGGAGGAATTGAAACAGTACATACCGGCTCATCAAAAAATGATGCATCCCATTGTAGTTCAGGGTTCAGAAGTGAAATCTGTAAAGTAGAGAGGAGTTTGTTAGAGATGTTGGCAGTTAATAAAAATCTAAGCAGCAAATTGTAACAAGAAGCGCAAACCAGAAACCATTGGATTCTCACCATGCTGATGGCAAATGCAGCAATCGATCCAAAGCCAACCAGAGAATTCATATTGGGCGAGCCATTTTTGAATGCCCTCAAACCATCAAAAAGTAAGTCTGGCACATGATTTCAGCAGTAGGTATTTGAGTAAGTGAGACTTTCAAGTTTCAATAGACCACATTATGAAAATGAAGATTATTTTACTGATATAAGCCACAAACTATTAGAAACTTTCACACATTAGCTTTCGTGTTGCAGCTTTTAATCTAGGCGCTAGTGTCAAAGAAACCCATTAGTTATCCCTCAACAACACAATTTCTTGTCTAGCTTACGTAAAGAAAGTTTAGGGGATCTGATAAATGATCATAAGCAAGGGCTGGAAGAGTTCTTCATTCAAGATAATACAGGAAAAGAACAGAATGCCATTTCATTAACACATAACCCATTCCTAAATCAGAAGTAACACAAAAAAAAAAAAAAACACTAAGCAACAGGAGGCTCAGATAATGTGGTCAGCTAAAGGTACCAAACAAAAATAAAAGGCCCAATTCTCTGCCCGGAAAAAAAGCGGATGCCGAAGCTTGGTAATCGAAACCCATAGACCCAAATTAAATATATTCACGATTGCAGCATAGCCAGATACAATAGCTCTAATCTTTGTATAAAACATAAAAAAAAACCAAAGGTAAAAAGGTGTAGCGAAACTAGTGATTGAAGAATCTGAAAATCATTTAATGAACTAACCTCGTCCAGGTCCCAATAAAGACCCCAATGCCAAACCACCTTTCACGTAAGAATTATGCAACATTTCAAAAATGGATCCTGCATGATTGCATTTCCAATTATTCAAAGTAGGAGGAAAAAAAAAAAGAGCAAAAAACTTTCAGAATGTTCATGGAAATTTGTAGTCCAAACAAAGTAGGAAAGAGAGGAAGACTGAGCAGAGAATTGAGATTACCATGAGCGATATGAATGCCCAAGGAATGCAAAATATGAGAAGCGTGGGACCCGCAGCACAGCGCTACCAATGTCCAGGCGAACGCCACTCTGTTTCTCGATTCCACCATCAATGCTTCCTTCTTGGCCACGGTTTCTTTCCATCTCTTCACTTTTTCTTCAATTCCAAGTCCTGACTCCCTCCTCTTTGTCGGAAATCCACACTCCGTCAATCTCCTCGCGAGCTCCTCCCCTGCCGCCCCGGCGAACAGCACAGACTCCTTCTTCAGCTTGATCGCCGCCGTCTCAGTCAGCATGTTGACTACGACGGCGTCCACCCTGTCATCAGCCGACAGAATTGACTTCACGCGCGAGACGCACCCGCCGCACATCATTCCGGTTACGTCGAGAAGCACCGTGGAGTCAACGCCGGTGAGTTTGGCATCCTGAGTCGACGCCTGTGGCTTGAAGTCGACGGCCTTTGCAGATACGGTGAAATTGGAACGACGTCGTCGGTTGGGAAGCCATGGAGAGAGAAGGTTGTGAGGATAGAGAGCGGCGTAGCGACGTCGTTTGGGAGGGAGAAGAAGAAATGAGGTGGGGGATTGCGAAGAGAGAGACGGATGGTGGAAGCGGAGAAGATCAGCCGCTGACGTCACCATTGTCTGAAAATCCAGTCGGAGAGAGAAAGTCGGCTGAGTCACTGCTATTTATAGTAAAAGTAGTTTATTACTGTAGTAGTAATATATCATTAGAACTTTAGAAGCTTTATCCATTTATAACTGAAAATATAGAAATATTTCTAAATAATCATTCTTATTGCAGTGAGCGTGACTTTACCATCTCTGGTGCGGTTCCGATGCTACCAAAAAAAAAAAAAATCAGATGATTTACAGTATTATGAAATTCAATTATCATACGAAGAGTAAAACATTCAATAATATTTTTTTTCACAATTATATATGTTTATAGTAATATTTTGATTAGTATAATATATATGTAGATACACATGTGATTGGAAAAAAGAATAAAAATATAGATGACAAAGATAGGCCAGAAATGTGGTCCGATTTTCTACAATGGAATCGGAGTAGCCAAATGTACACCATAATATCATTTCGTGGTCAGGATTGAAAGCCAGTGAGATTAGAACTGGCGTAAGTATAGAAATCTGCTTTTCAAAACTCTCTTGCAACAGATTGTAGTGACTAGTGAATATGAAACTGTGTAAAAATGAATAGTTATTTGAGTGATATGGATTTAAAGATGCCTGTAAATGATTCGTTTACTTTCTACTATATTCTCAGTCCGGACAATAAATAAGGCGCCATGTAACTTAAAAAAAAATAATATTCATTATGATAAAATAATAATTGAAAAATAAATCTAAGTACACTTGTAACGTCATAAATATGAACTGGCAATAGGAATTTAAATCAGAAACTTTTTTTTTCCTTTAGTTTCATGAGTTCTTTTTGGTTTTGAATGAGGAACTAATTTATGAAATAATCACGTTGATTGACTTGTTTGAAGAAATCCAAATTCATAATAGCACTCAGGAGACTGTGTTGCAGCTCCAAATTTGGAGCATGAATTTAGGAATTCAAAATGAATTATTTTATGTCTTTTAATGACTTTCTGTTCCTATATTTTAGCTACTAACTTTGAGCCGGAAAATATATTTTCTTCACATTTCACGTGACTTAAGTGACAGCTACTTTCAATAGGTAAAAATATATTTTTTGTAACAGTTTTGATATAGTTGAGATCGGAGCAAGAGGTGTCTGCACAAATGATTTCTTTTGTCGATTGCGTGACGACTCATTTATAAAAATGCATTAGCAAAATAGAAATATTTCTCAAAATAAATATTTTCTCTTTCAAATGAAAATACTCTAGTTTGCCTTTTTTCTGAAAAAAAATAAAAATAAAAAATACTAGTTTGCAAAGGAAATACTACCATAACCAATTGGATAAGAAGGAAGACGGATGAATCCATGACAAGGAAGCGTGTTACACCCTGATTTGAGACTCACTGAAAGATACTCCCCGTCTCTAGAAAAAAAAAAAAAAGAAATTTAAAGAATGATTTTATTTTGTTATTTTATTTCAAACAAAATGGATTATTATATTTTTCTTTTATTTTTGGGACGAGTATAATGATATTGTATACATGTTTTAGGCAGATTCCACTGTACTTAAACGTCGTGTAACATGTTCATACTTTATTTCATGCATGATTGATTAACCCTCAATAGTTCCTTTCCAGATTCTGGTTTGGTTCTCGGGATTATCAACAAGTTTCTGGTATATTTCACAACATTTACCCGTGTGCAATCGAGAAACAATGTGCTTATCAGTTTAATTTAATGCAAAACCGATTGAAGTAAGGAAATGAGTCTCAAATACTGCATAATTTCAAGAACAAAATGCCCAATCTTTGGCACACTCGTGGTAAAAGATTTTCAAGGTACACACACAATTAATGAAGTGTATGATACAGGTTACAGAGTAAAAGATGAGAAGCCTTTAATTTTTAGGCTTCTCATCAGTGAAACGTCACATTTTGTTGTAACACTCACAAAAAAATAGACCGTGGAAAACACTATAAGGGGTCAGTTATGAATCAAAAGTTAAAAAAAAAATAAAAGAAAAGAAGGATCTTTCTTCTTTTAATGGTGTTGCTGCTGCGGCACCTGTTGCTGTGACTTCCGCAGGTGCTCTAGCAATGATGTTGCTTTCCGCTTTGCTCTTTCCGTGCCATTCCGAGCAAGCTCTGAAAGAGGTATCACTGCTCCGAGCCTACTTAAACAGGCTAGGTTATCGGGATCCCTTTTGCACAAGCAGAGTAAAATTGCAGCCGCGTTTTCCTTGTTACGGGGTAAGCCAGTTCTCAACAGATCTATCAGCACGGGAATTGTGCTGGCTTTAACGATGGCAACCTTAGCATCGTGGTGCCCAGCAAGAACAGAAAGAATGGTTAGCGCTTCATCTATCATGCCACTGCTTGCATCGGTTAGCATTTTCAGTAATGATGCAATAATGCCTGCCCTCACAGCCCTACCTTTGTTCCCTTGATAAATGCACAAGTTAAACAATGCTGTTGCAGCATCTTTCCTCCCTCTAGGGCTCCCATGCTCAAGCAATTCAACTAAAGCAGTTATTGCTCCAGAGGCTCCAATTATTATCTTATTCTCATCCACAAGAGACAAACTAAAGATGGTTGCAGCAGCATTCTCTCGTGCTTCCATGCTCCCCGATCTAAGGATCTGGACTATGGAAGGAACAGCACCAGCAAGCATAATCAGCCCTTTGTTATTGTCAAATATGGAAAGATTGAGAATTGAAGTGACCGCATGCTCCTGTGTTTGATTATCTTCACATGTCAATAAATTGACAAGAATTGGGATTGCTCCAGCTTCAGCAATTAAAATGCGGTTATCAGTGCTTCGTTTGGAAAGCGACCGGATCTCCGCTACAGCAGCTCTGCGCTCTTCAACAGACCTACTTGATAGTTTTTGGACAATTGCTTCAATAGCTGCTATGTCACCACTAACATCACGGAAAGACCCATCACTCTTTTTAATCCTCCCATTTGTTATTGCTGTTGGTTGCTCTATGTTGTGCTTTGTGCACCACTGACTTATAAGACTTCGTAAAGCATAATTCGGCGTAAGTTTCAGATTTTCCAATTTCTGCTGCGTTTTTGGGCATGTAGTGTTACCACAATCTATCCATCTCTGTATGTATGATCTTTCATAAGTCTGAAAATCAAAAGGCATATAAATTAAAACCACCGGTCACAGTCTAAATCATAATATTCTTCCATAAATATTTCAGCCGCAACTGTATGCAGCACAGTAGATGCATCACAGGCACAAAAACATCAGAATAATTGAAGGGGAATTGACAAGCACTATAGAGTATCAAAAATTACCTGTCCTGTAGCCACAATAACCGGATCCCTCATCAATTCAAGAGATATTGGGCACTTAAAATCATCTGGAATAACAGAAGAATCAAGCTTCTTATTCTCTTCTGTACTCTTGTTGGAGTCTATGTGCTCGGTTTCAGAACCCTTAGGGACAGCAGCAGCAGATGATGTCGACGAGTTTTTGGGCCTTCCTAGTTCTTGGATAACCTGATCTGAACCATTGCTTTCCATATCACATACTGGCTTTTCTGCCGTTTCAGTAGCACCATAGGTAGGACGAAGTTGATCAATATCTGCATCCATGGCTTGTGATGATGCCCTGGATAGTATGTTGGAAATTAAAGGTTCACCATATTTACTTATTGCTCTTCTTAATTGCAATCTGACCAATTCGACCTGAAAAGGAACAGAAATAATAAAAAAAATGCAGAAAACAAGACACCCAATAACAGAGAACAAAAAAACTCAGAAGTCACACCTGTTCTTGAACCTCTTCTGAAATGTCAAACTGGTCGTATCGTACATTCGACAAGGCTTTCTCAAGTTTTAGTGTCACACAGTGGAATTGAAAGGCAAACTTCTGTGTAGCCTCTTCCTTCAATTTCACAAGGGAAAAAAAAAATTGTTGAGAAATGTTTCGACATAGATTATGCAACGACTACATCTATGTAAAAACATGAATGGGCTGGCTTATAATCCATATAAGACACATAGAGAAATAAAGTCCTGCAAAATGTAGAAAACTTTTGATCATGGACTATCTGAGGAGCAATGTTAAAGGCAAAATATAGGTAACCCAAGTCTCTGGTTTTGTAATAAAGGCAAATGCTCTGCGGATCAAAGGCCTATCTCAAGGCAAATGCTATAGGAGAATTGATCTCAAGTGTAACTCAAATAAATGCCAATACTTGTAACTTCTAGACAACTGACTCAATTTCCTCAAAAACCACGATGGTTATGACTTTGGTAAGAACAGAAGATCTCAAATTTGAAGAGAATCTACTGAGTAATCCAAAATGTAGGAATCCGTGCATCCTCAGAGCTCAACAGATTAAAACATCCTCAACGAAATTAAGCAGGCATTCAAACAAGCAAAAGGCATAGTATTCGGATCGCATAATTAAGCCGAAATGATTATTCTCAAATCTAAGAACAGCTGAGAACTAATTTAGGGGGAAAAAAACCGTTTGAAGCTCACCTCTGAAAACAGAAGGCACAACAAAAACAAAGAAAAATAGATAAAATCCCCAACATAAAAACACATAAAATCAACATCATTTTCCCCCAAACAAGGAACAATTAAAGTTAGGTAGTTTGACTTACTGAAGAACTGTCTGAATCCAAAATGTTAACAGCAAGAAGCAGTTTTTTAGCAGCCTGGAGGGCCAAAGAGAGATCATAAAGGCAAGAACTGGAAGAAGAAGAGCAGCCAACATCTCCTCTGAAGTCTTTGATCTCTTCAAGCAAATGGGCCAACAGTGCAACTCTTCTCCCCAAATCAGTACAGTCTTTCTTGAAAGGCCCACTGAAACCAGCCTTGGAGATTCTCACAACATCGTTGACCAATCGAAGTGGGGCAGCCGTGAAGTCGTTCCCGGCCAGAACGGAGTTGGTGGTGTCTCCGCCGGCCATGGTGGTGGGAAGTGGCGGAGGAGGAGCTGGAAACCGGAAAGTTGATCTCTCTCTCTCTTTCTCTCTATTGGGCTCCCCCAAGTATCTGTCTGGTCTGGCGACCACAATGTGTGGTGGGCATAAGGGAGCGCTTTAGCTGTAACGCTTCGTTAAAAAGACTTTTTGGACAAAATCTTGGTCTTATTTGAAGGTTTTATCAAATTGATTTTTTAATTTTTCCTTTTGTGGAAAAAGATCATTAGAAAAATGGAAAAAAGAAACAACACGATTCTCAATATCTGAAAAGATCGTCTGTCTCACATTTCGTGTATTATATACAGTTGAGAAATTCATGTACATCGTTTTTTCATTAATCAAAATTAGAGAAAAATAAGATTTTTTTTAATATCTGTATGCGTTATCTATTAGTAGGGTGATGTAAAAATAAATAAAAGTAGTTTTATGTTTGGTGTTGTATTTTGGTTGTTTACTATTGAAAAGCATTATTGATACGCAAAATTTGAAAGAGACATTATACTACCAACAAATACACCCTTGGTAGAAAATTCTAGAGTCTAATTCAGTGGGAAAAAAAAAAAGATGTGTATTCCAAAGAAGGAAAGTGGAGATCAACAATGAAAGATGCTGTCAATTGTTGGATCTACAATATATTCTATGAAATGTCACTCTTCTGGGAAATAATTGGTTTGGTAATTTCTTGTTGGGTAAATAACTTTTTGTTCCCATGTTGCTGGTTAGATCTTGAAGTATACGAACCGGTTAAATATCATTATAAAAATTCATTACTAATAAATTAGTCATTATTATGGATGATAAATATTTATAAGAAAAAAAATTTTAAAAATTGCTACATGAAAATTTCAACTAAGTTCTGCTTCTTCTTCTTCTTCTTTTTTTTTTTTTTAAAATCGTAAAACATAGAGGAATAAGCCAACTTACACTTATAGATCTTGAGTTAGTAAACCCTCGAAAGGATACAATTTTGACATAAAATTGTCAAATCGCGTTGTATAGGAAATTGTCAAATTTTTTATTTTGTACTAATTCTATCCAAAAAAAAAATATTCTTATAGAATTTATAATTTAATGTAGACCATTTTTTTTTAGTACAAAAGGAGTAAAATAATGGAAAGGATTTTAATGAATGAGGTAGACCTGCATTTATATATTGCCTTTTAATTAGAGCAAGCCTAAATCGAACGAAACAAGGTTGATTCGGCAACGAAGACACATCGAATGTGACCAAAACCGATTGCTTAACTTCGAAGAGCAACCAACAGTTTCCAACATTTGTAGTAGCATATTTATTTTACAAACATAACAAACGCATATTACTGAGACAACAATTAAATTTATTTTTGTTAACTAACCAGCAAATGGTTTTTTCAAGTAATTAAAAATAACTTTCGAGTTTAGATATCGTCAATACAAACAAAAAAGCATAATAATTTTTAGACGATCGGCTTTCCTAAAAAAAAAAAAAAGGAATATTAGACGAATATTACCTAGATAAATTCGAATGTCATAAACCAGTTCAAAACATATCGGGTAAAACGAAATGAGTGTATCCAGATATTGGATATGGCATTTTTTTGCATGTATTTTCTTCTTCTTTTTTTTTTTTTTTTTTCCTTTACTTTTTTTAATAATCCATTGCTAGCTAGCTAGATCAGGAATGGTTGAAAAAAGATGGTAAGGAAATAGGAAAGCAAGGAAACAAGCATTTTAGGTGGAGAGGTGAATGATTCATCATCGGAAATGGTGGCGAGATTCTCGTAACCGTGTAAGAAAATCTGGAAATGAATAAGGAAGGAATAGAAGACGAAGAAGTATGTGGAGAAACACAAAATAAAAAAGAATACAGTTGGAACCTCTTTTTTTTTTTTTTTTTTTTTTGTCATGAATCTCCTCCGTTTGAAGAATTCTCAAAGTCTGTAAAGTTACATTTTGTGTAAGGCAAAGTCAAGTTGGCTCAACAATTATTTGCCCAGAAATTATTATACAATTTCAAAAGATTACGACAAATTCGTTGTTTTTCTGACTTCGCATCTGTGGCAGTTAGGAAGAATCATTGGAAGTCTGGGGCTGTAATCTTTAGTATATATAGTAGTTAAATTAATTTAAGAAAGAATCATTGTCCTTTTTATTTATTTATTTCTTCTTCTTCTTTTTCCTCACAAAGATGGTCATCCTTTTACAGCTATTTATTTAATCATACTCATAGGTTATAAGATTTTCAAATAATTGACACTTTTTTTTTTAATGATACAAGAGGAAGAATGGCATTCTCTTGAAATTATTCAAGTCTACTCTTTACTCCTTCGAATGTCAAATTATCTTTTTTTCTTTTTCATTTCTCAAAATAATTATATGTAATTCTCTCAGTCTAAAAGTAATTGTCTTGTTTATTGTATTATTTAATACGATAACAAACAAGTTAATTATTATGTTGAAATGGAAAGAAACTACTATATAGTGAGTTTATACTGAAATTTTCTAAAAGTTAATAAGAATTCAGCAAATTTTATCAGTGAATATTGGATGATCAGGAATTGGATGGTGACAATATGATGTTTGTGTAATGTCTAGGAGTATTAGAAATGCTGAAAACATAATGATTATATTAAAAAAGAAAAAAAGAAGAAGAAGAAGAAGAAGAAAAGAATAAAGCAAGATACTAACGAAGCAGTAGAGATTAAGTAGAAATAATGATATCCTTTACTTGAGATTCACTCATCAATTTGCAAAATTTGTTTGTGTAATCCAGTCTTTCTCTCTAAGGACTCTAAAACTGGATAGTTTTATTTGCAGCTATGTGACATGAAGTAATTAAAAGGATTGCAACGAAGGCAAATGCTATCATCCCTCGTTAATTATCTCAAGAAAAAAAAAAAAAAAAGGAACCAAGTTTTTTCAATGTTATTGACGGAAAGAGCGTTGAAGGTAGACCCATATTATGTTGAGGATGAATGAATATCACAATAATATTTTGTCATTTAACTGCTAACAACATTACAAAATAAGGAGTTTCAATCAAACAACACATATAAAAAACCAAGACCAATTCCTCATATGTATCAAAAAAACTATCAAAGATTCACTAAATGATATAATAATAAAGGTGACTTATTAGATGAGACGAAATGTTCAAACATGGTAAACTTGCCATCTTTGAAAAAAAAAAGAAAGAAAAAAAAAAGAAAAAAAAAACCATTCTGTTTCAATGAATCCCGCAGTTTGCTTGGGCGGTACGAGCTATAGCCACATGTCCAAAGTTTCTAGTAAAAGAGTTCATTAGGACATTACAGCAATCAGTCGAAACTAAGAACAAAGCGGAATGCTACATTTAATTAATGTATTAATACTCCCATTACAAAATGAATTGAAGATAAACATTAAGTAGTGTTCTGAAACCAAATATGTGAGCTAGCTGTGACGTGCTTCCGACAGCTTGCTTGGTAGTTGATTATGGGCTTTTTCTTGTTGTGAACGGCAATGACAGCCCCAAAAAAACAGATGTTATTATTGATGTCAAAACTTTTTTATAATGATTTTCGGTTGCACAACTACAGATCAAACGAAAACATCGAACATGTCCTGTTGTAATGGATGATTCTCCTCTTCATTCTTTTTATACATGAACCATGATAATCAAAGCGAATATCTTACTATATTAGAAATAAAAACCACACTTAAGAGAAAGTACCACCATTTGCCATGTGGTATTTCCATATCATATTTTTAAAATAAATTTTTATTTACACATCTCCTAGACTTAAAAGGGAAATACAGTCCAAATCCACCTCCACCTCTTATTTTCGCCAAAAAAAAATCACGGGTTCATAAAAAACCCAAATCCTCATCCCCATCTCCACGACAATCGACTTTCTAATCAATCCCTTCTCCACAATAAAAAAAAAAAAACAAATTCCTCATCAATCATCAATTGAGAATATGTGGTGAAATATACTCCTTTCCTATTAGCATGTTCAATTTTTCATTAGTGATGATCAACTACATCCTAATCGGATAAAATTTCGACTTCAAAAATATTCTCTTTACCTCTCTATATAAACACAAAGGAGAAAAAAATTTCATTGATCTTGCTTCGGCCGATGTGGTGGTGCCATTACACGTATTAAAATTTAAACGATTTTATTTTCACAAATCATTTGTTTGGCTTTTATTATTTTTTGTTTTTTCCGTTCAATAATAGTATTATTACTATTATTTTTATGCATCCATCCGTTATAGCTACCGTAACCGTTGTCAGGTAATATGATGTGAGTTCTTATATGGTTAGTTAGCCTATAATTTTTATGATTTTAGTTCTTTTTGGATTGAATTGATTAATTGGGTTTTTGTTACATAGTGTGGTTTTTAAAATTTCTTTTTTTTTTTAATGTTTCATTCAATTAGAGTCGTTTTCTTTTTTTTAATTATGGAGTCTCTGTTTTTTTTTTCCGTATATGGTCAGTTATGAAGTATGTTTTTTTTTTGTCTAATTGCTTTTGATTTTGTTTCATACTCCCAGTTGACCAATTATTATTATTATTATTTAATTTTATTTGCAAATGAAGTGCATTTTTTTTTATGTTCGGGCTTTCAAGAATATACTTTTTTGGATTTGGTTTTTGGACTTTTTTTAGTTCTTCATCATATAAATAGTTCAGATCGCTTTTTCTAACTAATTTATGGGAAAGCCTTTTATGAATTTGAGGTGGAGAGGAAAGGAATGATGTTTCAACGTTTATTTGTATTTGTTATACATCATTTTTACCTTCAGAAAAAAATAAATTTCTCAATTCTTAATGGGCTATCTTTTACTTTTTTTTTTTATTTGACATGGTGATGTGAGTTCTTTTTTGCTATAACTTGAAACCTATGCAAATTTACATTATTTTCATTCTCATATTTGTGATCAACCAGTTACAACAATTAACCAGTTTTAAAATCATATTTTTGATTACTATCTATAAACTTTTGGAAGAAATAGTTCTAATAATTAAGCGTATACCTTTTGGAAGAAGCTTACTACAAAGCTATTATAAATCTCCAAAACTAAGTATTGATTTGGTACAACCAATGAAGAATATTAATAAATCATCTTACTAATATTTAAACTTATTAGGATGCTTTTATATTTTGTCTAGCATTTACTCCAAGACATATACTTGATCAATTTATTTATATTTAAGAAGTAACACTTATAATATATTTTTAAATCTTCAAACATTTCTAAAACGTACCGGGTCAAATACAATTTCTTTTTATGCCACAAACATTTCTATGATCACACATATAAAACATTTCTAAATTCTCCAAACATTTCTAAAATATATTGAGCCAAATACAAAATATTTTTTTTCAGATACAAATATTTTTAAGATCTACAAATATATTGGGCCAGGGTCGCGCAATGCGCGACCAGACATCACTAGTAATATATATATATAAGTTAATCTCATTCCATTTTAAAAGGTAAAATTCTCGTACTAAATATTTTTAATCACTACACACTAGTGCATATATTCAAATATTGATATATTTAAACTTAAATTTGACAACAATGACAGTCACATTTTATGGTTTTTGTTCCAATTCGCAATCAAATCAAAAGAGTGTGCAGTCGGTGTTCTTAACCGGACAAATGGACCGAGTATTATTATGAACTATAGTAATCAAACCCTATTAATTATTAGTATGAATTTATGACGGATGGCTTTTCTCAAGTACATGAGCTGATTTCTCAAGTAAATGTACTGTGCATCTCTCTTTTCAGCTCCATTTATTCAAGATTTCAAGTTAGCCGCCAACCAAATTATCTGGAAGCTTTCAAAAGAGTGTGCACTCAAGATTTCGACTACTTTGTTCCTATAAAATTCAACATCTACTATATATACGATTACTACGTACAGGAACAAACTGAGACTCTGCAAAAAATGGATACACGGAGACCTCCTTCGCCACTGTCATTAAGAGCTTAACATCATGCTCATCCTAAGTTTTATACCACGGATGTTTTTTCCTCCACACCCTCCAGAGTTCGTCATTCATTTTCTGGGGCTAGGATTATAGGCACAAATACAGTGTTAGATTAATGTTTACAACTGGAGATTCTTTGATGGGATATACTCCAATTTGTGAGCGAGTTCTACTTCCATACGTTGTCCAAAATTTGCAAATTGATGATCCCATAACTCACTTATCTGGTTTAGGACGGGTCATTTACAACTGGAGATTCTTACACTATTTGTAACTACTCGTATAAAAGAAATGCTGTTACAGTGGCCACCATGTTGTTTGGAAAAGGAAAAAAAAAAAAAAAAAAAAAAATACTCCCTCATGTCCTTGTTATAAGTCATGAGGAACACTAGAGAATGACCAAAAATTTAAATAAAAATTAGACTATGGTTTTTTTTTTTTTTTTGAAAACGACTATGGTTAGTTTAAACAATTATCTGACTCCTGCAACAGCAATGCCATTTGAAGCTTTCAAACGAGTGCACCCGATGTTTTTAACCGCGTCTCTTCGAAGTGAAAATGGATCCACTCCTGCCTTGTGAGCTGCAATAACCCCTATGGCTTCCCAGTAATTAGAGACCTTTATCTACAGGAAGATGAAAAATCCAACGTATATGTTAGTCGAGTAAACTTCTACTTTGCATACATGAATCGTTGCATTGTCTGGTTTAACTCGTTACCCTTTGATCACGGTTTATCATTTCAAAAAAATTAAACAAAAACATGGAACTCCAATCTAACAGAAAGAGAAATGATTGTTTACTTGGGCATAACTAATCACTTTGACTGTTTGTATCAATCCGAATAGAATTTCTCATGGTAAGGTTCACAGACATGTAAAAATGAATGCAAATGATATCGTAGCGCCTTTGCAGAAGAAGGGGAAAAGAACATTCTGAACAAGAATTTCAACTGAACAAATTAAGGGTCTAGTTGTGAAACTCACCGCTTGAATTCCAAGTTTATCAGGTATGTCATCCAGAATTGTTTCATTCTCTTCCACGGCTATCATAAGAGGCTGCAATAAACCACTGTTAGGAGCAGGAAAGTTGGTGTGTATAAGGTCAAAGTTCTTTATCAATCAAAAAGATTTTCCATCTCTAGTCTTCCAAAACTGTTAGGAGATGCATCCAATATAAAAAGGAAACTGAATACGTTTTACCTTGATTCTCCTGCTACTTGCAAATGCAAGTGCACCATCGCCTCTAAAAGAATTAATAGGTAATATGACAGAGTCCACATCACTTGATACTATGCAGTCTCTGTCAACGAAGTGAGAGTTCTTCACTATATACTGTGGTGCAGTGCTTAAACCAGCTAGAACACATGGCAAGAAAGTGTGTCCGATCTGTTACAGCGAAAATACATACTTTAGGAAGAAATGAATAGAAGAATCATCAATCAAAAGGAAGAAGACAAACAACTGCCAGTGAAATTCGATAGAAAATTTTGTGTAAGTGCCATAGATAAACAAGCATCGGTATGAGGAGAAAAGTGCGATGAGGCTCTCCTTCTTCTGTTAATTGCAATAGGTCCATTTCCTGCTCAAGGAAACACTACTGACCTCTTCAGCAGCAGATTTTGGACTCAGAGAAACACTTAGAGGAGGAGGTAACATAGCAGGGGCATGAGCACAGGGAATGCAGAACTTCTTCACTACTGAGTGGCTTATGATTGCCTCTAATCCCGCCAAAATATCTACTCCCTGTCATTTGAGGACATCGTGGAAATGAGTATGAGTCTATGAGATAAAGAATCCAACACAGAAGGTTTCGTCACATGAATTTCCCTCATTACCAATCCTTAAAACCAAAGATCAATCAATATAAACTCAGAAGCCAAGGTTAATAAGTCTGAAATTTCATACTTTTCCTTGTCGGTAATCATCGTCTCCAATATCATCTTCATCAGGAAAACGTGCCACTACTGCAATTGCATTAACTCTGGATCTTGTAACCAATGTCTCCACAGCTCTTGACAATGAATCAGGATTCCGTATTCTTCCAGTTGATTTCCCACTATTAGGGTCTATCCATATTTCCGCCTGCTCACATTTAAAAAGGGTTTTGATAATTTGAATCTGAAAGTTTAATTATATCAACAGATGCCTAATATCAAAGATTAAAGTTCATCCGCTTGTCTCAATCAGTACGTGTCTGTTTCTCTTCATGGACTCACGGTATGTGGACAACAAATACAACGATAACAAGAAAGGAAATGAACCGTTGTACTGTTATCTTGAGGTTGATTAAATTGCTCAGAGGAAGTCAAACACATCTAGAATTGAAATTTGAAAACTAGAGCTCATACAAGTTTCTTCTCTTTTGAAGAGCTCGTGAATGATGAAACGTTCTGCTTCCTGACCTAAGATCATAGCCAATCGAATCTACCTAAACTATTTTGGTAATGCTGCATGTATTGCTAATTTGCTCATTCTGTTAGCAGTGTCAGATCATACCTTTAATGGAGTATCCGTAACAACAGATTCAACAATAGGCAAGCCAAGGGAAGCCCTTGCAGCATCAACCACTTGTAGATGGCGAAGGCGAAGATCTTCCTCAATTCCAACATCAAGAATCAATCCAATCTGCTCCGCATAACAAATCCAGCATACGGTTTAATGACAAGCTTACAGCAGAAGCTGTTCAAGCATAGAGCAAACACTAACAGTTTTCATTTGAATTAACAGAGAAATACAGTACAACTAAAAAACCGAACAGGTAAACAATATCACAAGTGTACCCTATTCTGGTGAACTGGTTGTAAAGCCCAGAGCCCCTCAGCAAATCTATCAAGAGCATAACCCTCTACATACAATACATTCGGCATCGGCCAATACAGCATCGCAGCATTAAGAACCTGGAAGAATTACGATAATTTTACATTTCCTTCCACTCAGTGGCACAAAGTGGAAGAAAAGACTGAATATGAACAACCATACTGACAGATAAGATCATCAAAAATAAATTAAATCAGGATTAAAGCAAAACGTACATTAGGATGGGTGATGAGGCAATCAACAACCGCTGAAAGAGCTCGAGCTACGGGCAAAGCGTCGCCGGCGTAGCCACCAATGGCGGCGCCCACCCCGGTTGGCACTATCATCACACTCGTATACGGTCTCTTAAACTGTTTGTACAACAAAAAAGACAAAAACCCCACCTCAAATAAAATAAATGAACACCTGTTGATCATAGAATTAACACTAATTACATAAAACTACACGAGCTTGATAATTGTCGAAGTCTAAAAGCAAATTATAGTAGAAGAATTTGGGTATAAAGTTGTGACCTTGTTGGCCGGAAGATGGGCCGAACATTTGATTCTACATTTGGATTGGACGGAGAGGTGGATAGGGTGGCGGAGGAAGGGGAGGCTGTGGCCGCCGGCGAAGGAGAATGGGCGGCTGGGACTGAGCAGTGTCATTTTAACTCCACCGGGTTTCAAGTTTGTGCCCGCGCTTTCAGATGTCACAACAGAAGGGAGGAGATAAAGGCTAAAACTGGAGATACAAATAATAGTATTGCTTCTTTCTATACTTCCTTTTCTTTCTTTTTTTTTCTTTTTTAACCATAAACAATTTTTCTCAAACACACTGCAGTTTTCCCTCCAAAATTACAAAATCCCTTTTTAACTTTCTCCCTTTTTCAACCAAATTTCCTTTGAAATTCAAGGTTATGAATAAACATACTCTCGGGTTTTCATTTTTAGTTTAAATTCTACTAAAAATGAAATCTCAAACTGGACAATAATTTTGAGACCGAGTGAATAAGTGTTATCAATTAATGATCTCGAATCTCGATTTCGAATTATGTAGTAAAAAAAAAAGAAGAAGATTTTGAATGACAATGTTATGACCGAAATTAACAGTGAGATTGTTTAGAAGATGGTGTCTTTCAATGCTAATCTGAATGGCATACACATCCGTGTAATTAAGGTGATTTGCAATTTATCAGTGAGATTAGATATATAGGTATATCGTGAGAATAATTTTGTTAGGGATTTTTAGCAGAATTAGTAATTCATAGTTATGAAAGCTTGTAAGTGTTGGATGAACCTCCGCAAGAATTGAAGTTGTAGTTGTACCACAATATAGTGGGGTTGCTTACGCTCGCTCGATTGTTATTTAGTTATTTAAATTTTTGCCTCCTTTCATTGTGGGAAAAAAAAACTCAGAATTTGCTCTCTTAGACTCAGAACAAAAATCATTGGAAGTTGGACTTTGTACGGAGCCAAAATGTACTTCGTGTTTTGGGAGTTTCAGTGGTTACCCTCTAATAAGTAATAACCCTCCATTGAAATATTATCTTGATTATTGACGTGATATTGTGAACATTTCTTATTCCTGTAATGTTTCAGTAAAATATTCACTATTCAGCACGAATGGATTTAGAAGGAGATATGTGACTACTCAAAAACTTAGCTTATTAAAAGTTGCCCAAAAATTCTTCGCAAAATAATGCAACTATTTAAGTTCATGAGTTCAAGTCTCAAGATTCGAACCTCCCCGTACGTGTACGTGGACAATCTAACTACAATATACTTCCTCCGGTCGTTAATATAGTTTTTTAATTTGTTTTAAGTTTCATCTACTACGTATTTTTAATTGATAAAAAAAATTTAAAATTATATCTGAACGGTCATGGTAAAACAATGAATGTTAAATTATATTTTTAAGGTTTTCTCTCCAATTCAAAATACATACTATGTGAAATTCATGACAAATCAAAATACTTTATATTAAGGAGGGAGTATCTCATAGTTCATGGGAGATATTCTTTTAGTGTGAAGATGAGAGTAATATTTTTTTGGCTAACACTCAATAAATTACCTCGATATTTTGTGGTATTACTTTTTCGCAGAATTCTCTGGCCTAACTATAGTCTATACAGTAACAATACAAGAATGATATATGAAAATACAGCAATAACCAAAAAGCCAGCCCATATCGACCGCTGAACACACCACCGAAAGGATTAATGTGTCTGCATTTGCTGGTTTCAACAGCATTTTAATCAACAGCAAATGTACCTCTTGAAACTTGTCACTTATGGAACTTCAAGGGCCTCATCATCACATTGTCTTCATGATCCAAAATCTACCAAACCAAAAGCAGAGTTTCCAGACATTAAATGTAACACTTCTAAAGTAAATGCGAGATATTGTAGGAGCATACATATACATACGAAAGCAAGTACTAGGAAATGAAAAAAAAGGTAGTAATAACTTACATGGCAATGAAACACATAGCCAGGCTCTGCAGTTGCATCAAAGGGATAGGATTGATTGGAGTGAATGAACGAAAATCTCACTAATATCTTCGTAACATATCCCGGCATCATCTTATACACATTCTTCCACCCTTTCTCGTGAGCTGGCACCTCTACTTTTTCTCCACGTGCGTACTTCTCGACTTGGCATTTGACTGCGTCATTATGCTTCAACATGCAGTCTTTAAACTCATCTTCATTGACCAACTCCGTCTGATCCAATACTTTAAAAAGACCCAGATGAATATGCAATGGATGATTGTCCTCCGTTAGATTAATCACGTACCATACCTCGCTGGTTCCGACTTTCGGGATCTCGGTCACCGGAGCTTCGTATGGCTTTCCGTTGATATACAAATGTGTAGGCTCGTCAATGTCACTTGTGTACTCGTACATGGCAATGTGTCTCGTTTTCGCCACGTGGTATTCGCCGGGACTTGGATACCTGATCAACTCTTTCGGGATCTTCGAATCATCGTTTTCTTCGTGTTTGCTTATGATGAATTTCATGACCATACCGTTTTCTTCGTTCACCGGATCACCCGAAGGGTAAGGATAGGGTGCATCGTTAGCTAGGATAGCCGAATCAGATTGTGACTTTGAAAAGTCAACCACCACGTCAGCGATCTCAGATGGAGCCAACAAGAATTCTTTGAGGATGACGGGGCGTTCGTGGTAAGCCGAGTCGGATGCCACGTGGATAAACGTCAAATTGTTGGTGAAGTAGAATTTGAAAAACCGAGCGTTACTTGCATTGATGATCCTGAATCGATACTTCCTTCGCCTTACGACCTTGTAAGGCCACGCTTTACCGTTGACCACGATTGTGTCGCCAAAGTACTCCGGCTGCCATTGCGGGTGTATTCCGGGATTATTCCCGGTGGAGTTCATATAAATCGAACCATCATAACGGAAGCTACGATCAAACACGACCAAGGGGCGGTCAAACTCGTCGTCGTAAGGCAGTTCAAGTGGCAGCTCCACATTGGGTTGTCTTATGACGTAGGCACCAACAAGGCCAGCTAGGAGGTTGACCCTGGTCAAACCCATAGCATGATCATGGTACCAAAGGGTCCCAGGGTGTTGAACATTGTGGTAACGGTACTTCTTCTTGGTCCATGTGGGCCCACGCTGTCTGAAATTCCTAGTGAACCACGACTCCGAGTGACCGTCGCTCTCCGGCTCGTCTATGCCGCCATGGAGGTGCACAACCGTCGGGATGCCGGTCTTGCTCGGCGGCGAGGCAATGGGGATGGTAGGGTCCCAAGGAAGGATGTGGTTTGGAGGGAGGTGATTAAGCCACGTCACGTAGGTGCTTACCCCGTGAAGGGCCTCGATTGTCGGTCCGGGGACTGTGGCTGTTTGTTTTGATGTGCCATATGCGAATACTGGAGTTGCTGGAATATCTCTGTGGAATTTCTGCCAAAAAAAAAAGATGAAATACGGTATTGTGCTTGTCATTTTCTCCACAAACTTTAAGGAAACTAACTGTTAGTACCCAACTATAATCTGCATAACACAAAATAAAAAACTTTAAAAACCTAGCCACATATATGAATGGATATTATGGACCTTTTATTCATTAATCCTGTCCCTAAAACTTGTCCTAAAATAATCATCAAGTTAATGAATCAATTTACAAAGGATTCTGAATATATTACCGATTAAATGATACAGTTATTAATAATGTAAATGTTACAAAAATATTATTTTCATACTGATCAGAACTGTTATCCGATGACTATTAGGTCGCGATGCTCAGGTTTGTTCTTCTCTTATATTTACAAATGGTAGGTTATTTATCCAAAAAAAGAAATCAAAGATGAAGAAAACCAATAATAGTCATGATATCCATCATTTGACGGGGAAAGTTTTTCTTCAGTGGAGGAAAGGGATCAGTTGTTTAATCATTTCTAAAAGGTGCTGTACGTTTATCTCAAAGAGTATGCATCAATGGGAAAAAAAGAAGTAAAAAAAGAAAACATTCTTATTGGGAGGCAATTATGAATGGTTGTTGGTAATGGGGAACAAATGCAAAACTTTGGAAAGAACAATCATGCGGTATGACTCGAATCCTTTACTTCGTCTCCTTATGGTCTAAAATATTTGTTATGTTCGATTGGCTTCTGAGAATAATTTAGAACACAAAAGTGGCTTTATACGCAATAGAATAGTAATTTAGCCTTAATATTATCGATGCACGCAAGTACTAAGAAAGTAAGAACGATCGAGAACATTAAAAGCTCGAACTTGTTAGTTAATCGAGACAAAGAACTTTATAGACAAAAAACTTGGCTCTCATATCATATAGAAGTCCATATGGTTTTACCTCAAAACTAATTAACAATGAAAGGAGTAACCTATGGAACTTATATATTGATACTCAGAGTCTCCTAACACTGATTCAGAGTCTCCCAACACTAATTTGGGATTGAGACTCTTTAATATATCCCGCAAGCCCAACGTATTTTTTTAGATTGGACTTGTCCTATTTTTTCAGCACAGGCACCGCTTCACATCTCAATCCTATTTTTTTGTTTGGTTTTTTAGAATCCAAATGTCGGCGGGCTGTCTCTGATACCATCCAGAAGCATATGGGGTTTCACCTCAAAACCAATTGACAATGAAAGGAGTAACCTATAGAGTTTATATATGGATACTCAGAGTCTCTCAACACCGATGTGGAATTGAGACTCTTTAATATGATCATTTTAATGGCAAAATAGCAGCCGTTTTGTCTTAGTTGCCCATGTCCTAAGAGTAAGATTCATTACGATGTTAATTACTTACTGTTTTGTCACTTTTGATAGTGTTCATAGAATTGTTAAACTTTGAAGCGAACCAAAAATGGCACTATTTTAGGTGAGAAAATTGTGGATGAAAACTAGGCATTGCTAATATCCATACAGTATCCAAATCCTAACATAAGACCAAATTCACAAAAAATAAGACTTCTAAACTTTTTTTTCATCTTAGGTTTATTATATTGTTTTAGTTCATAAACATAACTACAATTCTGAGACGGATAAGCCATAATTCAATATTTTTTAGGTTAGGGAAACTGAACCCAAAAAAAAAAAAAAGAGTAATAAAATACAGAATCACATAATTGGATAGTACCAACTAAAAGAAGCCAAACAGCCAGCGAAAAAGAGACCCTCCCAAATTCAGCATGAAACAGTACTCACACTGAAGTCATGATGAACAACAATTTAGTCATTGTCAATATTGAAACTGATGATGAAAGCCTAAAAGGAGGAACAGGCAAAGAAATAGTTGCTTACCCATTTCTTATGAAACATGCCAATCTTGAGCAATTTAGGTTTGTAAACACCATTGACAACTTCATACCCATGAATTCTGGGCATATCTGGAAGTTCATCCACGAACATTCTCAACTTTGACGAATCCAGTAGCCTATCATCTGCCCATGTCCTTTGCAAAAATCCCACCAGAAAAAGAAGAAAAAACCCCGCAAAATTTCTCCAATAAGCTGGTATTGTTTCCACTCTCACCATGTTGAAAATCAAGAATTAATGTACAAAGAGAAGCATATAGAATACTGGCCTTGATAAGGGATAATTATAGATAAAATAATGGCGAGGTTTTTGGAGAATATAAAAGGGATTAGTATTGATTGGGTGGTCTTTTTAATGGTTGGTTATTGTGTGGGGAATCATCAAGAAAAGTATGAGAAGAAGAAGAGATGTAAAATTCCAAAAGGAAGGCATCCAGTTGAATTATACATATTCAGAAGAGGAGAGACGCCTGGCCATGCATGAGCCTCTTACTGTGACTTTTATTGTCGCATAATTTGTCCTTTCCTTTTGATTTTTATTTTGATTGATACGGTTTTGGTATATTTACCTTTTTTTTATCTTTCTCTCTTTTTTTTTTGGGTACAATATACTTCCATTTTTAATTTAATTAATCAATCACCACGTACATTTTTGGTCCAAGATACTGGTGGTTAATGATTAAAAGATTTTTGTTCTCTGGGGTTGAACATTCTTTTTTGTATACTAGTTTTATCTTTTAAGACTCCAATTTTGCCTGTCCTTTTTCTTTCTTTTTTTCTTTTGCGCTTTTATTTATCATCATAGTCATCTAGGTACATATATAAGCGTCTTACATCCTTTTAATTTCTTTTTGATTAACTAATTTTAAATAAAAAAAATCAATTTATCGATTTTTTTAAAAAAAAATTTGAATGACCTCAACGAGAATTGAACCTTCGGTCTCCCCGATAATAACTATCCCCCATCCTAATTCTCTAATTAATTTATCGATTAATCGTTTTCTTCTGCTGAAGAGTTCAAAAATCATATGGAGTGATCGCCATGAATAAGGATTAACGATGTTGGACCAAGAAGCATTTTTTGCGTGAAATATTAGCGCACTACTTAACATATTCGTCTTCACAAGTTTTGGCCCTTATCATTTAGGTGAGGTAATATTAATAACTCCCATAATTCTGTAAAATTTTCTGATATTCTAGATGGATGTTGCAAACAAATAACAAGAATTGCTGTACATGAATGACAAGCTACAAATGTGGAAAAGAACTACCTATCTCTAAAAGTCACATTTGAGTGAATAAAGTGAACCTTTTTTTTTTTTTTCTTTTAGGATGAAAGAAAATGTTTGTCAAAAGGCCAATAATGATTTTGTTTTTGAAGTACCGTAGATTGGAAAAGCCCATGGGCTTATATATTAATACTCAGAGTTTCTCAAAATCGATGTGGGATCGGGTCTCTTTAATACTCCCTGTAAGCCCATCGTATTTTTTGGGTTGGGCTTGTCATATTTTTTCAACTCAGTCACTGTCTCACGTCTCAGTCCTATTTTGGGGGGAGGGGGGCTTTTTGAGTACAAATGTCGGCGCGCTGGCTCTGATACTATACGGAAGTTCATGGGGTTCCACATCAAAATCAATTGGCAATGAGAGGAGTAGCCCATGAAACTTATATATTGATATCAGAGTCTCTCAACACAGATGTGAGATTGTGACTCTTTAATATAGATGACTTGATGACCTCTCTGCACTTTGCATAATCAGGTCACTGACTGAAAATATTGGAAATAAGATTTTATTTTGATATGGCAAAGTATATATCCCCATTTAACTAGAGAGTTATCTGCACGATTACAAAATCCAATCATGGGCTCAAATAATTTTGTCTTCCTCTATGGCCTGTAATGGAATTCAGAGTGGCAACATTGTACTGCCGGATTGCACTTCAGGGACAATAAAATTCTTTTATCTCAACTTTCACCATGTTTTTTCTTTTCTTTTCTTTCTTTTTTTTTTTCCCTCCTTTTTTAAGGAGAACGGGATGAGTTGTTATTCTTTTTCCCCAATTTTATTTCTGCAGAAAATTATAAGTTAAATTTTTTTTTTTTTGATAGATAAAGGAGAGAAAATCTATTATACAGCAATCAGAGAAAAAAGATGGGAAAACCGGCACATAATTTTATTGGGAAACATACCTGCAAATTAGGAGTTATAATATTTTACTAGTTTATATTGTTTAACATGTTTAAAAAAAGAGTATGTAGAATAGAAAGAAAAGAAATATTTTCTTATGATAAAAAAATTTTACGGAAAAAATTAAAAGATAAAATAACGCCAATCCTTGTCAATTTTTATTCTAACTAGTGTGTGTCCCGCGCTTTGCGCGACTTTGTCAATGTTGAAAATTTATATTTCAAAAGAATTGATTAGATAATGTAGTTACAAATATACCGTCCTTATTATTCAAAAAAATTTAGTTACTAATATTTCTTAAAACTGTAATATTTTTTTGATTAATTAGTTTTAGATCAAAATGAGAGGTCTTGATATTATTTATGAGAGGTATATTTGTAAGATCTGGTAAAAAAATATTACAACAAAGATTTTCAAAAGTTATTTAATAAAAATTGTCACCACTAACTAATGTTATATTTGGTTTGAAAAATATATTTAAAAAATACGTAAATTATGTCTAGATGCATATGGCCTATTTTTATAGGGAAGTGGACTTTGGGAATTAGATGCAGTTCTAATAAAATATGAGACACAATTAATCATCCTTGAAAATATAAAATCGATAAATTTGAAAACTAAATAACACACAAATAGAACTTTAAGGGCCAAAATGACAATAGATTGAAAGTTTAAACTCGTAAATGAAAGGACTTTTGAAGTCGGGAGTTTCTCAGTAATTTTCAAAAATATTCATTTTCAATCTCATAATCAGAAATTTGTAATATCTGTAAAAATCTTAATATACTCCCTCCGTCCTACAAAAATAGTCCAGTTTGAAACTGTACAACTTTTTTAATTTGGTCAACATACCAAATATACAACTCATTTCATTCCCCTAACTTCTACTAATGCCCCTTTTAGTTATTTTTATAAAAGTTAACTATATATGCATTTATTTTACAACTTAAATTTGATGAAAATTTTTATCTCAAAAAATATTGACAATGGATTTTGATGGAAAGATCTCGTTACGTAGATTAATTTGATATATAACATATTTTTTAATTATTCATGTATTAAAAGATATAATTATTTGAAAAAAATAAGAGAAAACTAAAAAAAATGAAAATCAAATGAATTGGACCTTGTTTTTCATACCACTACTCTTTTGGATACTTAAGTCATTTTAATTCAATGAATTTTGACTTTTGTTAAACTGGACTATTTTTTTAAGAAAAGATTTCTTTATTAAATTGGATTATTTTTGTAGGACAGAGGGAGTAGTAAATAATTTATTAACTGTTTACAAAAAATTTTAACTGATTAATGATCAACCAATTAACAAATGACACGTGTTAATTGAGACATGATTGTTTCAATGAGCGATACGTGTCGATTATCTTTCTTTCCTTTAATATATATAATGATATTTACTTCCAAAAATAAATGCCTAAAATTAATTGACGCATAAAATTCAATTAATGTATTATAGAAATTTTAAATAAATGCCTAAAATTATGGCAGTCCTTCCAACTCTTGAAAGCAACTGTCACGTAACTTTTGTGGAGTTTAGGCGAAAAATTATTTTTTGTAGAGCTGCCACATGAGTTTTGTGACAGCTGTTTTCAATAGATATAAATAGATTTTATGGGAGATGTGTTGTTGCACTAAAAAAATATAATAATACAACAAGTGTATCATAGATTTTTTCCATAAAGAAGATCAAAACTTACAACATTAAATTAATTAATATGTTGATACATGGATAAAAATTTATAATTACTCTTGTTCGAACCTTGACTTGATATCTCAGACAAATAGCTGCGTACAAGATACCCAATAATTCCATGCATGAACTACATAATCAAAGATGTTATGAGTCGGATGAGCAGCTTTTAAAAGGAAATAATAATCGCACTACGAGTTCTAATTATGATGCAAATGATGAGCAAAAGCTGAAAAAGCAGAATCTCTGTTAATTAAAGCTATTCACACACGATTCTTTTTTCATTCATTTATAGACCATATGAAACTGCGATTATGATGCAGAATTGACAGCACAGCTGTAGGTTTCCTTCAAAGATGTGTCATCATATCTATACGCCATTGTTCAAGAAAAAGGAGTTGAAACCTGAAAGCGATGAGCATTTTCAGAAATTAGAAATAGACAACCCTAGTTTTTATACTGTTTGTTTTGCCTTTCTCCCTCTTGTCAAGAGTCATAAACAAATGGATTTGATTTCTACAGCCATATTTATTATTTACTAAATCTTAAACCATCATCGTACTCCATCCAACCAAAAAATAGGTATTTTATCTTGAAATAATTATTATATGTTGGATTAGACTAAGAAAGCTCCCGCCAGTGAAAGTGAAAAATTCACTCCCCATAATTGTTTACACACACTCACCAAAAAAAAAAAAAAACAACACAGAACAAAACAAAAAAAAAATTATTCACAAGGAAATTATACTCCCTTCCACCTCAACAAAGGGGAAATTAAAAAAAAAAAAAAAAACCGCTGATGCATAAAAGTAATTTATAATGTTATACTTGATAATAGGATGTGTAATGAATTTTTTTTGGTACAATGAAAGAGGCAAATGCTTTGAGTTCTAATTTATTACAACGCGTTGGTAAGAAACTCCAACGATATCATGTTGAAGTCACATTTTGACCGCATCAGGAGGAACATCTAGTCATTGTATCCGGATATGTAATGAACTTTAACTTATTTGATAACAGGTAATGACATTGAATCATTGATGGTCTAAAAAAAAAAGAGAAGAAAAAGTTAATGACATTGATCATATCAATCACATGTGAGGAACTCAAAGGTTCGAGTCGTCTTGTTACAATTTACAAACAAACCTTAGAAAAGGAGACCGAGGAGACACGTTCGTAATTTGCTTCCACAACTTTTGCCATACATGAGTGGATCATTTCCGGTCCAAACTCTAAGTATATGAATCCAGTATGGAGATTTTGTTAACAACACAATCTCATGACCAAGCTATCCAATATACATTGCGACAGGAAACAAAGAAAATGCATCTCAGATTTGACCAAATCATACATTAGTCTCGCAGGGACGGAAAGCCCAAACCATATTTCCAGCATGTACATCCCTAACAGAATAAGGGTGCTTTTGAACCGACACTGGACCGCGGAGGTCTCACATATCAAAAGAGCCGGCAACGAACCAGCCGATCGACTCTTTGGCAAAACTAGCTTTTAGTCTAAATCCCAGGTATCACGTTTTGTCCACAACCCCCCTCTATAACTCTAGGAAACATAGCCCTAGACTGGCCATTTTTGACTCACCCTCAATGAGTTGTTTTGTAATTATGCTTCGGCAC